GTTTTTCAGCCTATTTTTATTTTTAGCTTAAAAAATGTTCAGAAAAGGTCAAAGATTCTTAGTTTATTTTAAACGAAATTTTGAGAAAAACGTAACAAAACACCCCAAAAAAGCATAAATAATATCATTTTATGTCTGATCTGGTGATTTTTTTTTTCAAAAACACGTTTTAAAGACTTGAAATTGGTAAAGAAACACCAGTGTTTTGGCTTGTTTTCAAAGAAATTTGCAAGATAATTGAATTTTTTCAGCAAAATCTCACCGAAAATAAGTTTTTAATCGAGAAAAAGCTACAAGTACGTTAATTTTGATCTGATTTGCTAATGTTTAAGCCTCGGTTTAAACCTATTTTAGGGAAATCACGCGAAGAATTTGAATTTTTAGCTCAAAAATGTACTAAAACTCTCCAAAAAGTCAAAACAAAATCATTTTTAACCTAGTTTGGTGACTTTTCAGCTTATTCTTGAGTAGATTTCATGAAATAATTGCGTTTGTGGCTTAAAAACGTACTAAAACGATGGAAAAATTACAAAATAATACCATTTTTAAAGAAATTTTCCGAAATAATTGCGTCCCTGGTTTAAAATCATGATGAAACGCTAAGAAAGGCAAAAATTGTCTTCTTTTTTACCTAAATTTGGGATTTTTTTGCCTGTTTTAGCAAAATATCACAGAAAAATAAGTTTTAAAGAAATCACGCGAAAATTTGAATTTCTAACTCCAAAACGTTGTGAAACTCGAAAAAGCCAAAAACAATTTCATTTTGGACCTACTTTGGTGGTTTTTCAGCTTATTTTTGATCAAATTTCAAGAAATAATTGCGTTTAAAACTTCGAAAATTGCCAAATCGATGGAAAAATTACAAAGTAACATTTTTCAACTAATATAATGATTTTTCGGTCCGGTTTAGTAAAATCTCGAGAAAAAACTGAATTTTTAGCCAAAAATCGTGCTTTAAAAAGCTAAAATAAGGTAATTTTCAACATTTGGCGATATTCCAGATTATTTTTGATGAAATGTAGCAAAATAATTACGTTTCCGACTGAAAAATGTGTAAAAATAACGTCATTTTTTCATTTCACAAATACTGTGATTTTTTGGATTGTTATTATGTTCATGAAGATTTTTTTAACATTATTAAAAAAAATCGTTTTGTTTAAAGTGTGTGGTACACCTTTATTCTTCGAATTTTTTTATTTTTCCATGTCCTCTAACATATTTCATGACTTAAAAACGTGCTAAAATGATGGAAAAATTACAAAATGAAACCATTTTCGAACTAATATGCTGAATTTTCGGTCCTATTTACCAATATCTCGCAAAAACTGTATTTTTGGAAAAAAAAAATGTGCTCGAAAAAGCTAAAATAATGCAATTTTTAACAAAATTTGCTGATTTTTCGGCTTATTTCTGACAAAATGTCACAAAATAATTGCGTTTCAAAAAAAAAAATGCAAAAATAACGTCATTTGCTGATTTTACGGTATGTTGCTACCTCTGTAATGTACATATTTTTTTACTATTACGTATTTCCTACAGTTATTATTGGCCAACTTTCTCACTCGTTGAATAATATACTGTTTCTTTAAATCGTCTCATATTTTTTTTGTTTTTATTTACATATTTTAATGTAAAAATCATGGAATAGCTTACCAGTCAAATCCTCGATGTGACTGAAGAAGGCAAGACAAAACGTCGGCACAATCGCAATGGTCCTCGTGAACAAAACTCTCTTCCATCGAGCCCATTGCAGGTTCAAAAACCCTTCCATGGTAAACTGCCCAGCGTAGGTCCCCGTCATTGTTGAACTTTGACCAGCGGCGAGAATCCCAACCGCCCATATATACATTGCAGCGAGACCATAAGTGCAACCCAGAAAAATCCCCCCTTTGTATAAATCAGCATCGACGTAATCGTCATTAATGGGAAAAATCGACGCATTTACTGATGGGTATTTTGTACATAATGTATGAACTTCTTTGTTCGTTTTGTGGAAAAGTCCATGAGCGAAAACGGCAACGACGAATACATTTATTATGAAACTGACAAAGAGGGCAATTGTTGCTTCAACGAAAAAGTATAAATTTGCGTCGCGGATCTTTTCCGGTTTTGTTCGATCGATTTCGCGCGATTTTACGAGGGCTGAGTGCAAATATAAATTGTGGGGCATAATCACAGCACCTGGAAACAAATTCAATATTAATTGTTTTAATGAAAATTTTTTCGCTGTTATAAAAAAAAACTGTTACTTTGTTTTGACGAAATATTGTTCAAAAACAAGTAGACAACCCGAAATTATGTCAGTTTTGATTTGATTTATAGATTTTTTGGTCCACTTTAGTGAAATCTCATGAAAAACTCGCTTTTAACCCTTGAAAAAGGCTAAAATGGCACCATATTTGATCTAATTAAAGTCTAAAACTAGCTCAAAGACAACCCTAAACGCCCGAATAAGACAAAAAGAATATAATTTCTTTAGCTTATATTGTTGATGAGATTATTGAAATTTCATGTTTAAAAGACAATTTTCGACCTAATTTGAAGAATTTTCGGCCAAAAGAAGGAGATTTAGGTTCAAAAACATGTTCAACTGCTTGAAATCTTAACAAAAACGTGTTTACGACGCTCGAAAAAGACAAAAATCATGTTGTTTTCGGCCTGTCTTAGTGATTTATAGTCCGGTCTAAGGAAGTCTCGTTGTTTTAGCTCAAAAACGTGCTAAGGCTTTAAAAAAATCCCTTTTCGACGTAATTTAAAGCAAAATAAAAAAAATTAACCCAGAAGCAAATTTAGATCGTCGAAAAAATAAAAATAACATCCTTTTTGGCTTCTTTTTGATAAAATATCGCAAAAACTAGCTTTTAACTCAAAAACGTATGTTAAAATATTCGAAAACGACACAATTAAAGCCACTTTCGGCTTAATTTGCTAATTGTTCGTCCAGATTTAGCAAAATCTTACAAAAAACTAGTTTTTACCTCAAAAACGACTTAGAAAAATGTAAAAATAACACCATTTCCGACTTAATTTGTTAATGTTTCGACCTTTTTGAACAAAATCGCAAAAAATTAAGTTTTTAATACAGAAACACACCTAAATCCTCGAAAAAAATAAAATAAGGTCATTTTTGACATGTTTTTGATCAAATTTCGCAAAAAAAAAAACTAAAAAAGTGTGCAAAAGTATCCGGAAAAGACACAATTAGAGCCACTTTCGACTTAATTTGCTCCAGATTTCCAGATTTAGTCAAATCTTACAAAAACTAGTTTTTAACTCAAAAAATCACTTGGAAAAATGTAAAAATAACACCATTTCCAACTTAATTTGGTGATCTTTCGGCCTTTTTGAGCAAAATCGCGCAAAAAATTGAGTTTTTAGTCTAGGAACAAACCAAACCCTTGAAAACATAAAAATAAGATCGTTTTTGGAATGTTTTTGATCAACTTTCGCAAAAATAAAACGAAAAAAAGTGTGTAAAAACATTCGAAAAAGACACAATTAAAGCCATTTTCTACTTATTTCGTCCAAGTTCAACGAAATCTTACAAAATTTTGAGTGTTTAACTCAAAAACGTGCTTAAAATGCTCGCAAAGGATAAAAAAACACTACTTTAGACCTAATTTAGTAATTTGAAGGTTTGTTTTTTATAAAATTTCATCAAATAATTACGTTTAAAAGCTGTAAAAACTAGAAAATTACACTAATTTTTCCATCTAATTTGTTTTTTCGGTCAGTTTTATCAAAAACTCGCGAACAAACTGAGTTTTCAGCTTAAAGACGCGCTTATAGGCTCAAAAAAAAAAAAAACAAAACGTAATTTTTGACCTAATTTGATGAAATTTACTTTTTTTTACTCTTGAAACTTCAAAAAAACGTGCTTAAACGCTCAAAAAAGAGAATAACATTGTCATTTTCGACCTGTCTTGGTGATTTTTTGGTTCGGTTTAGCAAAATCTCGAGAAAAAATAAGCTTTTTTAGTTTTAAAATTTGAAAAATGACACTATTTTCGACATAAATTGGTGATTTTTCGATCTATTTTAACATCTCACAAAAAATTGAATTTTTTTTTACAAAGAAACAAACCTAAACCTTCGAAAAATAAAAATAACATCGCTGTTGGTTTGATTTCACAAAAAAAACTCAATAACGTGTGCTAAAATATTCGAGAAAAACAATTTCATATAGTCATTTTCGACTTAATTTGTTAATTTTTCGCTTAAGTTTAACGAAATTTAACATAAAACTGAGTTTTTAATAAAGAAACCACTATTTTCGACGTAAATTGATCATTTTCGGCTTAAAATTTAACATTTTAAAGCTGAAAACACTAAAAAATTACACTATTTTCGATCTAATTTATTGAAAAAATTGAGGTTTTTTCTACTAAAAAACGTGCCTAAATGCTCGAAAAACATAAAAACATTATTTTCGACCTAATTTAATAATTTTCCTGCTCGTTTTTGAAAAAATTCCTCGAGAAAATTGTCAGGAGAAACGCTCAAAAATGCAAAAATTGTGATTTTTTGAATTTTAATGAAGTTCACAATGAACATTATCCTTGCTATTATTGAAAAAAAATCGTCTCATTTAAATTGTGTAGTTTACAACTTTATTTTTCGAACTTTTATTTTTTATGTTCAATTTTACAAAAAAAGATTCTTGTCGTAACAAGAGACACTTACCGACTATCCCAACTGCTTGGAGCAAAGCCCTAGAGTCGCAGTTCTCGCACCAGGGAACAAACATCCCCTCTAGCACCTGCAATTGATCCGGTTTTGAGGTTATGTACTCAAACCCGAACGTGATCCCCATTATTGTGATCAAAAACCCGAAAAACATCTCCAGCTTCCTCAAGCCATACTTGTCCAAAAACAGGAACGTGACCGTGTCCACAATTGTGATCAAAACACCGATCCAAAGTGGTATCCTAAAAGTGAGGTTATGTCATAAAAGTGAGGTTAAATCGCACGAAAAAGTTACGTTTTATTCGATAATAAATAAATTGCGATTGCTGTCCCGATCACTTCCTGCATATCAGACCCAATGATCGCAATTTCGATCATAATCCAAAGAATGAGGCGCGGGATTTTTCGATATTGCCTGAAACACATTTCAGCGAGATGCAGCCCCGTGACGACCCCCAGCCGCGCGGAGAGTCTTTGCATGAGGAGCCCCAGCATGGTGGCACTCAACAGCACCCATAGGAGTTTATATTGGGCCACGGTGCCGCTCTGGAGGTCACTTTCGATGTTCCCGGGGTCGAGATAAGCAATAGACATGAGGAATCCGGGCCCGGTGAAAGCCCATAATTTCCTGAAACTGAAACCGGACTGGAATCACAATGAAGGGCACGATTCGGGATTAGGGGGGCTCACCGTGTCCGTTTCCGGGATTTGGACCTTCTCATCGGCGAAGTATGTCGAAGTTGGGGCCAAAAGGGTTGATTCACTGGCGGCGGTAGTGTTGGGGGCTTCGCCCCCGCCCTCACGGCGGCTATTTGAAGACATCTCAGAGTTCATCTCATTGTGATAACTCGAAAGTGCACCGGATCGAATTTTCGGATGTCGACGCGACGGAAACCAGGGTCGGACTGAGTCATTGTTTGGTATGTCGGGGATTTATAAGTAATCTTGCACGTAGAGATAATAATGTTTATTTCGCTCATAAATCAATGTCACATAAATTTATTCGGCTACATTATAACATTTCAGTCACACAAATGATTTTTTTGTTTTTTTTCCGGTTACAATGTCCCTGTATGCTCCACAAAAACACAAGTAATAACGAGAAACTTAGCCTAAATGCCAAAACAATTACCCTGTAATAGCATCGTTTTTAGTATTTAATAAAATCTTTATTACAAATAAAATAATATATCACAAAATAAAAAATACTTAAATTTAACAATCATAAATAAGTTTGATAGAGAAGCACCTAAATATGGCAGTGTTACAACGAAATAAATACGATTTTGTCCGAAACAGTGCTAACCTACTGAAATAAACTGTACAATAATACATTTAGCTGATATAAAATGACGTTCAGTATACACGTGGAAGGGTTCTAGGTTTGAGTAAACTGATAACTGACGACCCCCGTTTGATCTAAAAAAAAAACAACGAAAAATAGAATTCAATCGAACAAAACTTGGGGCAAGAAAAACAACATGCAAATAACAAGACTTACCTTTGCAAAATTATTGATTGCAAAATTGTGTGTGGCTATTAATATTGCACTTAGAGGTAACTTAAAACTGAAATTAAATAATGAATTAGTGAAAAAATCAAAACTGTTTTAATGATCATGAAAAACCACAAAATGACACATGCCACATGCGTGTACAATACTCTATTTACTCTATTTACATACATCCAATTGAAACTTAACTATTAAATACAATAAAGCGTTAACTAAAACCTACACAAAATAATTTATAATAATATAAAACTCCTCGGTTATTATGTACAATAAAACTGTCAAGCAGTGTGAGAAAGTGCTCAATTCGTAACGAGTGTGTATTAGAAGCGTCTCTACTTTAGCCAAATCAAAAAAAAAATAAAAATCAAATAAAATTAAAATCGCTGTCATCCACCAAAAACCTACATAACATCAACAAACATCTCACACGGGTTTCCCATAGCTATCTTAAATGATTGTCTACTACCGGCAATGTCTTTGGATTGGGCTGCGACCTGCGTCCCGCTGCTTTGATCCGAACCGTTCGATGAGCCGTTTCCGTTTCCGGTCGCCATTGGGAGAGCCGAACGGGGACCTAACGATGTCAAATCGCTATCGGACGCGCTACTATGGCCCGCCGCTGCGTCCTTCAAGTGGTCAGAACCGTTCGAGGAGCCCCCTGAAACCACGAATAGTCAAATTGCGGAAATTTCCAGTTGCACAACGCCGCAATTAAATGAGTCATTGTAATAAGAGTCAATTATATATCAAGGAAATAAACAACTATTTTAATCCCAAGCATGTAGGGCGACATTTGAGGAATTAACGATTAAATTAATAATAACATAAGAAAATTATAAATTTGTCAAAATGTTCGCTCTATTCAATTGCAGTTTAAGAGTAAAAATCGTTATCAAAAGAGTGTGATTGATTGACTCAATTTCGGTTTATTATAAGAATAAAAATCGGTATTTCCTTTATGACCCCTTGGAAGAAATAGAAATATTTCAAACTGAAATCACTTTGTTTGCAACTGTTTGTGTAGAAATTGGGTAATAAATATTGTTGTGAGTTCATTTTTTGTATAGATGATCAAGAGATAAGAACAACAAACATCAATATTGAGAAATGCAACTATTTTTGATAAATATTAAACCACTCAACAGGTCATTGTAATTCAATCAAGCGCGATTTTCTACTTTTAAAACAATAATTTTAAAGCTACAAATAAGGAAAAAAAAAACAAATTCATCCAATGTTTCGCTCAAAAATTGTTAATAACCTTGACATTTACTTTTTCTTGTTTATATTGCTGTAGAAAGAAATCAACAAGTGTCCATTTCGTAACTATTGATTAGATATCAAAGTCTGAAATGAAATAATGACAATAACATTGACTTTAAGAATTCAAATAAAATATTTCTGTATTACATCACCTTTTTAAATAACCAATTTTCGATTTCTAAAATATGTAAACATAACTGAAAGAAAATACTGATAAAAACTAAATACATGTTTTTTTTTAATATTATCTGAAAACCCTATTTTCTATCCTCAACGAGTCGCTTATGTGTATAGATTCGTATCGTTGCTATAGAAATGTGGGTAACTATAGTAACAAGAAACTAAATGGAAGTTGCCATAGAAACAATAAAAAGTTCAGTGGCGTGTAACCATTTTTTTTAAATCTTGCACTTTTTTTCAAAATAATATTTTCTAAATTATAAGTTACATCTTGATCGAGGTAACTTTCTATTATTTTTAAAACATTCAGTTTTTGTATTTTTGGCTTCGTTTTTATGATATTGAAAAAATTGACGTTTCAAATTCTGACATAAAAATTTGTAAAATTATCTTCTCACCAACAATGACTAACGAAATTCTATTGTTTTAAGTCAATTTTCTTTGTTATTAATTAAATGATTGATTTTAACCGTTTGAGTCGGTAAAGCAGATCTCTAGTTAAAATTCAAGCCTGAGAAGCGACTTTTCCTCATTTATAAGTTAAAATAATAAAATTCTGTTAAGGCTGAAGCCTATTTTATTTGCTTCTTTTCATTGTTTAATCGTTTGAGAGCCGGTAAAGTAGATCTCTGCTTATTTTTTTTTTAATTCAGACTTGGAAGTGGGCTTTTTTCTAATTTATTACATGGAAAAACTTCACTTACCGCTTCCGCTGAGCACTGACTCCTCCCTATTATACCCATAAACCGTATTTTCGCTGGCTGTATAAAAGGGCATTGGCATGTATTCTAATGGATTATACGTTCCACTATAGGGCATATAATTGGGTACGTTTGGTAACGGTCCTACCGAATCCGTATCTCCTTGTATTTTCAAATTACTCATTGCCGAACACAAATCTCCGAAAATATAATAGCATTGTTCCGAAAACGTAATTTTATTCACTGTGTGTCTTATAAATCCGGCTTTGAGTAAATGTGAGGCGTATTTACGGGCGTCGCGACGCTCTTGAAAACCATCAACATGTGTTAATAACCAATCAATCATATCAGTACCGATAAACGCATTCGGTATTGTTATTTTCAACCACATGCGATCACGAATCTCTAAACCGCTATCGGGTCGTTGCATGGCTTGGACTACAGTCGACATGGGGGTATTCACAGTGAGAGGCTCTTCCAAATCGGGGAAACCTTCAATTTAAAAAAATTAAAAAAAAAACAAATTACAGGAATCTGTAATTACGTTCGTTTGCCGGTATTGTACTGGTGATAGACGTACTGGAAACAGTTGAACTGCTAGGGGGGCGTGCTACGGGATCGCCCCTCACCGCCGCAGTGTGCGCCACCCACGCACCTACAATTTTTTTAATACTCCATTTTGTAATAACAATAATAATAATACCTGGATCAATAGGCCTCACTGGTTCAGTCCTAGGTATAGTAAAGTAGCCTTTAGGGTTGGGGTCCCAACATTTCGCCACAACTAACTTGATCGGTCTGAAATAAAATGATAAAAATTTGGGCTTAAATTTTACCAATACCAACCCTGGTTTTTGGACCACTTCTCTCAACACTCTCACTGCCTCATCATTTGACATATTTTCAAAATTAACATCATTCACTTGCAAAATCATATCGCCTGGTTCTATTCGGCCATCAAGAGCGACAGCGCCCCTAAAAAAAATTTAATCGAAAAAAAATTAATCATAATCGTGATTTACCCTTTCATAATTGACCCGACGTAAATCCCACCGTCGCCCCCTTTATTGCTTTGCCCCACAATTGAAATTCCTAGAAAATTAACCGTGTCCATATTCAAGGTCACTGTTATAATATTCAAGGACATTGTCGAATCCGTGATACTGGAATATGAGGATGTTCGCGACATGGCTTGCATTCGTTGTTTCCGTCGTCTTTGGGGCCGCTTGCGCCCCGCGACATGCAATCGACTCACACTGGAGCATTCCGAAAGGGCTGTGTGTCTTCCAGTGGTCTCGGATTGAAAACTTGTGGTTTCCAGGTCTGAACTAACAATTGATGCGGTTTCGTAAACCCTGAAATTGAGGGGTTGTTCAACGCACTTTAAGGGGGCTGTGATACGTACCGTGGAAGGTGGCCGTTGATCCGTGATGAGTATTTGTGGTGTCGCCGCCCCTGTCTCGAACTGATGATGCTCTCAGTGTCGGTGCAGATCGATTCGGGGGCTTGTGGGGGCACCCGTTCCGACTGGTGTGTGACGCTATCAGTACACTGTGAGCCCCCATCTGATTGATTTGAGCCGTCGGCTGAAACCAACTGTGGGGCAATTAAGACGCCCCCTTGTCTCATTACTTATTAACGTACCCAACTGACGACACGTCCGTTAAAACACGGTAAATGTGCGCTGTCGTCGATGATTTCTTCTTTGACCACTCTGTAAACGATAAACAAAGTGTTAAGTTTTAATCACCCGAGGAGGCTATACGCAGGGATGAGGCCCCCACGTTTGTAAAACACTAAACTAGAGAAGGGAATTACCCGAAATCGTCGTCCATCGACTTAAAAAAGAACTTATAATTGGGGCGATTTAACACATTTTTAAAGTCAGCTAAGGTCACTTTTTCCGGCGAAATCGGTATCTTCACTAAATAGGGTGTCTCCTCATCGTCTATGTGATAAATTACTTTCGTTTCATCCATTATTTCACTTGATTTTTGAGAAAAACTACACAATTTGACAGGAGAAAAACACTTCAACACAACATGGCCGACATCATTAAAAAGTCATCCCCACCCAATGAGGGATTAAAGAGATCAAGAAAACCGATAAGAGGGCATTAAACCCGAAAAAATAACTATGCAAAAGCTCTTTCTGTAATTTTACAACTTTAATCATGTGTTTTAGAAAGGAAAAGTGTGAATTTGATCAAAACGATTTGTTATGAAGGTGTAGTGACCTGTATTACCGACCGATTTTTAGCATGGAAATTTTCAGAAATTGGGGAAAATGCAATTAATTTGCGCATATTGTAAAAAACGTCACAAATTTAATTTAAAATTAAATTGAAACATAATAGATTTGTGTGCAAATTGTTTATCAATTGAAGGTTTTCCACGAGTTGTGGTCGTGGAGCCGTTCATTTCATATTGTCACTGTACCACTGTAAAAGTGGTTGCATAATTCCCACACAACAAATAACTCCTATTTTGCATTTGTTATCACGATTTTGTAACATTATTTTTTATATTTTTGTTGTGCAATACTTTGACTTGATAAAAAATATTAAATACTATCATTGTGACATTCGAGCATTTTAATACTCGCGAAACTACTCGGTATCACAATGAGAGTGTGCGTAAAACTTGTTTTTTCATAACACTGCAAGTACCTCACGTGCATATGAAAGTAACTAAAAATAGAGGATCGGTTTATAGAAGGTGAATTAAAAATTATTTCGTTCTTCTTCTGTGTATCTGGTTGGTTCAGTCTGGTCACGTGATCAATTAATTTGATTGCAATTAACTTAATTTTTTTTTAACAAGCACTCTTTTCATTAATCTTTTGTCATAACAATATAAAGTAGATTATAATAAAATAAAGCGTATTATTCGTGACATTTCTATAAAAGCTTCAGTCACAAGATACTGGGCCAAGTGACAGGCCGCGATGGGCCCATTTTCTGTCAAGGTCGTTCAAGGATGATTTCTACTTGGCAATTGACAAAATAAAAAAAATAGGTGATGCTGCAGAAGATATTAATTTGGGTAAGAAGCACAAAAATATGTGTTTTGGCGAATCTTTTATTTAAAAAAGATGAATTTGGTGGCTTTTTAGCTTGTGCGCAAACCACTTGTCAAAAATGTCAAATCCGTCAAAAAGTAGGTCAATATTTTACTTTTCAATACGTATGCTCATATGTTAGGGAATAATTGGTCAAATTTGGTAAATCCGTCCGTGTTTCTGGTAGGCATCGTCCCTCCAACCGTGACCGATTCTTCTTTGTCCTTTTCACCCAAGTACCAAGTGAAAAAGTCGCATTTTTCAGACGTTCCACCATTCTAACCAAACCTGCCATGGATTAAAATAGGAAAAATGGCAGAAAAACTGGGTTTAGGTAGCGAAGTTCGGCAGCTGAAGATAGGCCAGAGTTTCACGAACCCGAAATCATCAGCCTTCCATTCGATAAAATGTGAGTTTTGTGTGAAACAAACAAAAATGACTGCTTGTCTTTTCCAGACGATTTCAAGCCAGCCTCGGTCGACACCAACAAAATAGCCACCGTAGATGTCGGCAACAACAACCAAGTCACAGTTACCGTACCTCACTTGGGTAAGGCGCGCCGCCAGGGGGCCCAGCCGCCCGCTGTACTAAACGCTCGGTTGCAGATGGTGCAGGAGTGCCCCAAACAGTATTCAAAGGCTCGCAGCGGCCCTACCAAAAAGAATGCGTGCTGATAATCGACCGTGCAACGGGCGAAATAACCTTAGAGAAATTAACGTGTAATATACAAGTGAAAAAGACGCGAAGTGAGTCGGCCAAAGTGCCCCTACCCCAAGCCACCGACCGGTCGGGGACGACGACCACCTCGATGCGGTCGCAGACGCCCCCCATAGGCCAGCGCATTTCGCACAAGACGAAAGTGACCAGTGGGAGTCGCAGACCCGACCGACCCATCACCCATCTGGTGCCAAAACACTCGCCCTTGCATGCGAGTCCCAGTTACCCTTCACCCAAGAGCCCCAAACGGGACGCACACGCCAACGAGTACGCCCCCACGAATCACCCCCTCTACACTCACTACTAAATTGATACATTTCCAGATCCCACCAGAGCACTCTAGCGAGTCTACCAATGATCGGCATTGATGACTTTGACACGCCCCCGCAGAACTCGTGTCCGCCCCCTAACTCGGCCGACAAATCGCCGTCGATGTTCCCCCTCTCCGATCCCGAGACCGGAGTGGGGGAAATCAGCGATTCGTCGTCCTCGAGTAGCGACAGCGAATCGGATTCGGATGATCCAGACAATACCATCGTTAATAAATTCCCCAAGACCAATGGGCACAGCAATGGGACCTCATTAGCCACCAAAATAAACACACATCTCTTGAACGAAGACTTGTGCTTGTCAGAATCGGGCTCTGATTCGGACTAAATCGGCGAGTTAAGGTAATCGATAATTAAAATATTTGTTACAAATATATATTATGTATGATATTGATGAATATACATACTGCAATCTGATTCATTTTACAAAATTTCACTAATTTGTGTCATAAGTAAACGCCCCAATTGGGCGGCGCTTCCGCTGAAACCACGCCCACTCCTATATCTCACTTTCAAGCCCATTTCAGTGGCACGTAATGCGTGTAAGTCGCCCCCAAATTCGACAAACATGCCAAAAATATTATCCCCAAAGTCGTTAAATTCCTCCCGAAGGATTTGACTCAAGTCACTATCGATTCGCACGATTGGTAATTTTTTCTGGTGTTGTTTCCGGGCTGGAAAAACACAAATAAAACAACACAATTGGAAAGAAGGCAAAAATACCAGCGATGTAATCCTTGCCATAGAAAGAAACATATTTGTAGTCGTCTCGGTCAAAATGGCCGCTATTTTTATTTATGTCCAATGTTGCGACTTGCGACACTTTCGGGTCGTATTGTTTGAACGGAATCGGACTGAAAATCTGGAAATTCGCAATTGTGTTCATACGTACGCGATTTAGAAAATCGCTGGTGATGTTTGTGTACGGGTCGAGGACTAAAACCAGACTCTCGGGCCTGAAATTTTCCCCTGAAACTCTCCCTTTTTCAGTAAATCACACAACTAACCCGATTTTCCGCAAAGCCAGGTCTACGACAGCGAAATCCATCACTTTTCGCTCCTCCATTTTGAACGAAGTCGGCCATGTTGGAAGCCTAACCGACACCCAGGCAATCCTAACATCCTCATTCTTATACTTGCTTGTTACTTTAGTTGCGAAATTTTTAACAGTGTAGTAGACATCACTCGTGCCTTTGTTACTCGAGTCGGATTGGTACAGGAGTACCAACATTAGGAAAGTTTTCTCTTTCCGGTCCATAATCCCATTGGTGTAACCTTGAAGGAAGTCCATGACCGCCCCAACTTCCGATTCTTGAACCGGAAGAATTATCGTCACTCTGGAGTTTTCTGTGACATAGGGCACCGGAAGTAGTTCAACTTTCCCGAGCGGTTTACACACCTCAAACCTCTTCACAACTTCTATTCCGGTGGTCAAATCCCGGAAACCGAGGTCAAGGGTGTAGTCCATGCCGCGACTTAAATCAAAACTCCGGTAACCGTTAATCAAGCGCCGGAATTGGAACCGTTTGGGGCTCTCCGTGTGGACTTTAACCGCCACTTCCTCGATTACATTCTACGACAATTTTATTTTATTCAGTTGGTAGTATTGAACCAATCACCTGGATATCCCCCAACTCGGCTTTTGTGTGCCCCCTCACATTCGTGAAATCGTCCGGGAAGAACGCATGACTCATATTGAAGTAGACCTGTCTCGGTAGATCAAACCTCGTGGCGGGCTTCGCCCCCGGTCTTTGTCCCGGGGGCCAAACCCCGTCCAAGTCCTCACTCAAAACACCGATCTCGTGAGTGATTTGAACCAAACGTTGCTGAAATACCCCAACAATTAACCACTCAAGAACCAGTCCAAGTCACCTTGAGGAAGTAGGCGTTAAGGAGGTAGAAATTGTCACCCTGTAGGATGGGGTGCACGGTGACCGCCTGATTGAATTCGGGGTTTTCCGAGAGGTGGCGCAAGTGGTGATCGAGTTCAAAGTGTCGCAGCTTAAAAGAGTGAAAAGTTTGGCCTTGGAGTGTATTTTGACACGTCAGTCCAATACTGTGGTGGACACAACGGCCTAAATTCTCGCTGTGGTCGTCCGAAATTGCGTTTATGACACACCAGTCCAGGTGGTCTCGCATTGCTTTGATCACAGAGTTGCTGAGGACGATTCCAGAGGCTGGAAAATCGGGTCAGGGTCACTTGCGACCAATCAGCGGCTTACCCAAGTTGCAGTAGGAGGAGTCAGGGGCGGGGTCACCCAAGTACACGTCCATACTCACGCTGATTTTTTTCACCAAATCGGTCAGTCTGTGTGCATTGATGAACGTGTAGTCGTTCGCGAGGAAATAATAGTCGTAGTCTTGGGGGAAGTTATCACCGATGTATTTGAGGACTTGGAAGGGACGGTATTTGGCTCTCGTGTCGGTGAAACCCACCAAACCGCTCAAATTGAACCGACTTTTCAACTTGTATTGGGCCGTAATAAAAAATTTGATCTGGTCCACTAGATGACTAATTGTTTTGTTCAAATGAATGACCTGAGAATTGACTTTCTCCTCCGAACTGAAAATACCAACGAAAAGCTTCTCGCGGATCCCCAATTCCGTTGAGTAGTATCGCGGCCTGACCAATTTCGACTTTTTCGGGGCACTTGGTTTGGTCGAGGGGGCCACTGAGGCGACTTTATTGCCGACTACGTCTTGAGGCACTTTTAGATTTGTTTTTGAGGCACACAGGGGTTCCAAAGAGTCGGACAGGAACGACGATATGTACAAACCGATGAGGAGCCCCAAAAATACGTAAAAGTTACTTGAAATAAAACGGGAAACATTTTTAAACATTTTGAACTTAGCTGATGGAAAAAAAAGCATTAAAATCGGCCTGACTCAGGCGAAAATAGCACAAAATTCACTTTTAAAAATTGAGACATAACCCCAAATGTCACAAAAATGGGAAACTGTAATGTGACTCAGCCGATAAATACGATTGTGACAAGGACAATTATTTAAAATAAAGCAAAGCACAGGTATTAAAACAATAATTGTTGCATTTTTCGCAAATTTTGCCGAGTTTAGACTACCAAAATCATAGACGGGGTTCTTAGGTGTCACGCTTGTCCAACAAAATCGAAAATCCGGACAAGTTTAAATGTCATAAAACAGAAAACTGTAGGTCCACTCGGCCGATAAAGACGCTTGTGACAAAACCATTTATTTAAAATAAAAGCAAAGTACAGACATTAAAACCAGAATTGTTGCATTTTTCACACATATCGCTGAGTTTAAATCATTAAAGTCATAGGGGGTGTCATTGGGCACCACACTTGTCCCACACAGCGAAGTGTAGTTCAAGTTACATTTGAAATTTTCGGGACATTTTGAGCAAGGTTTCCCTTTGGTATAAACCGGTCTTCCCTTCACATTAACGCCTTTTATACTGGTGTCTTTTTCGAGAATTGTAATTCCATAATCACAAATTAAAGATTGGTGAAAAGTCGGATCGATAAAACCGGCTTTTATCGTATCTTGTGTAAAAATTCGGGCACAACCAATTACGTTAGCTTGGCCCCAAACCATTGCTGTAAAATGGTTGATTTTGATCCCTTCGTCTTTACGGAGTCTGAATGAGTCGAAAATGTCAGCTGTCATGTCTTTGATTTGTCCGTACCTGAAAGACGCAAGAAATAAGATCAAAATTATGTAGTTAGTGCAGCGTAATACAGGGTGTACCAGCGAGTTAAAAAAGTCCATTAGTGACCTTTAAATGGTGAAATAAAAAAAATTGTATAGGACATTGATAGATACTAATCTAGTGCATCACCTAAAATTATTTTCAATCATACAGCATGTCCCAAAAATAAGTTACGATACAAACTTGTGTTTTTTTAAATGAAACACCGCATGTTTCTTCGTATTTTTGTATGTAGCCTTTTAAAACAATGTTTTTACGCTAAACTTTTATTAGTCGATTTCGCTTAGTTTTAGAAATAAGACGGTTTTTTTTTTGACAAAAACATGCACTTTTTTTTAAAAAGTAATTACGCAAAAACGAAGACAGCTAGAACAAAGTTTTTCTTACTTCTGCAAAGAAGAAAGTACTTACAGCAGTACATAGCTGTAGCAATTTTTTAGTGTTTTGCATTTGTAAAGATTAATAAATTAAAGAGTTTGTTAAATAACATAAAAAAATTAAATAGAACACCCTATTTTTTATTGTTGCAGCTAATAGATTGATAAATTGTCTATCTAAAAAAATAAACTTTTAATGTCTAGAATTGATAAATGAAAAGATATTTAACATTCAAAATTAATAGTAGCAACAATGCCTATCAATATCTGATTACTTATCCGTTGATTTATCCAGAGATTGTAAAAGTCGTTATAAATACTGAAATTCGAATTATTTTATTGTAAAAATAAAGAATAATGGATTCAGTTTAACCCAAATGTGATGATTAAATAATATTTCTTCCATCTCTTATGCAACTGTGCACTTTTTGGCTTCTGAAACAATAGTCATTATTTTTTTTTGTAATGTTTAACGTTAAATATCTTTTTGGTTATTGATTATAAACACCTAAAAGTAAATAATTTTAGAAAGACAATTTAATAATCTTTTAAATGCAAAAACAATAAATAGGGTGTTCCATTTAATTTTTTCAAGTTATTGAACTTTTAACAAACGCCTTCATTTTTTTATCTTTGCAAATGCAACACACTAAAAAATGTTACATCCTTATAGCTTATACTTTCTTCTTTGTGGTAGTAAAAAAATATTTCTAGATGTCTTAGTTTTTGTGTAATAATTTTTTATGTTTTCGTCAAAAAAGACCGTCTTATTTTTAAAACTAAGCAAAATCGAAAAATAAAAGTCTACATCCAAAAACGCTAAGAAACATATGGTGTTTCATTTAAAAAAACACAAATTTGCATCGTAACTTATTTTTGAGACACGCTGTATCTATAAACCTGTATACAGGGCTATTCTCATAACTTGTCGGGTCTGAATAATCGCCATTTTGCGTGAATGCCCCTGTATTTACTTTTAGAATGTAGAGGTTAAAGAAATAAGAAAACTGACCATCTGTCGATTTGCTCTTCCACCAATTCGAAAGCATAGTCCTGCGTGGCACTTCCTGCGATATTTTGCGCAGCATTTCTCCCATTTGACATTTTCCTGCAACTGTCATAATAACCATGAAAGCGACTTCTGCCCCAACATCTGACCATAAATTCAAGCTCTAAACTATAACTAAGTACCATCATATCGGCGGCTGACGAGGCCCCACCACGAGTCTCATTCCCAGAAGCCAAAAAATCCCTGTATTTGTTATGTTCACTAACGACGAATTCCCGAAATTTCACAATTTTATCCAATTCGAATTCCTGCCGTCCATCGCGTGACGAACACTCGCAGGCGCTGTGTCGGTCACTCCCGCAGTAAATTTTACAGAATTTCACCTTCTTCGGGTTGAATTTTTCCCCATTTGCGAAGAGACACACCATCAAAGTGAGGAAAAATGACTTGAACATGTCAAAATGACACGAAATGCTTCCATTCCTTGTTTTTGTATTGTTATTTTCGGGAAATTGCCAGAAATTCGACCCGAAGAAAGTGAACTATTGCGAGAAATTCTGCCCGGGGAAGGACCGCAGCACCGGTTGCGAGTGCCAACCCCAAGGGTCGCGAACCGAGGTCGATTTGGAGCACGTGGTGTCATTTCGCAGATTTGCCCTCGCGGAGCACAACTACTGGCGCCAGTATCTGGCCTCGGGGCAGGAGACCCGCAATGGGGCCCACTCGGCCGCCGACATGATGGCCCTCAGCTACAGCCTCGAGTTGGAGTTCTTGGCGAGGTGCTACGGGAGGAGCACCTTCAACGGCTACCACGAGAAGTGCCGAATCATGTCGAACGATCGCATAGTTGGGCAAAACCTCGCCGGTTTTAGCCGAAAAAACTACTCTCTCTCATTGGTCAAGGAGCAAATCTGGGATTGGTACGACGAAATCGAGGATGTTGAGCCGGAAATCTTCGATGATTTTGAAGTTGGGGGCGAGAAAATTGAGCATTTCACTGCGATGGTGTGGGGGCAGGTTAACCAAGTGGGCTGTGCGAGGATTTTTACGCCGGATACGAAGAAAGACGGTTTTAGGTTTCCGGTTTATGTCCAGGCGTTGATCTGTGATTATGGGAGTACGATTTTGAAGGATCAGGGGACTAAAATTGCGCCTAATTGGTTAGGGCGGCCCGTTTTTAAGGAGGGGGAACCGTGTTCCAAGTGCCCCGATGGGCTTAGTTGTAATCGTGTTTACACTGCTTTGTGTGGGGAAATTGAACCGGTTCCTGAAGACCCCCCTTATGATTTTAACGCGGCGAGGACTAAACAAATTTATACTTTTCTTCTCATTTTTGTCGTATTGTTATTATGACATCACGATTTATCAAAATTATTGTTAAAAATAAAAATGTAAGTAAAATGCGAAAATAAACAGCGAAATAAATATTTTTTCCCATGACCCTATCACATCTTTTAATGGATTTTTTCCAATGTTATAACATTTGGTACACTCGGGGAAAAAACTATTCATCAGTCTAACTGCGCTTTGTTGCAATAGTGTTTCCGACTAACTAGTTGGGGTGCCGGTGAATTGCGCTCACTTCAAGGACGGCATTTTAATCCCGACAGTGGATTGCGCTCAGAAAATTTTTACTTACCTGCGTTGTGTTAATCTCTATGTGAACTGCGCTCAGGTCGGTCGATATGTCTCAGCGTGATGTAAAGAATGAAATTATTAAAAATTAAATTTCCAGGTTAATGAACCAGGTGCAAAAATGTACTTTGCAACACAAATATGTATAGGTGTACAACAGTGTTTTCAAAATTTGGTCAAACTTATAAGATAGACATTTCACAAAAGTGGATCGATTCATCTACAGGGTTATTCATAAATATGAAGCAATATTTGAACCTCAAAAATGACCTATAAAATGATGTTAATTTCAATAATAACTCGTGTCCTATCTCTACTGATAAGAATTTTACAGCCCTCGGAATGTGGGTATGGAAATTTGATTTTTTTGTAATAACTTTGGAACTATTTGACCAAATATTATAAAATTTGGAACATTTCCTTGTGACAACATACCTTTTGAACTGGTAATCACGAAAACCGGATACATCTACTCAATTTCCGGTTACAGCAGTTGTAGGTCACATTTTCTGTGTTTTTCCATTTTTTTGCTCTCTTAACACCAATTTTTTATTGCCCAAGTAGATAGAGTAATAAATTTCGAATAAAAAACGTATAACCTTTAATACCCCTAAAATGGACCGTTTCAAAGATATTTTAATTTAAACTGAGGACTGCACAACGCTGAAATCAAAAAATAGGGATTTTGAATAAATGATATCCACGGCAACAAATGACCATGGTCTCACTACTCGCTGTCAGGCATCTGTCAACTTTGACATTATTAGACAATTAATCGAAAATATTTAATAAAAGAGTTTACCTCAGATTCCAAACATAACTTAAAATAAATCCAAATGGATCACGTTGCATTTAATTCATAAAAAATTCACAAAAATTTATCGTCAAAGTTAACAGATGCCTGGCAGAGATTTATGTGACCATGGTCATTGGTTGCCGTGGATACCATATATTCAAAATACCTATTTTTTGATTTCAGCGTTGTGCAGCCCTCAGTTTAAATTAAAATATTTTTGAAACGGTCCATTTTAGGGGTTAAAGGTTATGCGTTTTTTATTCGAAATTGATTACTCTATCGATTTGGGTAATAAAAAATTGGTGTTAAGAGAGCAAAAAAATGGAAAAACACAGAAAATGTGACCTGTAACTGATGGAATCGGAAATTGGGTGGATGTATCCGGTTTTCGTGATTACCAGTTTAAAGGGTATGTTGTCACAGAGAAACGTTCCTAATTTTATAATATTTGGTCAAATAATTCCAAAGTTATTACAAAAAAATCAAATTTCCATATCCACATTCCGAGGGCTGTAAAATTCTTATCAGTAGAGATAGGACACGAGTTATTATTTAAATTAACATCATTTTATAGGTCATTTTTGAGGTTCAAATATTGCTTCATATTTATGAATAACCCTGTGTTCCGTTTTTATTGTTACAAATTTAAACAGGTGATAGGATTTTCAATTCTAAGACAAAAGTTTCCTATAAACATGTATCGAAAAATCCTTGGTAAGGGAGCTACACCCCCTGAAAGGGGGCTAATATATTTTTGCAAATATTTCAGAAACCATATAAGATAAAATTACAAAATTTGGTACAGATGATAACCTTTATACACCTAAACAAATTCAAACATCAAATGTCGAAATTTTTAATCAGGGGCGTACGAAACTGGGGGGAGTTTTAGGTAAAAAAAATACCTTATTTATTTAGCTTTAGCTTCTCGGTACTTTCAGCAACAAAATCTTAAGTTCGATAGTTTATCACAGAAAAGTCTCTCTTGTGTCGATACGACTTACTGTTTTTGAATAAAATTAATTTAAAATTTATGTTACACACCAATACAACATTAAAATAAATCAGAATTTACAGAATAATAAAAGCAAGAAATTCATATTTTTTAATCAACCTCAACTAATTAACATTATATTACAGTAACAATAATAACATTAATTAAATGAGTTTGCCTAAATCTAAGGAGTTGTCAAAGTGACCACCATTTTGGTAAATGCATAACTAAAGAAACTAAAGCCAAAATAGATAGGGTATTTTTTACCCCTAAACCCCACCAGTTTGGGACGCCCCTGATTAAAAATTTTAACATTTGATGTTTGAATTCGTTTAGGTGTATAAAGGTTATCATCTGTACCAAATTTTGTAATTTTATCTTAAATGATTTCTGAAATATTAGCAAAAACCTATTAGCCCCCTTTCAGGGGGTGTAGCTCCCTTACCAAGCATTTTTCGATACATGTTTATAGGAAGCTTTTGTCTTGGAATTGAATATCCTATCACCTGTTTAAATTTGTAACAATAAAAACGGAACACCCTGTATATATATATTTTTTAATTAAAACATACATTTTAATACAAGGTATTTCAGAACTCGTATCCCAAAAAAGATCAGTGTTCTGCGGTAAATAGTTATCGAGAAACTTTCTAATAAACAAATCAAAAAAAGAATTTTGGACATCAAATTTATGTCAGTTCAAAAAATTTTATCTATAAAAATTTCGAAGTTATGAGAGTTTAAATTTTGCTCTCTGTCTATTTTATCTTTCTGTTGGAAAAATAATTTTCCAAGTTTTTTTGCTACAGGTTATTAGAAAGGAAAACAAAGAAAGCTGTATCCTAACTATTATGTTTAATGTTATTTGTGGCTTTTATTGGCAAAATTTTTGTACATTTACTAAACAATTATAAAAAAAACATATACAATCAGTATCATTAAAGAGACAAAAAAAATGTCAAATGCCAAAATATAATTGTCATAGATAGAGTTTTTCACACATTTTTTCCATGTTCCTGGTATCTTATCTTACTTGAAATTTTTCTCTGGGGCGCGAGATCTGACACACCCTGTATAATTCAATAAATTATTTTGATTTATTGTCATTTTTTCTCTAGCTGTTTGGATAAAAATTACAAAACCGAAAGTAAGATTAGGTGTACATAAAGCCCTTTTTTTCATTTTTATGTCAATCGAATGACAAAACGTCCAATATTCCGTGTCCGCAATTGTATTAACAATGAATGCAACTAAAATAAATTTTTATGAAAACACTGACAAGAAAGGAAAATTCGTAAAAATATCAAACAAAATATTGGAATAAAGAGCTTTTCATTACTTTGAAACACTCTGTATAAAACAGAACCGACTGAAATGTTTAGAAACTACAATTAAATTGCACCAAAACCATTTTGAAATTTTATTGAATTTAGAAAAATGAGCTAACTCGCCCAAAAATTGGTTAAATTTTTGGTAATGAAACTTAAAGTGACGCTTTTTGTGCAAAATTTCTTGAAGTAAGTGAATTTGAATAGTTTTTCTGATTACTGCATTTATTACGGTTTGTAGAAGAGACACAGCAAGAATAAAATGATTAAAACCGAATTGTTTTTTAAAATTCCCGAGTTATTACGTTTCTTCTTCCGATCTTTTTTTTTCGGCTCAAAATCGTAGGGTGGGTCTTTCGGAATCGGTTCAAGTTTTCCACACAAATACTTGTATTCGTTTTTCTTATGACACGGAAACTTCTTGGGACATTTCGAACAAGCTTTCCCTTTTGTATTAATCGGATATCCTGGTAAACTAATATTTCCTTCGATATCTTTAGCTGCATAGTTGCAAATCAAAGTTTGCACAAAATCCGGATCCAAAAAACCGTCTTTTTTCGTATTTGACGCGTATATTCGAGCACATCCCAGTATGTTAGCGGCCCCAGATATGAACGTCGCAAAATGTTCAACTTTTATGTCTGAAGTGCGGTATTCGTCATAAAGTTTCCAGTTCATTTCGCCAACTCCGTCGTACCTGAATATGCGTCTTATGGTGGGAAAACAACAAGATTTATAGTGAGAAGGTTGCCTCGTAACTTGGATAAGAGCCACTAAAGAGCGAGTAAGATGGCTATATGGTGACAATTTTTTGAGATTTTCATTTGCAGTGTAAACAAAGTATCTTTCTTTTTGTCGTCATTTCAAATGTGGTCATTGTGAAAAAACTCAACTAAAAGTAGAAATACTTAAAAATCGCTTATAATGACCAAATTAACTATTAATTTTGCTTGAATAGATTTTTTTGCATAGGTTAAAACAGTTCTCAAAGCAATTCATACAAAAAAAAGTATTAATTCTTAAATTGGGGCCGAAAACTTATATTTTGCATCATATATTCTTATTTTACAGAGTGTGCCAGAAGTCGTGCCCCAGAGAAAAATGTTATACATACAGGGTGTTTACAGTCTTGGAGTTGAAATTTGACCTAGTAATAGAAGAGTACAGAAATGCTATAACCGAGAAAAAAACTCACACAATTGTTATTATCAAGAATATTATTTAACTCCAAAATATTGGTACACGGTTTGAGGGTCACTGGAATTATTTCCTTGTTCAGATAAAATTGTATTGTTGCAACAGATAAAAAAATCGTATCTATGACAATGAAAGAGAAAAGTCACTTCATAGTTTTAACACTGTCATCATTTGATTTGCTTTTGCTTTAGTTTTTATCAAAATTCGAAGGTCTTCTCTCTTTCAGGGAATGGTTTCCAATAGGTTTGATTCGTTTTTCTCCAAATTTATGAACATGTATGGCAAAATATTAAAATAATAAATTGGTTGTCGTGATTATGATTTACGGTGAAACACAAGGTAATACTAATGGCCATTGTTGCAGCCGAAGCAGCAGTTCTCAAACAAATAGTGTAAAATGAATAATTTCCTTTAACAACGTGAATTTTTGTTTTATATAGTGTATTAGTTTTCTTTTACCGTGAATATCATCTCATTTAAATTTCAACCTCAAGACCGTAAACACCCTGTATAAGTTAAAATACCAGGAACTTTGAAAAAATGTTGGACAAAAATTTGTCTACTTACAAAAATTTATGAGAGTTTAAATTTTGCCCTTTGACTATTTATTTCTGTTGGAAAAATAATTTTCCAAGTTTTTATACAGAAACATTAATAATAGCCACTTTTTATGTTCTGGAATAAATTTATTATAATTATTCTCATTAATGTCCTGATTTTGAACTGTCTGAAGTTGGTCACTTTATGTCAGATTTCAGATTTGTGTTTTTATTATTGTGTTGCAACTTGCATTATTTACCACATCTTCCTTTATGCTTCTAGCCTTATTTTTAACTTTATTATTCAATATCGCAAAAACTATGCATCGTAGAGTATTTTAACCTGTTGCATTGTGTTCAGCGGGTAATTTTAGGTCTAAAAAACCATATTTCAAGCATGTTTAAACTCAAAAAATTCGTAAGTTTTTGAACTTGATCCAATAACATTTTATTCACTTTTTTGAGTCTTTAAAATCATTAGAAATGAAAAAGCGTTGTATGGATCAATTTTAAAGTTGAAAAAATTTTGATTTTTGTCGATTCTTGCCACTCGGGGCGGTCTATAGTGACCTTTAAATGGTAATTTAAAGGTCACTAATTGAGATACTAATCTAGTGCATCACCTAAAATTATTTTCAACTATACAGCATGTCCCAAAAATAAGTTACGATACAAACTTGTGTTTTTTTTTAATGAAACACCATATGTTTCGTGGCATTTTTGGATGTAGCCTTTTAACATAATGTTTTTACGCTAAACTTTTATTAGTCGATTTCGCTTAGTTTTAGAAATAAGACGGTTTTTTTTTGACAAAAACATGCACTTTTTAAAAAGTAATTACGCAAAAACGAAGACAGCTAGAACAATTTTTTCTTACTTCTGCAAAAGAAGAATATACAGAATTTAATTAAATTAAATTCAATTAAATCTTAATAAATTAAGAAGTTTGTTAAAAGTTAAATAACTTAAAAAATTTAACATCCTATTTTTTATTTTTGCATTTAATAGATTGATAAATCGTCTATCTTAAAAAATAAACTTTTAATGTCTAAAACTGATAAATGAAAAGATATTTAACTTTAAATGTTAACTGTAGCAACAATGCCTATTAATATCTGAGCATTGTTGATATATGGCAATCAAACCAGGTGAATAAACTATTTATTTTTTGAAAAAACTAATTGATTAGTGCTAAAGTACCATTAAAATGTGATGATTTAACAATTTTTGAGTTCTACAAAAAAAATAATTTTTTTAAATAGCAACCCACTATAAATTCATTTTTCTAATAAAAGCTATACTCTAAGGATTACAACTATCTGCTTTATTTTTAATTAAAAAAAAAAATTTTTCACATAAATTGCAATTTTGACAAAAAAAATCGCATAACTCAAAAACAAAACAAAATTTCGTTCCGAAATTACGATCACATTTTTTATATTACTTTAATTTGTATTAATTATTATTTTACGGAGGCAAATGATTAAAAGTAGAACCGCTTGGTTCCATACTTTATAATCACCCTGTAGTAATTCCACCATAGTTGATTTATCCAAAAATTGTAAAAGTTGTTATAAATACTGAAATTCAAATTACTTTATTGTAAAAATAAAAAATAATGCATTCAGTTTAACACAAATGTGATTATTAAGTGATATTTCTTCCATCTCTTGTGCAACTGTGCACTTTTTAGCTACTGAAACAATAGTAATTTTTTTCTAATGTTTAGCTTTAAATATCTTTTTAGTTATAGATTATAAACACCTAAAAGTAAATAATTTTAGAAAGACAATTTAATAATCTTTTAAAAAAACAATAAATAGGGTGTTCCATTTAAATTTTTTAAGTTATTGAACTTTTAACAAACGCCTTCATTTTTTTATCTTTGCAAATGCAACACACTAAAAAAATGTTACAACCTTATAGCTTCTACCTTCTTCTTTACGGTAGTAATTTTTTTTTAAATGTCTTAGTTTTTGTGTAATAAATATTTAAAAAATGCATGTTTTTGTCAGAAAAAAACGTCTTATTTTCAAAACTAATCAAAATCGACCAATAAAAGTTTAGCTTAAAAACACTGTCATAAAAATCTACATCCAAAAACGCTAGAAAACATATGGTGTTTTATTTAAAAAAAACACAAGTTTGTATTCTAACTTATTTTTGAGACCCGCTCTATAGTTGAAAATAATTTTAGGCGATGGACTAGATTAGTATCAATCAATGTCCTATATATATTTTTTATTTTACCATTGAAAGGTCACTAATGGACTTTTTCAACTCGCTGGGACACCCAGTATATTTTATTTATTTTACCCTTAATAAAAAATATTTGATCAGTATTTATTTAACGGAATTCTAGTTTTTTAACTTGATAATATGTTTGGTTGCATATCCTTTTTTTGAACGATCACTCCAGTGACGTCAATTCGCGCGAATAATGCGCACACGTGATTGGTGCAAAGTTACGAGGCAACCTTCTTACTTTATAAATCTTGGCAAAACAACATCAATTTACCAGTGTTTGATCTGTGTTTTTACTCGCTTAAACGAAAAGTCTTTAATACTGAGTCCAGCGATATTCTGGGCTGCTCGCACCCCATTGTGCATTTTTCTGCAATTATCGTGCGTACCGGAAAAAAAACTCCGTCCGTAACACCTCGCCAAAAATTCAAGCTCCAGATTATAATTCATCACCATCATATCGGCCACTTCTCTGTTGTAGCTTCTCCTCTCGTCGCCAGAAGCGAAGTAATTTCGCCAATGATTGTGTTCATCGATGCACAACTGTCGAAATTCCACAAATTTTTCTAAAACTTCAGTTCGACTTCCTCGCTGTTTGCAGTCGCAGCCGCTGCTTGGGCTTTTGCCGCAAAATAACTTACAGTAATTCACTTTTTTCGGGTCGAATTTTTCACCATTTGTGTAGATTTGAAACAGTGCAAAAAATAACACGGATTGAAACATTTTTTGAAGTTTGTTACAGAAGTAGCCTTGATTTTAAACTACACAATTTGAGGTCTCGTGAAATTATTTTGAAAATTTCTAGTAATTTTTGAGACTATGGTGGTAAAATTGGCTGCTTTTTCGTTTTTACAGTCCGATAGGTGTTTTTAATTTTTATTTTTTTTTGATTTGACTCTAAGTGACCCGAAGCAATACGGAGAGATTCGAATCAACCCGAAGTGGTGGCGTATGTAATGTTGGAAGTTTTAAAAATGGCGAGAAATTCAAATTTTACATTTTTATTATACATTACTCCAAAAAATTAAAGGAACCAAAAATTTTCCCCAGATTTTTTCAAAAATTAATCAATATTGTTTCTTAAATGTTTTTACAAATTTTCAAGAAAAAATCAAATTTTTTGTTTACTTTTTTTATTTTTAGCAAATTTTTAATGCAAAGTTGTAAAAAAAACGAAAAAAATTTGTTCCTTTAGTTCTTTTGCAAAACTTTGATCAATCGGTCCGAGAAAACGGTTTGATAGATCGATTTAAAAATTTACACAACTATTGGGGACACATTAAGCTGTAAAAACACCCAAAAACATTTGTCTCTTCATCAATATTAGTGAATACGCGGTAGATTTACTAAGACAACGCAAAAGGTTACTTTTCTTTAAATCAATGTTAAAGATGAAAAAAAAAAATTTCTAAAAAATCATAAAAAGATCTTATAAGACATTTCTTCCAGTTTTTGACACCACCCTTATATTCTCTGTGTGGTCATTGGTTGACACAAGAATCCTTTTCCATTTAAAGTCATATATCTCAATGACAAAATAATTGACATAAAAAGAATATTAAAAAAACATATTAAAGAAAACGAATATGCTATCCGGCATATGCATTGACTTAAGTAAAAAAATCTCCACGCCGTAGAACAAAAACTGAAAAAAACTTAAAAAAATTTCTCGCGATATTACTTAGAATTGCGTGATAACCGTAGCACATAAAAAATTTTTGCAAAAAATCTCAAAACTAGAAACTTAAAGCTTCAAAATGTTTTTTTTTAATCTAGTTGCGACTATTTTTTGATGAGTTACAGCCTTTCAAATCAACAAAAAATTTGGGAAAATATTTTGTTACTTTAATTGTTTGGACTAGTGTATCAAATATAAAACAGTCAAATGAAGGATTTTTTAAAAGTTTTTTATAATGAGTAATGATTGGAGAAAAATTAACTGCACATACAGGGTGTTCCAGAACTCGCGCCCCAGAGAAAAATGTCATATAAGGAACATAGAAAAATGTTTAAAAAAATTTATCTTTAAAAATTTTGAAGTTATGAGAGTTTAAATTTTGCACTTTGACTCTATTTATTTCTGTTGGAAAAACAATTTTCCAAGTTTTTTTGCTACAGGCTATTAGAAGAGGAAATTGGCAAAATTTTTGTACCTTTACTAAATGATAAAATATAAACATACAAGATCATCAGTATCATTTAATAGATCTAAAAAAATGTCAAAAATCAAAAAAAATTGTCAAAATTTTTTGACAGATAGAATTTTTTTCAAGTTCCTGGTATCTGACCTTACTTGAAAATTTTCTCTGAGGCGCACCCTGTATAGAAAATTCTCAAGGGGTTTTCTCAAAGCAAAAAAATAATAGAGAATACATAATAGAGAACTAATTAAAAGAGAATAAAATTAATCCTTGTATTTTTTATTCGAAGTATTGAAGAGTTATTAAAATTTTAATGTTCTTGTAAATTTGTAAAAATTAAAAGTAATTATCTAACCCAAACGTAAATCTTAATTTTTTTAATAAATAAAATTATATTTGTTTATAAAATGTTATAGTTTCTGATGTTTTTGGTCTAGTTCTTAGAAAAAAATACAATCAACAAAAAATTATTATACAACACAAAAGTAAAGTTTTGTATACAAAAATTTATCAAGGTTTGAAACCAAAGTATACAGATTCCATTGGAGTGCGGACTCATCGCTCCCCCAACTGCAATTTTTTTGACATTGGATAGACTTATTATTACTGTAAATCAACACAAACGACGTTTAAAAATAATGTATCTTTCGAACAAAAAAAGAAGTACGCCACTGGAATTACGTATAACAAAAATATGACTTAAAATGTGTTAATTTGTTAATAGGTAACAATAAAATAAAAGAAATAGCACCAAAACATGTGGTTTTGATATCAAATTGCTTGTACCGTATTTCAAATAAATCAAAATCAATTAATCCATTAAAAAGTTATTGAAGAAAAACTAAAATAATTTTTAAATTGTGGCGCCCTCTAACTTTTAAATGGTGCAGCTTGGGTAAAGTCGCTTTATTTTGATCTGAGAAATCTCAGGTTACTCTTAGTCCTTACGTTTTCGTTACACCCTGTATAATATTTTTTCACTACTGGCACGTTTATTAGAGTGGGATAAAAGCCAAAAGTACACACCTAGGCGTGTATGCGTAGATTTTTTTTTAAGTTGATATAAAGCAGTGCCGTACAGAGTTAGTTCATTCTTGTAATATTTGCAAAGAGACTTTAAAAAGAAACTATTTAAAAAAATAAATTTAAAATGCAGCTTTTTAATAGTTTCAGGTATAACTAATTAACTTTAGTTAAATTTTATTGTTTCGATTATTGGGTGTTTTCATGTCTTTAGCACCAAAAAATGTCTATTAAGCACTCGAAAATACCCAACACGGACGCACTGAAAACTCAACCACGACGTAAGTAATTTATTCGGACAATTATTACAATTCGAGGAGCAAGATATTTTATAGACGACGGTTTTAGTGATATTAATGTCGTTAGTGCAAACTGATCCACAATGAATGAATCTGTTGGCAATCCTGACTCTAATTTTTAAAAGTTACCAACAATCTTGAGAGTTTGTATCTACGATAACTAGCTTTTTTATTTACAACACAAGAAGACAATAAAAAAATAAAAAGTCATGGTTACTTCTGTAAACAAACTTGTCAAATATTTTTGATTGAAAATTATGACAAAATTCAAAATTATGTATCAGTCGTTTTTATTCATCCCACTGTTTCTACTGTGGGTAAATGGTGAAGAGAAATATGACCCCAGAAAGGTGGATTATTGTTCGAAAAGTTGTAACAAAGTACAATCAACTGGTTGCAAATGCAAACAGCAAGGAACTCGCACTGAAATTTTAGATAAAATGGTGGAATTTCGCCAATTATGTTTAGACGAACACAATCATTGGAGAGATTTTATCGCTTCTGGTAACGAAACTCGCGGCTTTGCCAAAACAGCCGCCGACATGATGGTCATGAACTATGACCTGGAGCTTGAATATTTGGCACGATGCTATGGAAGAAGCACTTTTAACGGATACCACGATAAATGTAGAAAGTTGCACAATAATGGCCAATCAGGACAGAATCTCGCTGGATACAGTATTAAAGACGTCAGTTTTAAACTGATAAAAGAACAAATTTTCGACTGGTAAAAGTTGAAAAGGTTTGATCACTTCTGTATTTTTTCCTTGGCAGGTATGACGAAGTCAAAGACATGCAGGAAGATATTTATGCGAAATTCCGTTCTGGTGGGGCAGCAGGGATTCAAATTGGACATTTTACAGCAATGTGTTGGGGGGCTGCTAATATTGTAGGTTGTGCTCGAATTTATACATCAGATCCGAAAAAAGACAACTTTGTAAATCCGATTTATGTGCAAACTTTAATCTGCAACTACGCTGTGAAGGATATTCAAGGAACAGTCAACTTGCTTGGCAGTCCGGTGCATATCCAAGGACCACCTTGTTCGAAATGTCCCGAAGGGAAGAAATATAATAAATGCAACACGAAGTACACCTCTTTGTGTGGGGAATTAGAACCGGTGCCAACCGACGAACCGTTTGATTTTAATAAAGCACCAAAACACAATTCCATTCTCATGGTCATTTTCATTGCTCTATTTGTGGTTTCTCTCTTCTAAGAAACAAACTGTTTGAATTATGTGATGCTTTGTAATGACAAATTTCTGTATTTTGTATTAAAAATTTCTGGGAAAATAAACAATGACTCGAATCTTGGGTTTTGCTAAAAATAACAACGTAAAATCTAGTAAGTAAAAATGACGTTCTAAATAGAGTTGAAATGTCATACTTTCCAACTTTTCACAAGCAAAATAATTTGATTTTTTGATAAATGCCGAAAAAATGTATCTACTGAAAAAATACAATTATTGCTTGATGGCGTCACGTTGAAAATCACATTTATTATCTAAGTTCTCAAGCGCATCTCTCCCGGCTTTACCCTACTAAAAATAAACTTATTTAAGCCAAAGACGATCGATTGAATACTGGATTTATAAAAAATTTAAATTCTGATACATTTTGTTTATTTAAATTAAAAAAACAAAAATTATTTTGTCGCTTTTTTATACATATACAAGGTGTTGACGGTCTTGAAGTTGAAAATTAACCTAGTAATAGAAGAGTACAGAATTACTGTAACCAAGAAAAAAAATAAACAAAATATTGGTACACGGTTTGAGGGTCACTGGAATTATTTCCTTGTTCAGATAAAATTTTATTGTTGCAACAAATAAAAAATCGTATCTATAACAATGAAAGAGCAAAGTCACTCCATAATTTTGACACTGTCATAAAAATAAATAAAAAAGTAAAATAAACAACAAAAAAAACATAACAACAAATAAAAAATCGTATCCACAACTTGGAAAGAGAAAAATCACTCCATAGTTTTGACACTGACATCATTTGCTTGATTTTGCTTTAGTTTTTATCAAAATTCGAAGATCTTCTATTTAATCTCTTCCAGCGAAACGGTTTTATTCGTTTTTCTAAATTTTTTTCCAAATTTTTGAACATGGATGACAAAAATATTAAAAGAATAAACTGATTGTCGTGATTATGATTTACGGTGAAAGATAAGCAGCAGTTCTCAAACAAATAACATAAAATGAATTATTTCCTTTCACAACGTGAATTTTTGTTTTATATCTACTGTGAATATTATCTTATTTAAATTTCAACCTCAAGACCGTAAACACCCTGTGTTTCTACAACACTTACTTAAAAATGTACATATTGTAATTTTTTATTGTAGGTGGTGAAATATGTAATATACCACAACATAGAGAAAAGATTTTTATAGTAGAGCTATTTATTACCCAAGATGTGTAACATCGAGGGAGATAATAAATGAAAAGCTATAGAAATTAAACGTACTTTACAATATTCACTTCAATTGTTGAGCAGTGTGTTTTGGCTATTTTATTAGTGGGTGAAAAAAACTCATTTTAGAAACTTAAAAATGTCAAATGTCAAAAACTAAATGTCAACATTTTTGACAGATAGAATTTTTTAATTAATTTTAATTTTTTTTTATTTTACTTGACATTTTTGTCTGGGACGCGAGTTCTGACACACCCTGTATACTATTTTATCTTCACAATCACAAACAAACGGCAATTTGAACTTTGTTTACTATTTAAGAATAAACGGCCATTTTGATATTTTTAATTTTGACATTTGTTACCCACGCACATGGACGACTCGTGTTACATGACATCCATTAAATATTGGGTAATAATTTTGTTATTTCGCTTGTTTCGAGGTTTTATTTAATAGGGATACCTAATATTAAAACGTGATTTCACCGTATGAAATATTTCTAATGTTTTACTATTAGACTCGGTCGAACCGCTCCGGTGGACATTTCAACTCCTAGGATTTGAAGTATTTTAACTTTGCTACATACAGGGCTGTCCCAGTGAGTTAAAAAAGTCCATTAGTGACCTTTAAATGGTAAAATTGAAAAAAAAATGTATAGAACATTGATAGATACTAATCTAGTGCATCACCCAAAATTATTTTCAACCATACAGCATGTCCCAAAAATAAGTTACGATACAAACTTGTGTTTTTTTAAATGAAACATCGTATGTTTCTTTGCATTTTTGGATGTAGCCTTTTAAAACAATGTTTTTACGCTAAACATGTATTAGTCGATTTCGTTTAGTTTTAGAAATAAGAGGTTTTTTGTCGAAAACATGCACTTTTAAAAAAATTATTACACAAAAACTAAGACAGAACAATTTTTTTCTTAATTCTGCAAAGAAGAAAGTACAGAATTTAAAGCTGTAGTAATTCTTTAGTGTTTTGCATTTGTAAAGATTAATAAATTAAGAACTTTGTTAAAAGTTGAATAACTTAAAAAATTTAAATGGACACCCTGTTTTTTTATTTTTGCATCTAGAATTGTAGAATTGATAAATAAAAAGGTATTTAACATTCAATATTAATTGTAGCAACAATGCCTATCAATATCTGATCACTTATCCCTTGATTTATCCAGAGATTGTAAAAGTCGTTATAAATACTGAAATTTGAATTATTGTTGGTGCATGAAAATGAAATGAAAGAAGGCGGATTAAAAATCAAAAATCTCTAAGTACACGTTTTTATTTTAAATTAAAATAAGAGATCCTAATTAAACATAAAAAAATTCAAATTAACTCACAAAAGTAACAAAAAATAAAATATATTTTTAATACTTTTTATTGTTACAAATTTAAACAGGAGATAGAATATTCATTTTTAAAACAAAAATTTTCTATGAACATATATCGAAAAATGCTACGCAAGGGGTGCGTTTTTTAATAGGTTTTTTTCAATATTTCCGAAATCATTTTAGAAAAAAATTTCAAAATCTGGTACAGATGATAACTGTTATACACCTAAACAAGTACAAAAATAAAATGTAAAAATTTTTAATTAGGGGCTTCCTAAACTAGATGGGGTTAGGGTAAAAATTTATTCTATTTTGCCTATGGTTTCTTGCCACTTTCAAGAACAAAATTTCATAGTTTTTCTTAAAAAAAGGTCTTTTGTGTTTTTCAGATACAATTTACGGATTTTTAGTAAAAATCGGTTTAAAATTTATGTTACAGACCATAAACACCATAAAAATTAAAAATTAAATTTGTTTTACCGTTTAGGACGCCCCTGATTAAAAATTTTGTTATTTGGCATTTGTTTAAGTGTACATATAAGGGTTCCAAATTTTGTAATTTTATCTATTTTGAAATATTAGGAAAACCTTTTAAAAAACGTATCTTTTTTAGGAGATGTAGCTCCCTTTCACAACATTTTTCGAAACACTTTTGTCTTAAAACTAAATATTCTATCAAGTATTTAAATTTGTACCTAACAATAAAAATGAGACAGTGTATAATTAACACATGAAAAATTAATTCAAAATTTAAAATTAACTCACTAAAATAACAAAAAAAACTAAATTTTTAACACTTATAACACTATATAACAAAGTGCTCAGCATTTCGGGAGGGGTTTGAACCCCCTAATCCCCCCCCCCCCTTGGGTACGGCCTTGACTAGAGTAGTATCTATCTTTTTAATTTTAATTTAAATTATTTTTGAGACCGCTCGAAGACAAACGTTTTTTTTATTATTGTGTTTATTACGATTTACCAAAAAAGACACACCAACAATACAACGACTAAAATCGGATTATTTTTTAAAATTTCCGAGTTGTTTTTACGCGGTCGCTTTCGCTTTACTGGCTGTTTCTGTTCTTTACTAATTTTTGGTTCAAAATTAAAGGGTTCGTCTATTGGAATTTTTTCTAGTATTCCACACAAAGAGGTGTACTTTTTGTTACACTTGTTGTATTTCTTTTTTTTGGGACATTTCGAACAAGGTGGTCCTTGGATATGCACCGGACTGTCAAGCATGTTGACTGTTCCTTGAACATCCTTCACAGCGTAATTGCAGATTAAAGTTTGCACATAAATCGGATTTACAAAGTTGTCTTTTTTCGGATCTGATGTATAAATTCGAGCACAACCTACAATATTAGCAGCCCCCCAACACATTGCTGTAAAATGTCCAATTTTAATCTTTTCTGCCCCACGAGAACGGAATTTCGCATAAATATCTTCCTGCATGTCTTTGACTTCGTCATACCTGCCAAGGAAAAAATACAGAAGTGATCAAACCTTTTCAACTTTTACCAGTCGAAAATTTGTTCTTTTATCAGTTTAAAACTGAGGTCTTTAATACTTAATCCAGCGAGATTCTGACCAGATTGGCCATTATTGTGCAACATTCTACATTCATCGTGAAATCCGTTAAAAGTACTTCGTCCATAGCATCGTGCCAAATATTCAAGCTCCAGGTCGTAGTTCATGACCAACATGTCGGACACTGATTTGGCAAAACCGCGAGTTTCTTTACCAGAAGCGATGAAATTTCGCCAACGATTGTGTTGGTCTACAATAAATCGGCGAAATTCTACCATTTTGTCTAAAATTTCGATACGAGTTCCTTGATGTTTGCATTTGCAACCGGTGGATGTTGCGTTGTTGTTATAACAAGTTTTCGAACAATAATCCACCTTTGTGGGGTCATATTTTGTTCGACCATTTACACACACTAGAAACAATGCGAGGAATAAAAGCGACCGAAACATAATTTCGAATTTTGAAGTAAATTTCAAACTAAATATAAACTTACAAAAGTAACCATGACTTTTTAAATTTTTTGACACGTTGCACAGTCTCGTGGACAAAAATCAAAAAATTTTTGAAAAAATTTTGACCTTCTATTATTTATAAAAAAGCCTAGACAATTGTTTCATACACACACCTTATTGTTTACCTTTTTTTAAGTCAGTTCAATGCCAAACGTCTGGAGTTAAGTTTTTTTGACAAAAACACTTATCAGTTATTTTTTTTTTCTTGTGTCGCTTGCTTTGTGGACGTGTGTGCAGAAAACCATCGTAAATATGGAGTGTCAAGGTTTATAGCTTAACATACTGCATTTGAATTGCATGCCTGTAAAATGAACCATCTAACAATTTGGGATAAATTCTAACTTTGAAAAAACTTTTTAAAAAATCATGAAATATCATTTTGTCCTTTTTGCATATTCTTATTATTTTTGACTTTCATAGTTTTATGTCTTTTTCTAGGCAAAGTTTTGACTAAAGTCTGGTTTTTTTTTTAATGGAAATTACCAAGTCAAAATTTTGGTGAAAAAAGTGGTAGCAGCTTGTCTCCATAACCACAAATTTTGTTTGCTCTTTGTTTTTGTCCCTAGAAATTTTATTAGAAAATTATGGTTATGTTTTCGAATTGAGATGTTGTCAAAATTTTGACTTTAATGAATCTTGTGTGCCTGTTTGTTCTTTGAAAGCGCTATAATTGAATACCTGAGAACAGACATCATTACCTAAGGTCTAAAGACAGAATTCAGTGCTAATAATTTTGATAGAAACACACCGCAAGTAAGTACAATGTTGTGAACGAAAATAAGGTTCTTGCTACAAAAGTTTTGAAGAAAAAGGATGTGTATACAAAAAAAGTTATTTAGCAAAAGATACAAGTGGGTATATTGATGATTGGTAATAAATTTTGTGGAATTTATTGAAATGAGCTCAAAGTTGATGCATTTTATAAATTCTTCTTCAGCTTTAGTTTCAAAATTATTACTTTTTCAACTCATTCCTCAAAAAACGATGCACAAGACACTAATTTAATTGCGTTCTTTGCGAGGTTCTTTCTCATTCATGTTTATTTTGTATTCTTGTCAATTTTTTGCTAAAAATTAAGAATGTTTAGCAAACCTGCATTACAAATTGCGTCAACATTTTAACGGGCCCTTTTTCTAACTTCCTGCTTGCGAACTATTCGTTTCCAAATTTCTAAAAACTGTTAGTGTACTGAATTTGTTCATTTTTTGGTGTTTCGTCTCTAAATTTTCGTGGACGATTTTTTGTAATGACATTGTTTTCAAATTAATTCATGCGTTGATGACAGTAATAATTACTAATAATAATAGTAATAATTACTGTCAATCAAGACAGATGACGAAAATTACCATGAATGAATTTACTAGTAATGCCAACGTTAAGACTGTTTGGCATTTCCATTTAAAAAAAAACAGACTTTACTAAATTATATTTTTTACGTTTAAATCCCGAAATCTAAAAAAAATGGATACATGTTAGGAATATAATCTTTCATTTTTAGCATTTTTAGCTAAACAGATTTAAAAAATATGTGCTTTCAAGATTCATCCTTTACGCGCTTTTATCTTGTAGAGGTTACACATATTAAGAAAAATATAATTTCTGAGAAAACAAATTCCAAGGTTTGACATGTCAAATAATCTGAAAGAAAATTTAATGTGTCAATATTAGTTTTTGAATTATTGGGAAAAACAAAAATTTGTAATTTGTAATTTTCGTTTTTATTTATTCAAGCGAAAACTAAAAGACCTAGACGTTTTTAACTAGGACGTTCTTTCTTCTGTCGTTTAAAATACAGGATGTGTCAGTGCTAGCGCACCAGAGAAAAATTTCAAGTAACATGGAAAAAATGTTTAAAAAATTCTATCTGTCAAAAAAATTTACATTTATTCTTTGACATTTGACATTTTTTTAAGTCTATTTAATGATACTGATGATCTTGTATATATTTCTTTACAATTATTTAGTAAAGGTACAAAAATTTTGCCAATAAAAGCCACAAATAACATTGAACAGAGTTACAATTTAGGACACAGCTTTTTTTGTTTCTTCTTCTAATGGCCTGTAGCAAAAAAATTTGGAAAATTATTTTTCCAACAGAAATAAATAGAGTCAAAGTGCAAAATTGAAACTCTTATAACTTCGAAATTTTTATAGATAGAATTTTTTTATTATTTTTCCATGTTCCTGGTATCGTATCTTACATGGCATTTTTTTCTGGAGCGCGTTTTCAGGCGCACCTGTATATTTTTCAATTAAATATTGATAGTAAATACAAAAGGAGTCTAAATCAAATATTTACAATGAGATTTGTATATTTTTTTTTAATTCTAAGAAATACTATCGTAAAATACTTGTAAACCTAAAGCGTGAGTAACATTGTTGCCATTTTTATCACAATTTTAGCTAAGTTATAAACCACCATAATAAATTTACCTTTTAATAAAATTAGAATAAACAAAAAAATATTATAAAATTGTTTTTTTGTAGAAGAGATGTAACTAAATTGGGAGCAAAATTAAAATTTCTAGTTTTTGAATGTATGAAACCACTAAAATTTTAGCAATTTTGCAATTTTTAGTCTGATTGCAAATCTTTGCAAAAAAATATATCATTAAGTTTAAAAATTAAAAAAAAAGATTAATACAAAAACGTGCTGCTGTCATTTTTGAAACTCACTGTATACATAAAAAATAGAATAAAGTTACAATAAGAAGTGATTAAGAAGTTCGAATAATCAAACAATTGTCATAAAACAATAAAAACTTTAATGAAAAAGTTTAAGAGTTGACCACAAATTTTACAAATTTTCTACAATTTAAACATTCCGAGCAAGAGTTCAAGCCAAATATTGCATTATTTTTTTTTAACTTAAAAAAAAGCTTTTTTACTAAGAAAAAAGATAGCTTTTATGAGAAGTTTGAAACAATAATGTTGCATGAAAATAATCATAAAAACACTATAACTTAAAGAAAACATTACATTTATCAAAATTGACATTTTCCAGTTCAATCGCAATTTTTTTTCTGAAATTTTTTCAACAATTCTTCAATTTGTAAGCCTTTTTCAGGAAAATATACCCATATAAGATTACATATTCAAAGAGAACAAACTATAAATAAAAAATCAGAATAAAAAAACACATTTTTTTTCCAACAGAAATAAATAGAGTCAAAATACAAAATTTAAACTCTCATAACTTCGACATTTTTATAGACAGAATTTTTTAAACATTTTTTCCATGTTCCTGTAGTCCGGTCAAATTAGTCATAAAAATAGTGGTCAAATAACGAAAATTCCGACAGAGCTAAATTTTGGTGGAGACCTTGGGTATACCATTAGAAATAAAGTGTCAAAAGTCCCCATCGATCCCATGTGTGCTAAAAAAGTTATTCGGGGTCAAAGGTCAATATTTGACGTTTTTTAGATTTTCTTCGAAAACGGCAAGTTTTATCAGAAAAGTAGCTCAGACGAAAATTATAGATCTTAAAATTATCTACAAAATGGTCTTTATACTTTTTTTCCAAGAATCACCATTCCTGAGATATCGCGTTTTTAAAAGTTGAAGGAGTAACGTTCTACATCATATGCACATACAGAGTGCGCCAGAACTCGCGCCCCAAAGACAAATGCCATGTAGGGTAAGGTACCAGGAACATAAAAAAAAATTAAAAAAATTCTATCTATAAAAATTTCGAAGTTATGAGAGTTTAAATTTTGCACTTTGACTCTTATTTATTTCTGTAGGATAAATAATTTTCCACGTTTTTTTGCTACAGGTTATTAGAAAAGGAAACAAAGAAGCTGTATCCTAAGTTGTAACTCTGTTTAATATTATTTGTAGCTTTTATTGACAAAATTTTTGTACCTTTATCAAATAATTATAAAAAAACATATACAAGGTCATCAGTATTATTAAATGGACATAAAAAAAATGACAAATGTCAAAAAATAAATGTCAAAATTTTTTGACAGATAGAATTTTTTAAACATTTTTTCAGTACTCTGGGGACTACCCAATTAATCCCTTTCAAGGAAATGCGCGATTTTTTGAACAACCTGTATGTATTACCAAATAAATTCTTTTTAATTCTAATGGAATCGAGATATTTATAAGTTTAATGAAGTAGAAGAAAAATTTCAAGTAAAATAAGATACCAGGAACATAAAAAAAAAGTTTAAAAAATTTTATCTGTCAAAAAAATTTGACATTTGTTTTTTGACATTTGACTATTTTTTATGTCTATTTAATAATACTGATGATTTTGTATATGTTTTTTTACAATTATCTAGTAAAGGTACAAAAGTTTTGCCAATAAAAGCCACAAATAACATTGAACAGAGTTACAATTTAGGACACAGCTTTTTTGTTTCTTCTTCTAATGGCCTGTAGCAAAAAAACTTAGAAAATTATTTTCCTACAGAAATAAATAGAGTCAAAGTGCAAAATTTAAACTCTCATAACTTTGAAACTTTTATAGATAGATTTTTTTTTTAATTTTTTCTATGTTTGTGGTACCTTACCCTACATGGCATTTGTCTTTGAAGCGGGAGTTCTGACGCACTCTGTATGTGCATACCATGTAGAACGTGACTCCTTCAACTTTTAGAATCGCGATATCTCAGGAATGGTGATTGTTAGAAAAAAAGTATAAGGACCATTTTGTAGATAATTTCAAGATGTATATTTTTTGTCTGGGCTACTTTTTTGATAAAACTTACCGTTTTCGAAAAAAATCTAAAAAACGTCAAATTTCGACCTTTGACCCCGAATAACTTTTTTAGCACACATGGGATCGATGGGGACTTTTGACACTGTATTCCTAATGGTGTACTCAATATCTCCACCAAAATTTAGCTCTGTCGGAATTTTAGTTATTTAAAATGTTTATTTTGACCGGACTACTGGTATCTCACCCTACATGGCAAGCGAGTTCTGGCGCACCTGTATAGCAACACTAGCGCGACAAACTGTCAAAAAATTGAAAAAAGTCATAGTTACTTGTGCTATTGCAAATATTTTTTTTGAAATTCCCTTCAAAATTCTAAATCATGTCTCAATTTTTTTTATTCTTCGCACTGTTTGTACTTTGTGTAAATAGTGACCGAACCATTCGCCCCAAAAAGTATTGTAAGCTGTATTGCGGCAAAATTAAAGCGACTGGTTGCAAATGTAACCTAAAAGGACGTCGTACTGAATCCGAATTGAACAAAATCATCGAATTTCGCCAATTATGTTTGCACGAACACAACCGTTGGAGAAATTACATTGCTTCTGGTAACGAAACACGAGGTTCGGCCAAATCGGTAGCCGACATGATGGTTATGAACTACGATTTGGAACTTGAATACTTGGCACGATGCTATGGACGAAGTACTTTTAATGGAGATTACGACAAGTGTAGAAAACTGCAAAATGGTAGAGACGCAGGCCAAAACATCGCTGGAGTCAGTTATCAAGACTTGAGATTAGGCCGCGCAAAAAATGGAATATGTCGCTGGTAACTTGCTAGTTTTCAATCAATTTTTATTTATTTTTTTTTATTTCGAAGGTACAATGAAGTGAAATATATGGAAAAAGATATTTACTCAAAGTGGCACACGGGGAAAAATAACAAAATCGAACAATTCACTGCAATGTGTTGGGGCGTGGCTAATTTGGTGGGTTGTGCCCACATTTACACTTCAGATACGAAAAAACAAGGTTTTGTGGAAAAAAACTATGAGACTGCGTTGATCTGCAACTACGCTGTGAGGGATATTAAAGGAAATATTAATTCGCCTGGGGCCTCCATGTACACACTAGGCAACCCTTGCTCAAAATGTCCAGAAGGAGAAAAGTACAATAAATGTAACTCAAATTACACCGCTTTGTGCGGAGTACTAGAACCGGTACCAAAAGACAAACCCTATCAATTTAGCTCATCGACGAAATTATGTGCAAATATAACTCTTTTGGTTCTGACTTGGATTATTTTGGTACTAACGTGAAATTTTTCTTAGAAATCTATTAATTTGAAAACGTCGAGTGTAACAGTTTTTTTTTTTTTTTTGGTAAGTTGAGTGTACTTATTTCTGTCGCTCGCTGTATGTCGCATCAGTCACCAATTTGTACACTTTCCCATTAAACTTGTTAAATTATCGCTGTGATAAAATTTATTTCGTGACAAATCTACTAATTTAAGGTAAAACAAAGTGGTATGTAATTTGATCGAATGCACTTATTTCTGTCGCTCCCTGTTTGTAGTAATGCCACAGATTTAGACTACCAGATGTGACACAATTCAATTAATGAATGAAAATACAAACGTATTGCCAATCGAATACTGTGTGTACTGCCACAGTAAAATGTATAACATAACCTTAAATTTGTTTATTATATTTTTACAAGATGTGTCATTAGTCATGTAGCTAAATACATGGTTATATATTTTTAATAAGAAAATATTTTCTATAAAAAAACACTGAAGCATATTTTAAAAAAATCTTTATTGTTTCAGACATAAAATAGTAGATTACATAGCGAGGTGGAAAGTGTTTCGAGTTATCGAAAGATTAGATTAGATTAGATTTCTCAAAACAGAAATGAAACTTTCCACCGTGGTTTGTATACAATTTTACCTACAACCGAATCTTTAATTTTCATGAAAAAAGTAAAAAAATGTTCAAAAAGTTAGACTTATCGATCGTGTCAGTCTTTTTCATCGTCATGGCAACAAACATTGCAAACAGTGGGACTCAAAAACGAAGGTAGTAACAAAAGTAGAAAATGAAATAATGGTAGGTAATAAAAGGCCACTAATGAGTCACTTTCCAACCTCCGTTAAAGTTTGAAAAGTGAACATTACATATATTCAAGTTACACTACACTAAAGTTAGATAAAATCGTCAGTAAAAAGTGTAAAATCGGCACTAAAATAGTTCATTATATTTATTTTTGCGGTTTATTGTCAAGGTGTTACTATTGAAACGAGAAATTTGACAACAATGGACCAGTGGAAATAGTATGTTAATTGTGACCTGTCATAACGATAATAACTCTCATACATGACTATTAAATAATGATGTTATTATATGCGTATCCATACACATAATTTTCTTCTTGCATACAGGGTGCGCCAGAACTCGCGCCCCAGAGAAAATTTTCAAGTAAGGCAAGATACCAGGAACATGAAAAAAATGTTTAAAAAATTTTATCTGTCAAAAAATTTTGACATCTATTTTTTGACATTTGACATTTTTTTATATCTGTTTAATGATACTGATGATTTTGTATATGTTTTTTTACAATTATTTAGTAAAGGGACAAAAATTTTGCCAATAAAAGCCGCAAATAACATTGAACAGAGTTACAATTTAGTATACAGCTTCCTTGTTTTCTCTTTTAATAGCCTAGACCAAAAAAACTTGGACAATTATTTTTCCAACAGAAATAAATAGAGTCAAAGTGCAAACTTTAAACCCTCATAACTTCGAAATTTTTATAGATAAAATTTTTTTAATATTTTTTCCATGTTCCTGGCATCTTACCTTATATGGCATTTTTCTCTGGGGCGCGAGTTCTGGCGCACCCTGTATAATGGCTATTATTGACTCAGGTATTAAAAAAAAATTGGTCTACAACTTGTTTTTAAACTTCACTTTTATTATTTTATGCTTGTTGAATAATATACTATTATCGTTGCAAGCAAATGTGACTAATTTCATTCGATCCTTCATTAATACCGGGTGCGGCAACGGTTACGCCCATTGAGAAATCGCGACTTCTAATTTATTAAAACTGGCGATATTTCATATACCTAACTAATTATTTGTAAAGTATAATTTGATAATAAATGAATCCGTAACAGTTTTGTGTGTTTTATGAATACTTTCTGTTAATTTACCTACAAAGTTTTTACACTAAATAAATCTGTACCTGTTAGTGCATTAAACTTTGATATCACAATTTGAAATCTTGACTTGGTTAACCAAATAATCGCTTTTTTTTATTTAAATACAAACCAGTGATTTATGACAAAATGGTATAATTTGCCAACAAAAGAATCATTTACTGGTAGCCGACCGCTTTAAAAGGTCTTTTTGTTGTAAACCCAATTGCAGTTCCCCATTGTCACCTAAATTTACGATGGCACAAGTAGCAGGTCATAAATAAAAATGATTTTCAAAGTTAAGATGGAAAATTGCGTTTAATTCAAAATCTAATTGGTATTTTTTTGCTGATTTTGTAAACAATTGTAGGAAGTAAATTTGCGTAGGACAGTATAAAAATTAGAATTAAACTTTTTGGGAGAAAATTACTTTTTATTTTTTTCTGGCTTTGTTTGTAAATGAAAAATTACCAAAAAATTAGAGAATGTACCCTACTAATGCCCAGGTAAGTGTGAAAAAATTCAACAATTTTATTTAATTAGAAGTGAGGATTTTCTTCCTGGGCGTAACAGATGCCGCACCCGGTATACTCTTTTTTATATTAATGTGCATCAAGTAGGTTATAGAACTGTAAATGTCATTAATATCATTTAGAACAAATTTAATCACATCAGTAATGAGATTAAATTTTATGTTTGCCACCCTGTGTTAATTACGTTGTTAGCTTTAATAATTTTTTTGCTACCTCAAAAACTGAGATACACATTTTTATGGAGGATTGAGGTCAAAATTGTTTGAATTTTCGCATGATCGCCAACTTAAAATGATCCCTGTCGATGCACATTAACATGAAAACGACTATAAATCCGCATGTTCAAGTTCAACGAAATCTTGCAGTGAAGTTAGCGAGTGTCACATCTGGTGGTAATCTATGACGGAGACAATTAAGGTTATGTCATGCATTTTCAAAATTAAAAATGGGCAAAAGAAAGACACCATCGGGGGAGGAGACCCCAAACAGTGACTTTTGTGACTTTCTTTCAGGTATTTTCGTCTATTCTAAGCCCCAAAAATAATGAAAATTTCAGAACTGGCCGAATACGAAAAAAATATAAGTCGCAACATTCACAAATACAATGCTTATCGCAAAGCCGCAAGTGTTTTAGCTTCACATCCGATAAGAATAAAATCAGGGGAAGAATCGAAAAAATTGAACGGAATTGGGGAAAAAATCGCGAAAAAAATCGACGAATTTCTCCAAACTGGAAAACTACAAAAACTCGATAATGTAGTACCGAAAAATTCACAATTCTTGTATAATTTTCGATAATTTTCAGATCCACAATGACTCGAAAAGCACTGCAATTAATCTTCTGACACAAATCACTGGAATTGGGCCTGCGAAAGCCCAAAATCTCGTCAATGAAGGCATCACAACCCTTGAGGAGTTAGAAAAACACAAAAACAAACTAAACCACCACCAACTCATCGGTTTGAAGTACTACCACGACTTTAAAGAAAAAATCCCTAGAGACGAAATAAAAAAAATTGAGAATCTCATTCGGAGCCACCTTGAGCCCCAAATCCAACTCACAATATGCGGCAGCTACCGTCGAGGCAAACAACAAAGCGGTGATATTGACGCGTTAATCACCCACCCAAATTACACAAGCAGCCAACCCAAGAAAAAACAAAATATACTCAAAAACGTGGTGGCAGCATTGCAAAATTGCGGTTTAATTACGGAAACCATTTCATTAGGTGACACAAAATTCATGGGGGCTTGCAAATTAAACCAAGACTCAATCACGAGGAGACTGGATATTCGGTTAACCCCCTACGATCAGTATTTTTGCGCTGTTTTGTACTTCACCGGTTCTGACATGTTTAATAAGGAGATGAGGGCGCACGCTCTGGATGTGGGGTTCACCCTAAACGAGTACACGCTACGACCGGTGGGGAGCACTGGGGTCCCGGGGGAACCCGTCGAGATTCACTCCGAAAAGGACGTTTTCGACTGCATTGGGTTTCCGTACAAGGAACCCGAGGACAGAAATAAATAATTTATTACAATATTAAACGATCTAAGACTATTTTTGTGTCGTTTTTTGTTTTCTCGGCTTTAGACAAATTTTTTAATCACGTGACCGTCACCATGTTCCCGATTGGTGCATTTAAATATCTCAAAAATTCCGCCATGTTGTGATTGGTTGACGACTACAAATGCGAAAATTTTGTTTTTTGCAAATTTTGTAACCGTAGAGACGTTTTTTGTCAACTTCCAATCAGAAATCATCATGACCTAACCTGACTGACTTGAAGTGATTTGACTTGAGAAAATAAAAAAAAATAAAAAATTGAGGTTAGGTAAGGTAAAACTTTGTAGAGAGTTTTTCAGTTAGGGCCTGTAACGCATTCAAACGAGCTCGTTTGAATTGTTACAGGCTTTCTAGTGTCTTTTATGTTTTTGATGTTGGTGTCATTGTCGTTGGAAGTAAATTGCTTCAAATAAACTTACCAATTTTACGAATTTTCGGTGAGGAACATGCAAAAATTTTGAGAATTCATTTCCAGATTAAGCACAATCATAATTGTACACAAAACAACACACAATAGAGCAAAAAAATAATAATATCAGTTCGAACCACAGAACTTCGAATTTCCGAATAACACTACTACGTGTTACCAACTGACGCAAAATACCCTAAATTAAAAAATTTCTATTTTATTAAAATTGTAAGAATAATTGAATTGGATGTGCTATTTTCGCAAATAAAACTTCAAAAAATTGTAATAACATAATTTAAACACAAACTTATTTGTAACACGTTTGAAAAACCAAAATTCTATGCTTTTTTCTGACTCGCTTTCTTCAAATGATTTTTGCTGTGCAAATGCTGTTTGAACTGCACCTCGGAATTGGTCGAGCAGTCGCACGTTTGGCAGTAATACTGCCCTGAGGGGGTCCTGTAAACCGAGCAATCGCCGGCGTCAGCCGTCAAAACACTCGTCAAAATGCTATCATGGGGGCTCCCCACTGGCGCCAAGTCCCCAGCTTGCTGCTTCAATTTTTTCCGGTGTTTTTGCCCATTGTAGTGACTTTCCAACTGTTCTTGACACGTCGTGGTTATATTGCACAATTCGCAGCGAAACCCCGCAACAGGGGGCTGCTCTGGGTGAAAATCAGACCCAAATCCGTCACTGGTGCTGTTACTACAACTGCTATTTTTCAATAAAAAAGACAGTCGGGGGGCCCCGACTCACCTCTCGCGTTTCCACTTTCCGGTGGGGTCGTAATGCCCCTTCCCGGCCGGTGTTTTCATGCCCAAAGTCGCCCTAAAACACCATTACCAAGGTGGGAATTACAGAAACCTGTAATTTACTTGCGGTGGTTTTTGCCCAAATAATGCGACTCGGCGTGGAGTTTCCCAGTGAGGGGTAAATCACACACATCGCAGTAGTAGTACAAAGGGTTGGAGTCGTCGGAGTCGCCCTCTCGGGCCACCTTGGCCCTTTTATGTAATGGTTCTCCCGTTCGTTCTGAGTATTCGATCAAAAACTTGCGTATTTTTTTCTCATGGTTCTTGGATTTGTAATGCAGCTTAGCCACAAGGTTGCTACTAAGTTGGGCCGAGCATAATTTACAGTACAAGGGTTGAAAAAGTGATGTTAATTCCCGGGGGAGCGTCTCGTCAAAGCAGTCCGGAATTGTGTCTTTCACTGCAAAAACAACGACAAAAATTTGAAAAAACAGTCGAATTAAACTTACAAACATGATTTTGGTACGTTTTTGGCTTCTCACACTCCCGTTTTTGCAGGGATTGCAAAATTAGGTTACGAGCTGCCTCCACTTCTATGGGGGCTACTACAGGGGGTTGAGGATCCACCATATAGTTATAATACGAATTTTCCATCACTTGTTGCGACGCTGGGCCACTTTCGTCCAAACTTAGCTTTCTTTTGGGAATTTTAAAGTTTTTATCGAGCTCTTTAGCTGTCATTGATTGAGGTTAGGTTTTCATTTGAATTTCAAAATATTACAATTTTTAGTTTTTGGAGTACTTACATGGGATATATTCCCCATCCTCGCTTGTTTGCATTGTGAATTTATCCAATTTAAACACAGGAGAACACTTATTATTGATTTAAAAATCGTAATATGCACCACACAATACCAAAGTGTGCGATGTGTTGCCTACCCATTTCTTCTCAAAATCAATCTAAAAGAGTTTATTTACGAAATTGACTCTTCTTATCAGTCAATAGTAACGGTTTTGATGACATTGAATAGAAAAACGTCTTTGACAATGTTGTAGTGTAACAAACAGCACGGTAAGACCAATTCTCTTATTTTCTTTATTTAAAGTTGGTCACAATGCATGTAAAATCTTCATTATTACAGTCGTTTTAATCTTTTTCATTTTTGTACGAGTGAGCCAATTATGCTGCACCAAAACTTTATAATTGGTGATACTGCGTGTAAACTATCTTATTTTCTTAATTTATTGTTGGTAACAATGTATGTAAAACCCCATTAGTGTTTTGCACGTGTGAGCGATATGTGCTGCACCAATAATATAAAGTTGGTAGTAATGCGTGTAAAGCCCAAATTATTTCAATAAAACCCCCAATTTTAACAAACAAAAAAGCATTTATTGCTACTTTACAACTTCAAGTTTTCCTTCATACAAACAAAAGAAAAAAATACACAAATATACACTACTTAAATGACAAGAAAGTGAATTATAATACACATTTATTACATTTTTTGTTCATAACAGTTACAATAATTACATTAATATTGTCGAGTTTTCTTATACAACTTCTAACACATTTTGTTTTCCTAAACGTTGTTTTTTTCAAAAACCAACGCCCAAAAAAATTGACACCTAATCGATAAAAACGAAACAAAAAAATCAGATTCCAACAATATAAAATTTTTGATAAAAACAAAAATTATTGGTTCATATATGGATACGAAATCTCAGTAAGCGGGACGAATGTCTCTTTGACGGCTTGAGGATTTCCCCATCGGAGCACATAGTGCGGCCCACCAGCCTTATCATTGGTTCCTGCAATCACGTGTTAAAAAAATCAATCACTGTGATTGGTCACACATACCTGATAATCGGGCCCCACCGAACGGTTGTTGTCCAACAACACTTCCTGTTGACTTATCATTGACATAAAAGTTTCCAGCTGTCATTTTCAAATCTTCAATTGCTTTCTTCAACCAATTCCTATCGCAAACAAATTATTAATTTATTAAATGATTTAATTAAAACTTACTCGTCTTGTGCGAAAACAGCTCCAGTCAAAGCAAACTGAGTCGAGGTGCCCACCAAATCTACAGTTTCCTGTAATTGACTGTCTTTGTAGACGTAGATGGTCAAAACAGGCCCGAAAATCTCCTCAACCATTATCTTATCTTTGGGATCTTTGCTCACTACGATCGTAGGTTCAATGAAATATCCAGTACTGTCATCACACTTCCCCCCTCCTATGATCTCCAAATTGGGGGAATTCCTCGCATGGTCAATGTATCCTTTGATTCGTTTGAAGGCTTTATCGTCGATGACAGCCGAAGTGAAACTTTCGTAATCGGTCGGATCGCCGATTTTCAATTTGGCGCGTTCGGCTAATAAGCCTTCTTTGATCTTCGGCCAAAGCGATTCGGGAACGTACATGCGTGAACAAGCGCTACATTTTTGACCGCAAAATTCGAAAGCGCTACGAATAGTGGCGTTGACAACCGAAGTCACATCGGCAGTGGGATGAACGAAATGATAGTTTTTACCGCCACATTCGCCGATTAGACGAGGGAAATTAATGTATTTGTTGATGTTTTGCCCGACTTGGGTCCAAAGACGGGTGAAAGTACTGAAAAATGAAAAAAAAAATTCAATAATGAAATACAGGAAACTGTAATTTAGTCTAAAATCATTTAACATCGCCTTGTCTTTGGAAGTGTATTTTCAATCAGATCATTCTTTGTTAAAACTGCGACTGCTCTTAATGGAAAATTTATTTTTCCAAGGTTGGCAATAAGATTTTACCAAATGTAAAACCTTTATCGACATGGTTGTTCCAATTTTGATTCGCACAAGAATTGATTATAAACCTACCTCTGTAATAAAGTCTTACTAATACAGATATCTGTAATATATTTTATCTTACAGGTTGAGTTTTTGAATTACCTTAGACCATTGTTTTCGGTGATAGAAATCAAATATTATTCACAAGTGAGATAAAGTACTTACAAGTGAGTAAATTTGACTATTATATAACATTTACTATTATATTTTTATAGGTGAATATTTTACTTGAATGAAACTTCATTTTTTGGATAGTTGCACCTGTAAGATAAAACGTCGTATATCACACGTGATCGAAATGCCATTATGAAACTCGTGAGAAGTGTCCCACTCGCGTATAATGTTGCATTTCTATCACTTATAATACAATGTACTATTTTTTATTTATGATTTTTAAATTTTTTATGCTGAGTGTATTAGACTTATATTTATAGAATACCGTAATCTTGTCTAATCTCAGTTAAAATCTCCAATTTTTATAACACTTGTGAAAAATAGCAAAAATTTGAGAAATTAATATAAATTAATCAAAATTATTTATAAAATTACACGAAAAATCACAAGCCGTAATTCTAAAATTACAGTTTTCAAAAGACCTTTATCGACATGGTTGTTCTATTTATAAATCACAAAAGAACTAATTACAATCCTACCTACGCAATAAAGTCGTACTATTACAGGTAACAGAAAAATATTTTCTTTTGTTTGATTTTTTTACCTTGAATTTATTAGAGACTCTTTTATTTACAGAATAATGTAGTCTCGTTTACTCTCAGTTAAAATCTCCAATTTTTTAAAAAAAGTAGTAAAACATTAACAAAAACTTGAAATTTTAATTGGGAAAAGAGAAAAATAATTGTACAATTTATTAACATTAAAATAAAAATCACAAACCGTGATTCTGAAATTACAGTTCTGCTAAATGTAAAATATGTTCTCCCAAGATTTTGCCAAATGCGAGACCTATATCGACATGGTTGTACTAATTTTAATTCGCACAAGAACTGATTATAAACCTACCTGTGCAATAAAGTCGTACTAACACAGATATCTGTAATTCTTTTTGAGATTTTTATATTTTTTATGCTGATTTTATTAGAGGCTCTTATTCACAGAATACCGTAGTCTATTCTAATCTCAGTTAAAATCTAAATTTTTTTAAAAAACTTGTGAATAATGGCAAAAATTTGAGAATTTAATTGTGAAAACAACAATTAAAACAAAATCAAAATTATTTATAAAATTACAAGAAAAATTACAAACCGTAATTCCAAAATTACAAATTGCCAAAAAAAAACTCGTTTTTCCATAATTTGCAATAAATATGAGACCTTTATCGACATGGTTGTTCTATTTATCAATCACAAAAGAACTAATTACAATCCTACCTCCGCAATAAAGTCGTACAGGTAATTGAAATATATTTTTTTGTTTGATTTTTTTACCYTGAATTTATTAGAGACTCTTTTATTTACAGAATAATGTAGTCTCGTCTACTCTCAATTAAAATCTCCAATTATTTTTAAAACTAGTAAAAAATTAACAAAAACTTGAAAATTTAATTGTGAAAAGAGAAAAATTATTGTACAATTTATTAATTAACATTAAAATAAAAATCACAAACCGTGATTCTGAAATTACAGTTCTGCTAAATGTAAAATATGTTCTCCCAAGATTTTGCCAAATGCGAGACCTATATCGACATGGTTGTACTAATTTTAATTCGCACAAGAACTGATTATAAACCTACCTCTGTAATAAAGTCGTACTAACACAGATATCTGAAATATTTTTTTTATGTTTATGATTTTTAAATTTTTTATGTTGAGTTTATTAGACTCTTATTTACAGAATACTGTGGTCGAGACTAATCTAAGTTAAAATCTCCAATTTTTATAAAATTTGTGAAAAATGGCAAAAATTTGAGAATTTAATTGTGAAAACAGAATTAATCAAAATTATTTATAAAATTACAAGAAAAATCACAAGCCGTAATTCCAAAATTACAATTTTCAAAAGGACATTTTTCCAAAATTTGCAATAAGTATGAGACCTTTATCGACACGGTTGTTCTATTTAAAATCACAAAAGAACTTATTACAATCTTACCTCTGCAATAAACTTGTGGTATTACAGTAAACTGTAATCACGGTAATTTCTTAAATTCATTTTTAATTTCATTCAAAATGGGGACGTATTTTTTTAAAAACAACTTACGGAACACTTCCGGTGAAATTAATCCCGGCTAGATACTTAGACGCTGTGATCGTATCCCCAAAGACAGGCCCATCAGCAGGCACAAAATTCACAACACCTGGGGGAACCCCCGCTTCCCTGCAAATCTTGAAAATGACCCAATTCGATAACAGGGCCGTATCGCTCGGTTTCCACAAAATAGCATTACCCTTAAAATTAAAAACAAAAAATTTGAACCAATCACAAGCCCAAAAACCCTCACCATCAAAGCAGGCGTGTAAGCTAAATTCCCACCAATCGCTGTAAAATTAAACGGCGAAACAGCAGCAATAAAACCATCAATTCCACGATAACGCATCGAATTTTTGGTCACTTTGGGATTTTCCGAAATCGGTTGATATTTTGTCGCTTCTTTGAGAAAGTAGGCATTGAGACGGAAAAAATCGATGAGTTCGGCGGCCGAATCAATCTCGGCTTGAATAACAGTCTTGGCTTGCCCGAGCATCGTCGCAGCATTCAATGTTTGACGATACTCGTTGGCCATGAGAGACGCAGCCTTCTCCCAAATTTTTAAACGATCTGGAATTGGGGTACGGTCCCATTTTCTCTGAGTTTCCACAGCCGTGTCGATGGCCTTGTTCAGGAGATCCTTATTGGCGTAGTAGAATTTCGCCAGTTTTTTCTTATGATTGTGGGGGCAAACCTATCAAATTAAATTTACAGGAAACTGTAATTTTTTAACCAACTATACCTGATATCTGACATCGTCAGTTTTGAATTCCTTGTCACCGATCACAATCGGTACTTCTTCAGTCGTCGCCGCTGTTTTTTTCAACGCCTCCTCCAACTCTTTTCGCTCTTTTGAACCCTTCAAGTATGGCAAAACGGGCTCATTTTTCACTCCAAAATCACTGATTTTGACTTCGGGTACAACCGAACCCAAACACCTCACACCGACTCTGTAGAAAATCAAAAATAAAAATAACACATTTGTCGCCTTCACGGCCGACTAAATTTAAGTCCAGTGGGCCGTGAAGGTGAACGCATCATTGCCCCCTAAATGTTACGCCACTGGTGTCAATATCGATTTTAGTCCACCGAGTGGAAATTTCCACAGGTCGTGCCCCCTGAACCACGAATGAGGCTCAGATGGTCGCAATTGAGGATTTTTTCGGCTTGTTTACCACAAACTCGGTTAAAATCGTCGAAAATGCGATAAGAGATTATCGATGAAATTTATTTACTGACCTTTGAAAACTCGTCGAGAGTGTTTGTTTACACGCCGATAACATTCTGTCTGTTGAATTCCAAACGTTGGACTTTTCACGGGAAAAATTTTCAAGGGAAATTCACCGAAAAGAACCCACTTTGACGTTCACCATTTGACACACTGGCGTACGTCAAAATTTACGTAACGGGTTTGAAGCGCTTAGGTTGGCACTCGACTTGGCATTTTTTAATTAATTATAGCGACAACTAGCATTTAAATTTAGCAAATTTCAATCAAGGCGTGGAAAACAGCAAAAACCCCACCAATTAATGATTTTTTCGACGAAAATAAACCGGCCAAAATGACAGTTGGCAACCCTGAACGGCATAAATTTAATCCCAATTTTTTATACTTTCAGTAATTAGAATCTCTTACAAAATATGGAAATTGTAATAATAAGCCAATAAAAATTTCGCATGTTGGCACCCCTGTCACGAGAATTTGAGGTTAGGTCCCTTTACGATGAGGGAAAATCTCCAAAAATCGCTAGTTTTAGCCAATAATTTACCCGATGCGACTTTTAGAAAACTTCTAGAGAACTGTTTTGCCACTTTGACTGGTTTTCCAGAGCCCCACAGTAATTTCCACCTTTGGGAAAATTCAGCTCATTTTTCACCATTTTCAGGTATTTCAAGTCTCTACAACTCCAAACCCGACTTAATTAAGGAACTATACGCAGCTTTGCTGTCCCTGACTGCAAATCTAGTCCAAACTGGGCAAAATAAGGAAAATACAAGTCAATTTTTGAGCCAATGTCACTATAGTGGGGCCAAAACGGGTCTATTTTTGGACTTTTATGAAAAAAATCGGTGCGAAATTGAAGCTAGTCTTGTTAATATTGGGAATCATTTGCCCCACATCACGGATATTACATGGAAAATTGATTATATAATTAAGGTTGAATCCATTGTTTTTTGGTTTTTTTTGACTGGGTTTTTGTAGTCGAGTTACTTGGACTGTAATCAAGGTCCTATCTTCAGAATTGGACTACAAACCGAGAAATATGACCCTGAAAATGAATGCAAGAAAGTTGATTTTCTTCAATTCACCTGTGACAGTCAGGAATTACAAGATTTGGTTTATAAACTAAAAGACGCAGTGAGACATTGCCAGAGGATCGGAAGTGAACACTAGGGGGGCCCCTAGTGATTATTTTATCATTCCTTTATTAATATTCAATATGTAAATGTGGACTAATTGATAATTATTGTTATAAAAGAGGTTACACAAACCTTAAATAAACATAAAAATGGATTTAATTGTTTTATTGTGTGCCTTTTTCGCGTTGGGTAAGTCGTAAAGTTGAAATAACAAGAAAAATAATTGGGTTAAAAGGGGTTTTTTGTGCCCCCATGGACGACACAAACGATGTAACAATCGACGAAGAAGATTTCCAAAACGACACTCAACCTGCACCAAACCTAAAAACCTTGGAAGACAAACCTGAAACAAGTATGGAGCCAATTTTCAAACTCGTATATTATACAAGGGTCACTCGTCAAGTTTGTGTTTTTTTCAGACGAGAAAAACCCTGTGCAAGAGTGGTTCGAAAATTTAGGTAAAAACATGTCGACCAACACCCAAAACACCATGACTAATATAAAAAATTGGTTTACACAATTGGCACAAAATAACAATGGCGGGCAAAATTTACCAACCATGTATATGGGTTCGTTCCAGTTACTCAAAATGCCCATGCCTCAATTTAGTGATGTTATTAAAGGGATGGGAGATGTGGCAACAGTGGTTCAAAGTTTGAATAAGTTGGGAGGGAAAAAATAGTTCTTTGGTTGTGTTTATTGACTTAGTTGATTAATACTGAGCTACAAATATACAAATATGGCCGATTAGTAATAAAACAGTCCCCGAGTACACGACTGGCCTTAATTAATTAATTAAGAAAAAAACCCTGATTATAAATTAGTCACGTGACACTTAACCTAATCTTTGCAAATTCGAGACGCCATGACAGCCAACGGTTCCAACTCCTTCTGACTCACCAAATCAAATTCGGTGACGAAATAATAAAAGTGTTTGTAGCATGTATTGACATGTGCCTCCTACAAAATCCGGTTATAACCGTGCAAATGTCACAAATAACTTACCGCAGATATAGCGACGATATTTTGAAAATGGTGGATATATACATGGACAAAGACTCGATGTAACCTCGCTAGGATTTTACTACAATGTTTATCGAAATTCTTCGGAAATGGCAAATCAGAAGTACACGGAAATAACGCTTGATTGTTGATCTGCATCTCAATCCAGTCCATTAAATGACTGATGTATTCTTTAGCCGGAAGTGGAGTTGGTTTTTTATATTTGTCACCATCGGCCCACAAATACTCGAATCGGGGACCTCCGGACATGGTCGGACACGACTGTTCGGTGCAATAATCCGAAATCGTTCCATAAATCAAATTGATCCGGTTGAAAAAATCAACAACTGAAATTATGAAACGTCCCTCGTATCATTACGTCTCACTAACGCCAGTCTGCCGACGCTAGCAATATAACCAGTGAGGTAAAACAATCCCATTGGATGATCTATGCTTCTGAGGTAATCAAAGCCAACTGAATGCAAATCGCAAACAAAACTGACAATTATTAAGCAAACAAAAGCTGAACATTCTCCTCTAGAGGCAACTGTGATCATCTTTTTGCACATATCAATTGACATGTATTGTTGGTTGTCTAATTATAATAAAAGAATAGCAAAAATTTACCATGAACGGCAATCCAATCGTTTAAATCTTCACCATCGGGGAGTTTTACAGCCGTTCTAAGATTAATCCCTGAATTGAGACTGGCACAAGCTTGTTTGTGTAAACTGTATCGGATTGTCCCATGAGTAAACTTCTTTTTCGGCCTGAAAGTCTAACAAGAGGAATGACACCACTGGGACGTACCTTGTCAACTCACTTTGCCTTTTTGGAAGAAATCAAAGAAACCGTTTAAAGCCATTTTGTCAAAACACCGATTTTTGGAAAATTTATAGGTTAGTTGATTGTCAAAATTGTCACAAGTGGCGCCGTCTTGCGGCCATTACACTCTCGCAATTTTGCCGATTTCGGGCCTGTTTTGCACACTTGTGAGACTTTTAGGCCGCGATTTCGGTATAATAACAAATTTGGGACTAATTTTAATACATTAAAGGGGTTTTTATGTTGTTTATCACTTTTTCCGGTGGTAAAAAGCCGTTGAACCGCCCTCTGACGTCCAGCTATCACACTAGAATTTGCAATGGCGTCATTGTGTTTGTGCTCGAATTATTGAAAATCGTGAATTTCTGTGGGAAAATCCGAGTGTAGCGGCGATGATTTTGTGTTTGGTGCGTTAGAGCCCCCTTTGGCGGTGTGTGGGCTCTTGTCGCTCCGTGGGGCTCCGGGGCCCCGCTATGCACAAGAATGGAGACGAAACTGTGCCGAATATGCGGAAAACTCGGCCAAAACTACATGAATATTTTCCGGACCGAAGGCCTGAAGAACAAGATCGAAACATGTCTCCCGATCATTGTGAGTTTTCAGTCCCTTGGCCCCCTTTTTCTCACAGTTGGGTTGCAGGTGTCGCCCCATTCGCTCCTCCCCGACACGATCTGTGGCGAATGCTCGGAGAATGTGGACAATTTCTACAGTTTTATCAAGAATTGTCTCCAAAATATCATCATTCTTGAAGCCCAATATGACATAAATGAGTCTTGTTTGAAGACGAAGCGGAAGCACGACAAGGGATGCACCACCGACTTGTCCCGAAAAAGCGAGAAAAATACTCAAACTATCGATTATCTTGATCTCCTCCTCAAAGAAAACGAATTCCAGTTGAATTTCCCAGTCCCCAATCTCAAAAAACTCGTCGATTATGACGATTCCGATTGTGAAGAGTCGAAAGAATCCTCAATTTTTGATAATTTCGGCCGAAAGTACTTCGACGATGCAGAAAACTACCTTATCGACGAAATAACTCAACGCAAAAAGCGCAAAAATGAGGATACGATCGAATCCTCACGTGCGAAAATCTGCAAAATCGAAACCACCAATCGTCGAAAAAGCAAACAACCGAAAAAACTCGAACTAAAACCCGATTTTCTAGGGGAATTACCTCAAGTGTGTTTACTATGCGATGAACAATTCACCGGTCCTTCCATGTTGGCTAGTCACGTGTTTGAAACTCACGGCATTGACATGGCGGCCGTTGCCAGTGATACCAACGACAAAAAGAAAAAGTTACCAAATCTACTCAAGATCTCCGATCTCAGGAAAAGCGACTCGATTGGTAAACCTGACTAAATCATTACAATTAGTTTATTAAGTTTTCTTTTGTAGAAGAAGAAGAACCGCCAACTCTTCTTCCGAGTTTCGTTTGTTCTCTCTGTCCGGCCATGTTTACGTCACGACCGGACCTTTTCGGCCATCTTCGGGTCAAACATTCCGACCAATCAGCTCTCTTATGTGGCATGTGTCTGTATCAAGCCTCCTCATTGACTAATCTCCAATCACATGTCGAGTTATGCTCCCACCAACATCCAATCACAACCAAGTATGTCTGTCAAGTGTGTCGCTACGGTGATGATAATTCGAAATCATTGGAGAATCATATTCTCGTCCACGACTTCCTATTGGATGCGTGTAAAAAACAATCGAAGATGTTCGACCCAGCCGACTATATTGAAACGAATGGTAATTACGAATCAGGAGGGTCCTCACCTCTCTCGAAAAGTTTAGCGTGTAGTGAATGTGGAATGGACGATTTTGATAATTTTAAAGAGTTTAGTACGCATAGAAGGAGCCAACATTCGATTTTCCACTGCGATCTATGTAATAAATTCTATGGAAGAAACTCACATTTATGGAAACACGTCAATAGATTACATAAAGGACATCCAAGTATCACTTGTCAGTTGTGCTACAAGACGAGTGCTTCAAAATACCACTTGGCCCAACATTTCAACAAAATCCATAGTACGAAAAGTTGTAAAAAGGGCGAAAGTCAGCTGAATTTTGACAATACTGATGATTTTATGTCACAGAAATTCCAAGCTTTTGATTTTCAATCGGTCAAACAGAGTTTCATGCGACAAGAATTGTTAGAACAGCAAGAGAAAAGATCGGAGAATGACGACAATTCGAATAATCGTTTATCGGATCAGGAACCACCATCTGCACCCAAAGAAATCGACTCATCTAGTGACCTTTACACCAACATTATTACCAACTACACACCACCGGCCAACGAAGGCGAATTCAAATGCCCCAAATGCGGGAAAGGTTTCCACAAGAAGACTCTTCTAAAGAAGCACAAGAAGAATTGTCGGCCACGTCTCCAAAAAGACTTACTTACACGATGTAAATCATGCGCTCGTATCTTTAAAGATCGTCAAAGTCTTGCCAAACATTTGGTTAATTATCATTCCGAATACGCGTGTGAAATATGCGGTCAAAAAGTACAAAGTAAATGCGAAATTGTCTCGCATATAAGATTCACACATCCCGGTTGTCACTTGTTTTGTACAATTTGTGGTAATATATTGCGTAGTCGGAATGATATGGCCGACCACACACGTGACCATATGAATAGTTACGTGTGTCAGTTCTGCGCAGACGCATTACCGAGTAAAATCAAACTTAAAATGCACATTTTAAGTCTACATCGAAAAATCTTAAGTTTGAGTTGTGGTGTGTGTTTGAAGTTGTTTGAGAGTCAACATGTATTAAGAGATCACGTTAGGTTGGTACATAGAGATCAGTTGGCACCACTGACTTCGTGTCCAGTTTGTGGTAAGAATTATGGGTCGAAATGGAAAACTTACGACCATTTGAATAAATCACATGGGCGGATTTTTAAAGCTTGTAAGGCGTGTCTTGAAGTTTTTGACAACGAAAGTCAATTACAAGTCCATTATGACACTGTACATGGTAGTGGGGGTAAAAATAATATACCGGTAGTGAGTCAGGTTAGCCAACCACAGAATCATTGCGAGAGTGAGAGTGACAGAGAGACAAATAGCGAACAAAGTGATGAACAAGAAGAGGACGAACAGAAAGACTATTTCTTAGATTTGAAAGATAGTAAAATATCACTATTGGAAAAACGATTATTGGGTAAGAAAATCACCGAAGAGAAAGTTTTACCACCGAAAATCAACAATAAAAAAATCAAAGAGAAAGAAATCGATTTCGACACTAACCCTCAACATAATAGTTCAAAACGTACAGTTTATGTCAATAGTAATGACCCGTCTTTTTGTGAAATATGTCATAAAACGTGGCCTGCTAAGAAACACCTATGGCAACACTATATTCGTTGTCATAAATCAGTGGCGGCTACGGTTTGTGGCATTTGTTTGAAAACAAATTCGTCGTATGGTGCGCTCCAAGCCCACTTGATGGAAACCCATCCGACGCTTCTTCACGGTCAAGGTTTCGGTTCGAATTTCATTTGTCGGATTTGTGGTCGTTATCACAACGCGTCGAGTAAATTAAAATTGCATATGGCCATCCATGAGAATTTTGATTGGTCAATGCTTGAGCCGAAACAAGAGAACAAGAAGGAAGAAAACGGCTTTCAGGACACTTCTGAGATAAACTACGAGAGTTTGATTGAGCAAGTTGAGTGTTCGTCAGGGTCGGAGAGTGAAGTTGTTGAGACGAAAGATAAAGAATCGAGTTCGGAGGATGAGGAGAGTGACAGTGATGTGTCGGAAATGTCCGATAATTTGGGTAAGACGAACGAAGCGAGTTCGGTGAGTGAGGAAGAGGAGGAGGAGTCGAGTGGGAGTTGGTTTATGGTCAAGAGTGAGGAGAGTGAAGAAGAGGAGAAGTTGGAGGAGTTGGATTCGGCGATTAATTCAATCAAGTATGAATGTGTGGAGAAAGTTGAGGAGGAAATTGAGGACGAATATTGCGATTTGCAAGCGCAAAGTTTGAATGATAACGAAATTGAGTCGGCGGTGGGGAGTATATTGTAAATAAGGGTAGGTTAGAATTCGATGTTCAGTTTTTATGATGCATATCTTGTATTTGGCATTAAGGTAAAGACATTGTATATAACTCATGATTTTTTCATGTAAGACTTGTCTTATGTATGAGGAAGAGACTGTTTTTTTTTATAAGTATTTAGGTATTTTATTGTAAGTAATCTGCTTGTTTAGGATAGTACTATATTCTAAGATATTTTTTTATATTTATTTTTTTATATTGATTTCGACTAGTACATAACTTAAGTCATTCCCATACTCAGTAACTGTAAGGCTATGTGTATATAAAAATGATATTCATGAAGTAATACATAATTTTTTATGACTCTCTAGTTTATTTATCTCAATGGTCCCGCCATTTGCCTTTTTATAAAATTGACACAAATTGTTTTTTTGTAGTCAAGGTGCCTTAGGTGAATACCTCAATTTTTCAAATTTTATTTTGTGGTCAAGTGACGTTACACAGCAGATGATGTGACTCTCTAGTTTTTTTTCATGTCAGTGGTCCCGCCATTTATGTTTTGTTAAGTCATTGGATAGTAAATTTTATTAAAAAAATATAAAATTGGCACAAATTCTTCCTTGTAGTCGAATTAAATTTGATTTTTCTAAGATTTCGCACGAAAAAACCTCAATTTTGAAATTTCATTTTGTGGTTAAGGTCCGTCGGTGACGTCAGACACCACCTGATCCCGACCTGTCAAAGGAATTCAAGATGGCGTCGGCCAACTTGACGTTGTGAACGTCGCAAAAAATCACTTTTTAATTATTTTCCGGTTCATTTTTAATTTATTTTTTACGTTAAACCGTCACCGATGTATAACCCACCGTCTGCAAACGTTTCAGTTCAAGTGTCAAGTGCTTAACCTCAATTTTAGACATGTATTAAAAGAAAAACAAGTGAACGATGGAGGCAATGCAATACGAGTTGGCTAGGAACATGACGTTACTCTTCTTTTTCGAAAGACTACTTGATAAGGGCGAACCGAGGACTTTACACGATTTGAGCTGTCAGTTCGGCTCAAAGGGCTTCACGAAGGAAATGAGACAAATCGCAGGGGGCTCACAAAGTGGCCTCAAAAAGTTTCTAGCACAATATCCGGCCCTTTTTGCCATCGAAGGAGAGTACGTCACAATCAACATGTTCCAAAGTTTGGGGAGCAAAGACAGTGCTGGTGAGTTTCGCGAAAAGGGGTTGGCAACACTAGGCGCACAATTTTTCATTTCCTCACCCTAAATTCACATTTTTTAACGGATTGAGTGGCTCAGGCTGATTTGTAGCCAATTTTAAATGAAATTCCATTTATTAATGTTAGAAAAATTAAATTAAATAATAATTTTTATTTAATCGAGCGAAGTTAGCCACAATAACTAAAGTTGGTAATCCCACCTTCAATTTAAATATATAATTAATCAATTATTCTAGTTAGTAATTGTGTCAGTGATTTACGTAATTTATTCGTTCTTTCGAGTGAATTTTGCTTGAATTTGGGGGGAAATTTGCAATTAAGATAAAGGTGTGAAGTTGGTCGTGTTTAATTGTCACTTGTCAAAAATTCCAGGGGGCAAGGACTACACCACCCAAGCCGTTGAATATTTCTCCGAGAAGTTGGCCCAGTATGGCGAAGGCACCGAAGTCCCGATTCGCAGTCTTCTGGGGCACCGTTCGCAGGCCAGTCCTGAGGTACGCCACGTCTCCGGCCAACACTTCCACGAATTCCGCGAGTTCCTCCTCAAACACCCCGAAACCTTCACCGTGGACGACGAGAAAGAGTCCGTCATTCTCACAAACTACACAGCTGTTCGCTCGCATTGCCCCCACGAACTCCACTTTCAACCCGACGTGAAAATCGACCCGGAGACAACCCAAACCTTGCTCGACTTCCTCGCTCAATGTATCGAAGTCAAAGGCCCCATTTTAGTCGAACAATTGTTCCAAATCGTGAGTTGCAATCTCCCGGAGGCGATGTGGACGAATTTGTTCAACACACCTGGACACTTGACGAGTTTTCTTCGCTTGTTTTCCGACAGTTTTCACATTCAGGCCAATTTGGTGACGCTTCTGCAGCCCCCGAAGGTCAATCAGAAGCATTTAAGTGTGTCGGTGGACGAATTGGAGGCGAAAAACGCGAAAAATCTCAACAACGTTCAAGAGAGTTCGAGTGAGATTATCGAGAGGGCGCCACCTGTGGTCACTAGCCCCAAATCGATCAGTGATCGACTCAAACAACCCAAATTGCAACAGAAACAACTCTCCGAAGCGAAAAGTTTGTCACCAGAACCACCAAAAACACCTACGAAAGCCCCAGAGGAACCAAAACCGACTAAAACACCCTCAAATCAAAGCCTCAAACAAAGGATCAATAATCTCGTCCTTAAAACACTCCAAGAGAACACAGGACGTGAAAGACAGACACTCCTTAATCATAATCAAAGTCATAACGAATCATGGAAAGTCAAACTTTTTCAAAATACGCGCGTCATTTGTAGTATTAGGGAATGTCAAATGGTCATTGATGACATTATGGCGAAGGTTAAGTCAGGTCAAGGGTCAGATTGGCCCTTTGGTGAGGATAAAGTCGTCGTTGGGTTGGACTGCGAAGGGATTAATCTCGGTGTCAAAGGTCAATTAACGTTGCTTCAAATCGCAACATTGTCTGGATTTTCGTACGTTTTTGATTTGATTTCATGTCCAGGAATGATCGAAGCTGGATTAAAACGAATTTTAGAAAGTTCGGACGTCGTCAAGGTGTTTAATAATCCCCTTAATTCTCTATTATTACCCATAATTCCGTATAATTCCAGATTGTTCACGACTGTCGCAACGATTCCGTCAATCTCTTCAATCAATTTAATATAACGTTGAATACGATTTTTGATACTCAAGCCGCTCATGCTGTTCTCACGTTTCAAGAGACTGGACGTCCGGTTTATAAAGCGAAAAGTGTGGCTCTTAACGCCCTCTGTGAACATTACGGTGCACCAATTAATCCGATGAAGGATCAACTGAAAAATATTTATCGACGTGATCAGAAATACTGGTCGAGGAGACCTTTGACACGAGAAATGATTTTGTACGCGTCGGCAGATGTTTTGAGTTTAGTCAATGAGAAAATTTATCATCCAATGTCAAAAGCGATCAAAGTGGAGAATAGGCAGTTGTTTTTGGAGTTGTGTCATGAACAGGTAAGAGATATAGGTTAATTGGTGCAGTCGGTAGGTGGAAAAGTAATATTAATGCTTTTCTATTTTTAAAATCTATAGATTTTGCGGAAATTTTAGGTAATTGGCACCGAAAAAATTGTTTTTGAAATATCTAATTGGTTAATTTTTTAATAAAACAATCAAATTTTTTAGTTTCGCTAATCGTATGTCGAAAATTTAATCTTCCTTGGTGCAATCGGTAGGCGAAAGAGTGTAGAATTTATTGTTTTATTCCTAAAACAAAGTCCAGATTTTGCATTTTTTCATAGTTTTATGAAAACTTAGTCCTAATTGGTGCAGGCGGTAGGTGGAAAAGCAAATTTAATGCTTTTTTTTCGTTAAAATGCATAGATTTTGCGTTTTGTGGAAACTTTAGGTAACTGGCGCACAAATATATTTTTTGAATCTAGTTTTTTAATAAAATTATGAAATTGTTATTAATTTTATTTTTGGACAATTCACAAAATTTTACGAAAACTTGCTAAAAAATGATGTTTATATCTTTTTCAAAACCAAAAATGGTGTTACTTTTTCTTTTTTAGAACGTTTGAGGACATTTTAAAAGTCCAAAAAAATCTGATATTTTCTACTAAATTATATTAAAAATGGCATAATTTTTGTCTTTTTCGATGGTTCTAGCACACTTTTTAGTCAGAAACGCACTTTTTCAGAAATTAGATGCAAACAAACCGAAAGAATACTAAATTAGATCGGTTAATGTTATTTTATTCAATTTTCCTCGATTTAGGTCATTTTTAATTTACGTATTTTACAAGATTTTATCAAAACGGAGCAAAAAAATCATCAAACTAGATTGAAAATGAATGTTTTGCTCGATTTGGTGCAGTCGGTAGGTGGGAAAGTAATTTATTTATTTTGTTTTTCTTAAAATGTATAGATTTATATTTTTGTAGAAATTTTTAGGCAATGGGGACTGAAATATAATTTTTTTAATCTAGTTACCTAATTTTGTAATAAAACAGTAAAGTTGTTTAATTTGGCTATTCGTTAAAATTTGGTAAAAAATGATGTTTTTATTTTTTTCAAAAATCTAAACGAGTTTTCAGGTAGAAAGACACTTTTTTCTTGAAACTAACAAGCTGAAAAATCATCAAATTAGGTCTAAAATGGTGTTTCTTTTTCCCTTTTAGTACGTTTAAGAATATTTTTGATCTAAAACCCAATTTTTTGACGAAAATATTCCAAAAAAATCACCAAGTTAGGTTGCAGATTTTTTTTAATCCATAGTGATATTTTTCACAAAATTATGACAAAAAATGTATTGATGGTTTTAGCACTCTTTTTAGTCAAAAACTCAATTTTTATTAAATTGCATTCAAACAAATCCAAAAATTACCCAATTAAATTGAAATTAATGTTGTTTTATTCAATTTTCCTCGATTTAGGTCATTTTTAACTGAGAAACTTACGTATTTCGCAAGATTTTGTCAAAACAGACCAAAAAGTCAACAAATTAGTTTTAAAATGAATATATTTCTCGATTCAGTTTAATCTTAATTAAATAAAATTAATTATTTATTTTTATTTTTTTTTTCTTAAAACGTCCAGATTTTCATGCACATCGATCCCGAGTCGGTGAAGGGTCACAAACGCCAGCGCAAAACGGAAACGGAAGTGGCCGAATTGCGTCAAAAACTGTCCCAAGCGACCAAAAACATAGTTTTGAGTAATCGTGAAGTCCGACTTTTGCGCTACATTGAATTAACCGAAGAGGAGAAAGAGAAATTGAAATCGTCGGCAAAAGTCGCCAAAAAACTGGAAAAATTGGAGAGTTTGGGTCAGGATAACAGAGAGGAGGAAGAAGAGGATGAGGATCAGGACAACGATCCTGATTATCCCAGTTTGGAAAGTGATATGACGTCACCGCGTAATTCCGAACCAACGAGTCTCACCGAATCGATGCAATTAGTCGATTCGATTTTAAACGATAGTAAAATCGAAAAATTTGATAAATTGGATCGTTTAGAAACGATTTTATCGGCGGCTGCGTTTTTACCGACCGGCAAATGTCAATGCACGTGTCATAAAAATGGTCATAATGGCGAAAGGGTCATTTCGCCAACTAGTAGTTTCAAAGGGGAGGATAGAGAAGTAGAGGTTAAGTCGAATCATTCGAATGTTGGTACTCAAACACTAAGCACTGGAGATATAGTCGTAACGAAGATTTTTTTTAATGAAAATACTGAATAGCTCAATGGTCACGTGGCCTTATGTATAGTCGGTTGTATATAACGAATTTATTTTATAAATTATCGAGCTGATTTTACTTAATGTTAACGAGCCATATTTTTAATAGTGTTGTTATGGTGATATTGATTATTACAATTTAATTTATTGGTTATGACAGTCTTTGTTTCTTAAATATTTCTGTTAAGATAACTAAGACTTGAGCAATTTAACGGTATTAACATTGTTAAGCAATATTTATGTGTTATTAACATGTATTATTTTTGCTGGTAGAGGATTTTTATTATACTGTAATGATGCAAAAAGAGAATAAATATACAGTACTAAAAAATCAAGAGTTTTATTTCTCAATCACGTAAGCAGGGAAAATTTGACAATTTACGAAACAACTGTCAAATAAGCACAGTCGACTTTTTAACAATCGTTGAAAATTCATTAAAACATTTCAAGGTGGGGAAAAGATATATGAAAATACATCTCGCCAAACGATTTGGAGTGTTGTTTCAATCGACTAGATTGGGTTTTAATAGAGGACAAAAAATATGCATCTGGGGCAATGTTGGGTCAGGGAATTATCAAACAATAGAATGCAATTTTTAATAGATTTGTAATATGTGACTTAATAATTGTTTAAGAATTACATTTATTGCACAATTAGAAAAAAAAACTTAAGACTAAACAAAAATTTTAAAAAAATCAGCGAATTTTTGGGTAAATTTTGTTAAAACAGCTACCAAATGGCTAATTGGTCAGTTTTAGTCTGAAATGATGGGTCACACTATTACTTTATTTTTTACTTTATTTTGGGCAGTGTTGGCACCACTAAAACACCAAATTGTAATGTACTGACTTAATGTAATAATAATTGTTTAAGAGTTAAATTTATTTCATGATTAGAAGAATTTTTTATGAAAATAAGCGAATTTTTGATTAAATTGAGTTAAAACTTTCACCAATTGTCTCATTGGTCAATTTCAGTATGAAACGATGGGTCACACTAACACTTTATTTTGGGTAATACTTTGGTACCACCACAAAAATATCAAAAAAATAAATATTTTATTGACTTTTTGCCATACAAATATTTTCTTTATTCATATCGTTATCCTCCCACCCCCACACCTTGGTACCATCTCCCGTCCTCTCTCCCCGTTTTTTGACCATGTCCAGGGGGACACTTTTAAGGTCATAGGCCCACCCAATTTTAGCCATAAAATCAATAAAGGCCGTATTCCAGTTCCCGTAGTATGACCCCAACTCGGCAGCTTTGTGGTCCCAAGGGAAGGTGTGATGGTAATTATGGAACCCTTCACCATGACTAATATGGGCCACCCATCCGGTTTCCACTGGTTTAATGTTTCTGGAATGGTACCGATTAGAGTAGGTACCATATAATTGATGGTATCCGCGTACTTGTCATAGGGTTTGGTACCCCAAATATGGGCTGCACTGTTGACCAGACACGTACCATGAAGGACTATACACACCCGAAAAATACTGCAAATGTACCATGACACTTTGAAGGGTTCCGACCAGAAGTACCATGGTACTAAAGCCGGGAAGACAAATGCAAGAAATGGGGCCATGTACCAATAGTACCTTTACAAATCAAACAAATCACAAATAATGGTGCCATGGTACCCAATTTTGAAAACTTACTTCCGTTGGTACCACACCACGGGATCGCGTTCCAAATCGCTCAAATCCAATTCTTTCCCTTTTGAAATAACTTTATCCGATTTTTTGACCATCAACCATCCAATATGGCTGTAAAAGAACCCTCTTGAGGCATTATGGGGGTCATACTCCGTATCAGAGTACTTATGGTGGATTCTATGGTCACGCACCCAGTCATAAATATCGTTCTGAAACGTCATGGTTTGATCAAACGCCAAAAGTACCCTCAACGGTAGTTTGGCTTTGAAGGCCCTATGGGCCCATAATCTATGGGCGCCTACTGCGATTCCATGAGTGGCTGAGAGTAGCAACAAGTAGGCTAGGAAAAACAACATTAGAGTGGGAAATTTAAATTAAAATTTAATACTCCACAAAATTGTTTTCCACTGGGCTATTGCAAACAAGTAATAAAAACCCACAATGGTACCATAATGTAGATACAAGAAATATATGATTTTGAACCACACTGGTCGGATTTTTAAGGGCTCAAGTGTGCTCGTAGACATATTTTACCCACTTTTCACTGACTAATGGTACCTACTATCTTTTGTAAAGTAGTTTTCAGGTCGGAATAGTGATAAGAAAAAAGGTAAACATTGTTTTTTTTTATTTTATTTTAAAAACGTTTTTTATGTTTTTAATTATTCAATTAAATTTGTCCTTAAAAAAATTGTTTTTTTGCAGAGAAGTCCAAATTTGGTAATCATAAATAAATTACCAAAACAAAACACCAATTTGCCCAACATTTAACCTCTTCTATTGTTTGCTAACCTCCCAATTTAGTTCACTATCGATTTTTTTCCATATAAAAATGCCCGAATTTTTTCACTCGTCAGTCGAAAAAAATGTCACCGAAACGCGAAATCGCATGGAAAAAAGTGTCCTTTTTTGTATATTTACATGTGGGGGCTTTGTACGGGTTGTACCTCATCCTCACTGAAGCCGCTTGGGCGACCTGTCTTTGGTGTAAGTAAATTTTCACAAGGAATAAAAAAATTGTCATAAATTTTTAGTCTATTTTCTGGTACTGATCTCGACGCAAGGTACCGGTGCTGGGGTCCACCGCCTATGGGCCCATCGAGCCTACAAGGCGAAAGTACCACTCCGACTTTTATTAACGTTTTACCAGACTTTGACATTTCAAAAAGACATTTATGATTGGGTGCGCGACCATAGAGTCCATCACAAGTACTCTGACACGGAACCCGACCCACATAACGCCTCCAAGGGCTTCTTTTACAGTCACATGGGCTGGTTGATGTTGAAAAAGACTCAAAGTACCATCGATAAGGGCAAAAAATTGGATTTGAGTGACTTGGAAGCCGACCCAATTGTCATGTTTCAGAGAAAGTGGGTGCGTTTTTTGGTACTGTAGCTCTTTAACCGGTACCATTGTAGGTACTACTGGTATTTAGCACCAATCGTAGCCTTCGGTATGCCAGCATTTGTGCCGTGGTACTTCTGGGGCGAAAAATTCGTAGTTTCATGGTACGTCTGTAACATGTTTAGGTACTGTCTAACCCTTCATGGTACCTGTCTGGTAAACAGCGCCGCTCACATTTATGGAAACCGACCATATGACAAGTAGGTACCACTTATGGTACCCACATTTTTTAATTTTTTGCTACTTCAGGGATATTTTACCAACACAAAATTTGCTGGTTTCGTACATTACCAACGGGGAAGGGTTCCATAATTACCATCATGCCTTCCCATGGGACTACAAAGCAGCCGAATTAGGGTCATATTATGGCAATTGGAGTACTGCTTTTATCGATTTTATGGCCAGAATTGGGTGGGCTTATGACCTTAAAAGTGTCCCATTAAATATGGTCGAAAAACGTGTTAAAAGGACCGGCGATGGTACCCACAATGTCTGGGGATGGGGTGACAAGGATTTGGACCCAGATGACGTCAAAATGGCCGAAATTACGCACTCGCGAAGCTCGGGATAATTTTTTATTGTAATTTATTTATTTTTCTCATACTCAGAATAAAAAATAGTTAGATTATTTTTTTGTTTGACTTTGTAAAATTAATAAAAACAAACCTATGGTTACTTAATTATTCAAATTAATTTGAATTTTATCTAATCCGCAAACATTTGATCTTAAAATTGACAAATTAATTTATTTTCGAAATTTATGTATTTTTCTATTCTATAATAGCTTCTATAATTCTATAATAGATTGGAGCTATAATTTTGCTCCCAAATGCATTTATTTAATTCAATTTTTGACGTTGCACTATTGGTTGGTTGTATATTTGGTTGCATACCCTAAATAGAAGAATAATAATTATTTTCATTCTTTTTATTGTATAAAAAATAGCCAAACACCTGAAAATACAATTAGAATTAACCTAAAATTGTGTTGTTATTAAAAATTGTTCGATTGTCTAACTTTGTGATAAATCCGGATACGTAGTAGGAAAAAATCCAGAAGAAGACAAGTCCCAAAATAATATTTTTGGTCAAATCCAAATAAAACAATCTTTTTAGGACTTTCCGAGCATAGGGAATTGTTTCCGGTTCTTCGTGTACACAATATTTCCTCGCACCTAACACATAATTCAAAATATATTGATTATAATCGATTTTAAGTCTGTCGGTAAAGAAGATTTCTTTATCGATGTTTGATAATTCCCGCCAGATTTTATCCAAATTTTCATTGTAAAAGTACCAAGGCCTTGTAGTGTAGTACTGGAGCACTTCCAGCCCGTTCTGGATACGTTTCTGTGTACGCACTAAGCTACCAACATAAAAAATTATTTTGATAAAAACACCATGAAAAAAAAACGTACAATGGCTTATTTCCTGTCAAAACCATGAGAAAATCGACCAAGTAGGCCGGGATAATGTGTAAGAAAAAAACAGCGATTGCGTGGTACCAATAATTAGACTTGATACTCCCCCCTGGGTACCATAAACAAACGCTAAACGGGTTGTCATAGAAGTGTTTTCTCCCAACGTCAAGCGCCTCCCCCCAACTAATCACATTGTCGTTATTTGACGTCACGTGATACACTTTCAAATCACGTGACGGGTCCGTCCCTTCCTTCCAACCAATCAAAAGTAGAGAATTAATCGCACTGTCGACTGGTACCATATTTGCCTCCAAAGAAGGGTCACAATGCATGGATCTGATTACCCCTTTGCCCGCCCCTACGAGTAATCCGGTTGGTCCATTCAAATTATCAACCCAGCCGGGGATTGGCTCTCTCCACGCAGCGGTGACAATTGACGGTCGAGTGATAACCAAAGGTAACTTGGATGCATATTCGGAGACCAATTGTTCGGTTAAACATTTCGTGTAGGCGTAGGTGTTTGGGGACTTTTTCAACAGTTTGGGAGTTAGGGTTTTTAACGTTTCATCGTCCATCCAAGTCACCAGATCTAGGATTTTTCGTGGATCATGGGGGGCCTTGTATAACTTTTCCTCGAGTTTGACTTCGTTGCAATGACAGTACGACGTTGACACATGAATAAAAATCTTCAATTGTTTAAAAGCGCACGCTAGATCGAGTAAATTCTTAGTTCCCCCTGTATTTAATAAAACCGCACTTTTTAACGGTTGGTCAAACCTCACGTTGGCAGCCATGTGAAACACCAATTCAACGTTATCTTTCAAAGTTTTCTCATCATCATTTGATAGATTAAGATTGGGTTGAGTAATATCCCCAGCGATGCAATAAATCTTATTTAGTAATGTTTCGCCGTCAGGTTGGTCACGCAACTTATCAAACACCTAAAAAACGGCGCGTGATTCAAATTTCGACAAATGATAACGATGCATACGGGACAATTGACAATATCTTCGAGTCTTTCATTGGGTTTTTTCCCCTTTTTGGGCCGGACTAACAAATAAATCGTCGATAATTTAGGACAAGACCGTAACAACTTCTCAATGAGGACTTTCCCCATAAAACCAGTGGCGCCGGTGATGAGGATGTGTCGATTCTTGTAGAATTCCGCAACAGCTGATTTGTTACTCATTGTTAAGCCTTTAAGAATAAATAAAAATTGATTTATTCGCATATTAGTAATTGGGACGCGCACGCCACTGCTAAAACGTTAGATAATCAAACAGTGGCGTGCACGAAAATGTCAAATGGTCAGAGGTAACGCTATTTCCGCAAATATTTGTCTGTGGACACAGCACTTGTGATAAGTAGCCGCGTAATACACAGGTTTTTGGCACAAGTTGACATAAAAATTGGTTGAACAAATAGAAAAAAATTGCAAAATACCGCAATGAAAGTTTTTAAATTAATAAGAAATAAAGTGTATTGAAAATAATTTATCAAAAAATGATGAAGAATTACTTCTTTGTCAAGTTAATTAAATTAGCCAATGAAATTATAATTAAAAAAAAAACACCAAAAAAATGGAAAAACAATCCGAAATATCGACAAAATCTTAATTTACTGCAATCTATCATTATTAAAATCGTTACATGAGTAATAAATTATAATTAATTAAATTAATTAAAAAGGAAAGATACACTTTTGTTGAGTTAATTAATTAATTAATTAATCATTACATCACTCAAATAATTAATAAATTTAACAAAATTAGAAAAAATCGAGATTTTTTTGCTAATTTAAAACAAAAAGCACTAACAAAGTGCTAAAAATCGCTAATTAGGTAATTGGCAGATTCAGTAAACTACTGAAATTAAATGCGATAATTAATTAATTAATAGATAAGCCGTATTTTTACAGTAATTAAGCTAGTAATTATCTCAAAATTTCAATGTAAAAAAGTAAAGAATCCAAAAAGAGTAAAATCTTTTATTTAAAATTATTTCCGCAAAAGTAAAAAAAAAAATCTCAACTTACTGAAAAGTCGCAACGAAACAATAATATTGTTCACACAAAGCAATCTTTATGCACAAAGCCGCGAGCCATCCACCTGTTTTCCTACAAATACCATTACCATATACCACCACCATCAGGAATTTCCATCAATCGTGAAAATTCCTTGTGGGGATCGTGATCATTATGTGAGCCAGTTGTTTTCTTATTGGTGTGGTCAATTTCCCGCTCAATTAAATAACTGGGCTACTTTCACTAGCGATTGATTTTTCCACGATTCTTACAACATGTACCGTTTCGATCCGATTTCTTATTATTGAACGAAACTTAACATTATTACGCAAGATCGTGATTACTTTCAATACAAGGGAATTGCCGAGACTCTAATGGTCGTTTTTCTATTGTTGTTACTTGTGACATTTTAAGTGCTCGCGCTTACGACACGAACAAGGATTTTTCTTCATTAAAGTAAAATGATTAATTAGGAGTGTATTACTAGTTGTCTAACTTTACTATTTGAATCACGCGCTATTTTATCCACCAATCAGGGATGAATTTTTGATAAATAAACATGGCCGGCAAAGGTAAACAAGTTTTGGTTAAAAAATTCATTGATTTGACCAGTTTTAGGCTGGAATTGTATGTCGGGGGCCCCCGAAACCGATGAGCAGCAAAGACTTCGCTTCCAAATCGAGTTAGAGTTTGTCCAGTGTCTCGGAAACCCCAATTATCTCAACTGTAATTTAACCTGAATTGTTTGGTGGAAAAACAACACAATTTTGGGTTTTAGTCCTCGCTCAACGTGGTTATTTTAAGGATAGTACCTTTGTGAATTATTTGAAGTATTTGCTTTATTGGAAGGAGCCTGAATATGCGAAATATTTGAAGTATCCAATGTGTTTATATTTTTTGCATTTGCTGCAATATGAATCCTTCAGGAGGGAATTGGTGAATGCTCAATGTTCGAAGTTTATCGACGATCAACAGCTTTTATTGTGGCAACATTATACAAGGCGTAGAAGTCGCTTATTAACCTCCACGAATCTTAATGGAACCAAAGTAATGGCCATTTAAGTAAAAACAAGTTAAAACTGACAAAGTGTTAATTTAGGTGAAATAAATTAATTCTCTATAATTAAGTTTTTATTTGCCAAGCCTCAAACACCAAATTCCATGACCAAATTTGTCAACCTTAAAAGTCTTAAAATCGTAAAGTCACTAAATTTCGCCCGCCAAATTAAAATAAGTTCCATTTTTAAACCCACTTGGAGACAAAATCCAATCGACTTTCAATGTAAAACACACACGATCTATATCAGGTGAATAAAAAGTATGGAACCAAGCGTTTTTTTTCGTAAGCTAAGCACTTTACGAAAAAAAATATTAGTGTTGCCTAAAGTATAATTAAAATGTGACCATTTATCAAGAATAACATTTTTTTTAAACAATTTTTTTTTTAATGGCAACGCACCATGGTAATTTTTTTAATTAAAGATTATGATCTAAAAATGACCTCTAATTAAATAAAATTGTTATTTAGCCAGTACTTTTTTTTATTAATTGTTAAAGTTGCGTTCCGAGCTCGTCACGAAGATTTTCCGAACTTAACCGAAGTGGTTGTTTCATGCTTTTCATCATGGGAGAGCGCTGATTTCTATGCAGGTCTTTGGGGTGGTTTCGAATGGACTAAAAATAGAAGAAAATGATTTGTTATTACATTTTTTGATCCATCCGGAACCACCCCAAAGCACCTGCACAAAAAAACCGGGCTCTCCAACGAACAAGTCATGAAACGACCCTCTCGTTCAAGTTCGGAAAATCTTCGTGGTGGGCTCGGAACGCAACTTTAACAATTTATTAAAAAAAAAGTACTGACTCAAAAATAATTCTGTTTAATGAGAGGTCATTTTTAGATCATAATCTTTAATTAAAAAAATTACCATGGTGGGTTGCCATTAAAAAAAAAAATTTTTTTCTAGAACTCGAAAACTAAAAGAAATTTCGAAAAATGTTATTCTTGATAAATGGTCACATTTTAATTGTACTTCACGCTACACTAATTATTTTTCCCAAAGTGCTTAGTTTACGAAAAAAACGCTTGGTTCCATACTTTTTATTCACCTGGTATATTAATGATTGTTGACATGGTTCTGTTATTTCTAATAGGTTTAGGATTGTTCAAATCAATAATTATATCATGAATAATTAAAAAAAAAATAGTATTTTGTGCATTGCCGGCCAGAAAAACCGCAAGAAAAATACCAAAGGTTTGATTCGGTGTCAGAAAGAAACCAATAACGCGATTAATTTTCTCTGGTAAAATCACTATTAATTTATTTGTGTAAAGTTCTAAATAAAATTACTTTTAAACAAATCAAGTGCGCGATGATTCATTCATATCAACGTTCGCATGTTGTAATCATGATCGTTGGTTTTTGTCACAGATCACTTATTTTAGTTAAAAATATAGCGAAAAAACAAATGAAAGACAGTGTTGTGTGTTTTTTGTGACGCTTTTTATGCCTGAAATGTCATTAACGGTAAGTATTTTTTTGTTTTTTTTATAATGTTTGAGGTTAGAATAAACAAATGATCGGAATTAGATGCGGCGACTTGTTTCGTGGAATTAATAAAAATAGGATAAGGAATGTCAAGGATGACGTGATAGCGCGGATGTTAAGCAGTTGGGTTTTTTATTTGATTGATAAAAACATTAAAGTAAAGAATACATAGGGCGATTATCTATTAATTTTTGATCTGAAAAAAATTAATTACTTAGGTATATTAACAAAAAAAATAATGAAAAAGTCAAATTCTTATTTTGCTGTGTTAATTAGATAATTATGTCCCTGGAACACTGAATAAAAAATTAATACAACGTTGTTAAATCAAATTTAAGCTAAAAATACAACGAAAAACTCAAAAAAATAAAATATAAACTCAATTTCAGACATACAAGAAAAGGGGCGGAACCTCCGATCATGGCAAGGAGTATGAATGGCTACTTTGCATTTACTACGCTTTAAAATTCGCCCTAAGTTCGGAAATTTCGGACTTTGAGCTGTGGACAAACAATGAATTTTTCGGTGATTTTGACGATGTCGCCTTAAGAGTCCGATTCAAAGATGGCGTCGTTAAAGTTTATCTCCTCCAATCAAAACACACCGAAAAACCAAAAACTATCACTCTTGACTCTATGACATCGGAAAATGGCGACTTTGCATTCCACAAGTATAAAAAATCGTATGAAAAAACTCTACATCTGTCAAATTTTGTCTACATTTTGTTTACAAATCGGACATCTAAATTCAAGGACAAAACGAAGGTTGATAATAAACACGTTTTGAGACACTCCCCATGCGTGGCTCGAAATTTCCTTAACATTTCCAAAAATTCCTACGTGAATTCAGTCTATAAGGTTGAAACCGAGCAAAATTCCGACTTTTTCCGAACGTTATATCTCTACACCAATCAACAGAACGTTCCGAATCTCCACAAAACAATCGCCGATCTGCTTCAAACTCACTTTCAAACCGACATCAAGTCGACTTTTGTCGATTTTATGCGAAATTGGTGGTCGGGGAATTTCACACTGTCAAAATCGGACATTGTTGCCAAATTAGTCGAATTGGTTCTATCACCGATGATACAAACCCTCACGTGTGACATTAACAACGAAAAAACCAAACTTCTAGAAGCCGCTATTTTAAAATTTGACTTAACACTAGTCGAACAAAATGGTGGACCAATCGCACAAATATGGAGTCGACGGACACTTGACAATCAAGCAATGAAAACTGTGAGCATGACAGGTCAAAAGTACGGTCTAGTGACCCATAGAGTGTCAAAATTAGACCAATTGTCACGTGAGCAACAATCACGCATCGCATGGTACATGAATTTGTGGCCTTTAGTTGTAAAGGTGGACGAAACGAAACAAAATCAAATCAACTGTGCTTTAAACCTACTGAAACAGAAGAAAAAACGAATTGTTTTATTGGGACACTCGGTAGATATCACCGGATTTGACATTTTCCGAAATTTGTCGGACTTACTTGAAGGTGATAGTTTACGTTCTGCCATTATGCAAACTTTCACTTGTTCGTTGCAGGGCAAACTTGATGTAACTCTAAATGATCTGGGATCGTGTCTAATGTCACACTTTAAAGTCAAACAACTTGTGAAAATGGCCACTAGTGCCAACTTTAACATCGGAGAATCACTAGAAACACTGCCGCCAACATACATCGAGCGCACTTTTCCTAAAATTATCCTCGACTACAAAGTGATTGATGATATAAAGGAGTGGAACATCTGTCTCAGTTGTAACAACCAAAAGGAGCAATTTCGGCAAAAAATCAAAAAGCGAATGGTTAAAATCACGACGACTGTCACTGGGTTTAGTGATTTTCCCAAACATTATGTTGCTGCCACTGAAGGAGAATTCCCTAAGAGTGTTATTAAGGAACGATATCAATATTTTAAAGCCGGTTGTCATTTTCGTGTCATTGGACAAAACGTGCAATGGTTGTCAAATCGAGGAAATTGCCGAGATTTTGTCAAAAACATTGTCAAATATGTCAAAACGAATCCGAAAGAAGTTTGCACCGAGATACAAATCGAGGATAATTTTCACTGTGATGTAAAAGTTTTGACATCACATACGGGTAGTGGCAAAACTAGTCTTTTGAAAAGTGTCAAAAACAGAGCTTTGACCAATACTTTTGTCATGATGTTTAATTTGAGGGAACATTCGGGATTTTTCAAAGAAACTCATACAAATTGGAAGAAGGTTTGGGATTATATCACGGATTTTTACCCCAAAAGTCGGAATTATAACGAATTTGAGACTAAACTTGTCAAAGATTTTCCCAAAAATCAAATTTTAATTCTTTGGGACAGCTTCGATGAATTACAATTCGACTCAAGACAAAATTTTGTCAAAGCGATGTCAGAACTTCGTTTATTGGGAATTTCCCAGTGGATAACTTCGAAAAACCATTTTCGACAATCATTGGAATATGAATTTGAGACTTTCGCGCTGACTATGCTACCGTTTCACCAAACCGACCAGATTTACTACCTAGAGAATCGCTGTGGGGTCACCGAAAACCTACTCGAGGCAAATTTTCTGTCAAATTGTCAAATCTTAGACAACCAGGAGTATCTAGGTGTACCTCTTCAACTCTACATCATCAGCGACATCTTCAACAAAAACCCGAAACTACTCCAGGGGGTTTACAGTCTCGCCGACATGTTTCACGCTTTCATCGAAGGAAGATTCCAACATTTTTTGTCAAAACATCCCAATTATGAGGATTTGACACCCATTATTAACGATAGTAGGGAGTACCGTTTGGGCCAATACAAAATTGCCGCAGTCAAGACACACCTACCTCATGTTTTTGACAAACTCAATTTGGAAAATACAACGAGGTTTGTGGAAGAGATCCAAAATGGCGATTTTTTGGGACTTGTCAAACTTGATCAAAACGGAGGATTTATTTTCGAGTTTCAGATTTTAGGAGAGTATCTCGCCGCTTTGTTTTTATCTGAAAATCGTCAACTTGGACTCGAGTTCATTTTTGCACCTAAATACAAAAACATTCGGTTTTTATTCGACTTGATAATGGCCGAAAACAAGCCAGAGTTGATTTCGCTTCTTTATAAAAAATTTGACAACTTTGACAATTTTGAATCGAAAGATAAACTCGGGCGAAATGCCCTGCACTTGATTTGTGCGTACGGCGAAAGACACCCACTGTTACGAACAGAAGACCAGAAATATGCTTTTAGTCATGGGGATTCAGCTCGGGAGGATGCCCCTATAGTCAAAAACCTTGTCAAAAACTTGACACTCAAATGTGACATTTGGGAAAAAGACGAACTTTTCAATTGGACGTGCTTTGATTACGCCGACCGGTCACTCTCACTTGGCCTTTTAGAAATCTTGTCAAATCTTGACAATGTCCTTCCAACATTGTCAAATTTCAATGACCTGCCCACAGTTTTGTATTATGCCGTCAAATTTGACTATCAAAACTTATTCAAAGCTGCACACAAAGACATCACGTTTGTTGAAGACTCCAGTGGTGTTAATCTTCTCCACGTTGCTACCGAATTCGACCGTGAACAATTCCTAACGTGGTTTTTGACACAAAAAATCTACATCGAAGGCATCAATAAACAAAATTCTAATCATTGGGCACCAATTCAAATCGCGTCATTTAACGGCAATTTGACATTTTTGAAGCTTTTACAAACAAAAGGTGCAACTTTTCCACTCCGGGATCCGTCACTTGTATCACTCGCTACGTCTCACCCACATCCTCACATTCTCGACTTTCTGATAGAATGTGAATGTAGTGTGAATGAGTTTTACCACCACAATTACTTCACACGGTCACTGCCAATGGCGATAACTCACGGTTATGTTGACATTGTCAAATTTCTTGTCAAAAACGGGGCAAAATTCTACAACGTTGGCAAAAACAGCATGAATGCCTTGCATATGGCTTTGGAGGTTCAGAAATATGACATAGCAGAGATTTTTCTTGATGCTGGCATAAATATCGACGAGACGGATGACAGAGAACAGACTAGTGTTCACCACGCTGCACAAAACAACCACAATGGGGTAATAGAGTGGTTGGTGGCTCGAGGGGCAAAAATTGATGTTTTTGACAGTCATCATCGTAATGCCCTACATTGGGCCGCCCATTCAGGCTCACTACAAGCCGCAGAAGCGTTAATTCAAGCCGAGATCAATATTGATGTTTTTGACAATGAGGGTTTCACACCTTTACATCTGGCAGTATTGTCAGGGCAATTGTCAATCGTGAAGTTACTTTTAGACAACAAATGTGACCCTAAACCGCTCAACAAGTACAAAAGAACACCTCTACATCTCGTTGCAATGAACGATTTGACTGACATGGTCAAAATCTTTCTACAAACAGATCCAGAATCAGTTGATTGCATTGAAAGTCTATACGGGAGAACGCCTCTACATTACGCAGCCTGGAACGGTCATCCCGACTGTGTCAAAACTCTATTATTGTCAAATGCTAGTTTTGACAGTCGATGTAATTTCGGGTATACACCTTTACATCTAGCAGTCGAATCAGAAAATTACGATTGTTGCCGATTGTTACTCGAAGCTGGTGCTAGACTTGACACTCCGAACTGCAACGGCGCTACACCTCGAGATCTAGCCAAAGATTTTAACATTTTTATGCTCATGATGACATTTGACACATTTCCAATACATACAGCAACAACTAAAGGCAAATACGAGTCAATCCCCGAAATTATATCACTTGGTCGCGAAGTCAATCAGGTTGACAATAAGGGAATGACTCCTTTACACCTGGCTGTCAATACGTATCAACCATTCAAAATTGTCAAAACACTTCTTGACAATGGAGCTGATGTCAATTTAAAAGACAAAGATGGATACACGGCTCTTCATCATCTTCTACAAGGGCTGTGTCCAGATAGAGACACATTTGACTTACTTATAACCGGACGAGGGGAATTTGAAATCAATTCAAAAACTGTCAAATTTTTGACACCGTTGCATATCGCAGCACAGGCCGGTAGTTTTCTTTTGTTACCTCGTGATGACACCTTAGAGATTTTTGAATATTTGACAGGTGTATTAATTGACAAAGGGGCAAATATTGAAGCTAAAGACGATGATGATTTCACACCGTTACATTATGGGGCACAGAGTGGTAATTTGACAATTGTCAAACTTTTGACACGTGACAATTTAATCAATCAAGTCAATAAGTACAATCGGACACCTTTACACATGGCTGCAGTCAAAGGGCACCACACGATTGTCAAATATTTGCTAGATTATGGTGCACAACAAGTCAAAGATTGTGATGGTGATACTCCACTAGATGATGCTTTAAAAATTGAAAGTATCGAAACTATTAAATTATTGACAAGTGATTTGACAGTGACTAGTCACACGGGTCGAAATGTTTTGCATATGGCAGCCAAGCAAGGCCTATTTGATTTAGTTGAAACGTTTCAAAGAGACAATATAGCGACTAGTGAGGATTGTCAAGGTACTACTCCAGCAGAGGAAGCTTTATATAACCATCATTTCAAGGTTTTTGACATTATGGACTTGTCAAATTTTGACGTTAATAAATACAGTCGACGATATAAAAAATATCCGCTTCATGTGGCCACTACTTGTCGTCGAAAGTTGACACTAGTTGAGAAATTCATCAAGTTGGGGGCAAAAACAAACGTTTGTGACGAAGATGGCAATACACCGTTACACACTTGTCAGAATGACGAAATTTTGACATTATTAGTCAATTCTGACAAGAGTGGTTTAAATGTGCAAAATTTAAAAGGACAAACTATTTTACATCTTTTGGTAAAAGAGAGAAAATATAAGCTTTTGCTATCTCTAGTAGATCAAGGAGGCGACGTCAATATAATTGACAATGACAATAACACCGTTTTCGATTTATTATTTGATAAGGATTATCTTGATGAAAAAATTTTATATAAAGTCAATCAATTCAACTGGAACAAAACAAATCGTGAAGGTAATACACTACTCCATCTTGCAATTAGTTCCAAGATGACGGAAGCCGTGCAATGGCTACTAGATAAAGGAGTCTCGACTAGAATTGAGAACAGTCAAGGTGATACTCTTTTGGTTTACGCTATAATAAGATCTAATCGAGAAATTGTTCGATTGCTACTAAAACATTGTGATTTAAGTCAAGAAAAATACCTTTTCTTTAATGCTGTACTATATGGATGGGAATTCCTCCCCGAACTCCTCCCACATATCAAGCCTTCCAATTTTACACCAGCCGAACAAACCTCTTTCCTCCAATCAGTGTGTTTCGTCGACCATTTTCAAGATCTATGGAATTTACTTCCTGATGCTGACGTCACCAAAATAGCAACCGATCGGGGCGACACTCCCCTACATTTATCTGTTTCTCGAAAAGACTTGACTTTGACAAGCCGTTTACTTCAAAAGGGGTTAAAACCCAATGATGCCAATCGTAATGGTGAAACTCCGACTCAAATAGCCGTCGATAGAGGACATTTGACAATTTTGCATGTTTTACTTGACAATGACAGAAATGCGGTATTTCGGAGCGACCGTAATGGAAACACTTTACTACACGACGCGGCAAGTAAGGGCAATTTGGAAATGGTCAAGTTTTTACTAAAAAGGGGCTTTCGGAGCGATGTTTGTAATGGAAGAGGAAAGACTGCTTCCGAAGTGGCAAAGGAACAAGGGCACGACGAAATTTACCAATTTTTGAAAAGCTTGTAATAAAAATTTTGGCACGAAACTGTTTTTTTATTTCAGGGTTATGAGTTAATTAATTAGTCAAAATTTGTTAACTTTTCGGACTTTTTGTTTATTGTCATGTCAAAGTTTTTACATTTTGAAAATTATCAAGTCAATAATTATGTACTTATATGAAATACGTCGAGACGTGTTCGCAAATACAAAACTATTTCTTTGTATCCAATTCCTAAACTTTTTGAAGTTGGAAAATGTGACATTCCTTCCCGTGGCCGGGAAATAATTTACGAACGATTACCAAGATTACGAGCCTATCAAATGTCAAAAACTCAATTTGTTTGCATAGCAACTATGTCATTGTATCAACTTTGCCACAAAAACATATTTTATTATTTAAATAAATGTGAAGAAATTGTGAATATAATAGTATACACAGTGCAGGTGAATCAGAATAGTAACAAAATTTTATAATTAATAGTACATTACAAGCGAGGTGGTAAATATGGCACAACCACCGAGGTTTGTGTGCTATTTATTCACAATAACATTATTTTGTTATTAAATTTTTTACTGCGAGACTTTTCTCACATTCTATGGTAAAATATGGCTCAAGGGGCATAAATTAAATGAAAGTCGTCCAAAAACAGCCATTCTGGTTTATTATTATTGTCTTATAAAATCACAATCAATATAAATAACTGAATTGACGCAAACTCAATTTACGCTTCACAAATAGCTTAAGAATCATGCAAATTCGAGTCTTTCCTGGACGGATCTTGATCACTTTGTACATTATTGTGTATATTTTTCGCGTGTTGCTTTAAATAATACTTATCCGAGAATTTTTTCCCACAATCCTGACACCCATAAGGCTTGACCCCCGAATGCACCCTTAGATGTCTCTGCAATTTGTGTTTATCAAAAAACGTATTGGGACACACATGACACGCAAATTTCTTCACTTTGACCGGTATTTTCGCATTCCCGATTCCGTGATGTTTAGTTAAGTGTATTTCAAAGAATCGTTTTTCCTTATAAGCTTTCTCACAGTGTGTGCATTTGAAAGGGTTTACCATCGAGTGTGAGCCCACGTGTTTCTGCAATTCACTCCTACTGACAAAACTCTTATCACAAATGTGACACCCGAACCTCTTATCACCCGTGTGTCGCTTCATATGCTGCTCAAAGCCGGATTTCAACGGAAACCTCCGGTTGCACAAATCGCATCCGTATTTCCACAAAGTCGACTCCGTGTGGACAACGAGGATGTGCGACCGAAGATTCTTATTCGTGTTGAAAGCCTTATCACAAAACTCGCATTTGTAGTTTCGACGATTAAAATGAATGTATTCATGGACGGTTAAATCACTTTTCGTTATGTAAGACTTGCCACAGAAGCTACAAATGTGGTTTCGACTCCCATCATGGTACTTCCTATGCTGGATCAAGTTGGCCGACGAGGAAAATCGCATGGGACACTCATTGCAAGTGTAGGGCTTCACCAATTTCCCCTCCATTGAATGCTCCCGAACGCAATGTTCCACAACGTCCTTTGCGTAATTCAAAACTAAATTGCACACTTCGCACGAGAAACGATTCTTGCGACTTGGGGGTTCCCTCATCTTGCATTTTTTCAAATGCACTTTTAGGGTTTTTTGAGTCGTGTAAGTTTTGTTGCAATCGTCACATTTGAAGCGTTTCGGGGCTTCAGGAGGTGCAACAACGCAGTGGCTTTGAATATGTTCGATTAAAACCTCTTTATCTCCATATCTGTTATTGCAGTGATAACACTCGTAGAATTGTTCGCGTTTTATAGAATTCTTCCGGTCCAAATCAAGTCGAATACAACGATTCCGGAATTCAAAAGCCACATCCAAATCAGATTCGCATGATGCACAAATTTCGTAACATTCCAGCCATTCCTGAAACGCAATTTTTTACCCCCGCTAGGGCTTCGAGAAAAAAATTACCACTTCGGAGACGACACTTCGCAATTTGGTGAGAAGTGACTCTTGACTGCTTAAAGACACAACTTTTTCCACGGAACTCAAACACACACTGCATTTCACTCCGAATTTATTCATTCTGGGTGTTAAAAAGTGAGGTTATAGCACCTCAAACAACGACATAACCTCAAATTTACCTCAGTTTTGGGATAATTTCTATCACGCGCTAGAATAAACCAGTATAATTAATGAATACAGACAACTTGCGTGTTGTTTCATCTCGGGATTAACAATTTACGACATATTTATGTCACAAAATTGAAAATTTTTGTAAATTTGCATGGAATAGTGACTAACCGGTACCAACCTTACAAGCAAAAAATCAGCGGGAAATTTAAACGATTGTATTATTAATTATTGTATTATTTCAGTAATAATCTGCTGGGAGATTCCGCTTCATGCTTGTCCCTCATGTGTACGCGGAGACCCCCCTTGTCGGCATACTTGTTCCCGCAGTCTTCGCACTGAAACCGTTTAATTCCTGCATGTCTGTCCACGTGGGCCTTCAGGCGGGTTTTAGTGTCAAATTTCTTGGAACAAACACCACACGTGTACTTCTTTTCCGGTAATTTGGCATCGCCTAGACCATGATCGCGTCTCAAATGCAATTTATACGAAATATGAAGCTTGTATGTTTTATCACAATGTTTGCACTTAATTGGATTGACTTCCTTGACAAATGTGTGGGCCTTGATGTGTTTTTTTAGCTCTCCTTGTGAAACAAATGACGTGGGACAGATATGACATTTGAAGGGTTTTTCCCCTTTGTGTCTTCTAATGTGTTCCTCGAGTCCCTGTTTATTACAAAATCGTTTCGTGCACAAATGACAGGCAAATTTCTTGTCACTGTAGTCAGAATGAACCACATTGACGTGAGTGTAGAGACTGGTGTGGCAATTGAAGCCTTTACAACACAACTCGCATTTGTATTTTCGTTGATTCAAGTGGCCTTGTTCATGAACCACGACTTCGCGTTTTGTTTTAAAAGTCCGCCCGCAGAGTGTGCATACAAAATTCCGGATTGCAGAATGATGAAGTTCGTGTTTTTGTAAATTATACAATTTTGTAAACCTTTTCGGACATTTATCGCACGCAAACGGCTTGATTTCATCCTTTTCAAGACTGTGCTCCTTTATGCAGTGCTCGATAACATCTTTCGTGGTCTCAAAAGTCGCCCCACAGACTTGACAGAACCCCACTCTGGCTTTGAGTTCTCCACAAATTGGAATGTGTTCCTCCAATTCTTTTTTCGTCGCGAATTTCCGAGGACATTTCTCACAAATAAAGTTATACACAGGCTGGATGTTGAAGATATCGATATCGACGCGATGTTTCGCATACAAATGCTCTGATAAAATCTTTGCACTCGTTGAAGTGATTTGAGTTTCTTTTGTTTCATCGTGGTCCCGGTCAATGTGCTCGGATAGGAGTTGACAATCGATGAATAGTTGACCACAAGTGTAACACGCATAAAGCGCACGATTTGTCTTGGGGGCTCCAGTCACCTGACGCTCGAAATCGAGACGAATGCAACGCGCCCGGAATTCGTAAGCTGTCTCCAATTCGGACTGGCATGAGGCGCAAATGCGGTGATGTAGCATCCATTCCTACAACTTGAATAGTTTCAAAAGGGAATTGGCGAAAGGGGCGGAGTACCACTTCGGGGACCAAGGCTTGCAGTTTAGTCAAGAAAGTTTCGTTCCTGCTACCAGTACTTCGTACACTCACCACGTTGGGGACTAGTCTCACGCAAATGTCGCAAGTTGCCGCGAAAACACTCATTTTAGGGGCTTGTTTGGTGATGACATAACCTCACTTTGTTCAAGCACCAACAAGGCGAACTGGAGCAACAATAAAGCAAATTATGCAACCACATCAAAACTAAAATCAATTTTTATCAAAATTAAAGCTTGAGCATTTACCCTAAGGCCCCAATTTAGTAAAATTTGTTTGAAAAAAATTGGTGGCGCCCTCAACTCCAACGGTAAAATTGTGAACTAGTCAATGTCGTTTTTGTATTAAAAAAAAACCTTCCACGACACAAATAAGTATACAAAACCCCTTCAAAAACATAACGTTTCAGAAATTTAACGTTACGCATCGCCCTTGTCCCCCAATTTTGATTAAAATTGAAAAACAACAAAAAGTAGTGGCGCCCCTACAACTCCAACGGCCAAATTGTGAACTTATAATTTGCCAATTTGGTTGGCTAAAAAAGCTTCAAACACAATTAAATCCATAAAACCTTTTCAAAAACACACAGTTTCAAAACTTTAAGGCCTTGAATGACTCTTATGCCCCAATTTCAACTAAATTTCAAAAATACAGCAAAAATCAGTGGCGCCCTCGCAACTTGAGCGGCTAACTTGTGAACTACCCAATTTGTCATTTTCGTATTTTTTCGCTAAAAAAACCCTCCAGGACGTTAATAAATGCACAAAAGCCTTTTGAAAATGTGAGCGCTTTGTTTCACCCGTGTGCCCCGATTTTTGAGGTTATGTCACAATGGCTTTCGCCCCAAGCCTCCTCGATTTGCCCAATTGTCTTATTTTGCAACTTTTGCAATACTTGGATGCTACAACTTTGTATTTATTGGGAAGGTGAGTCTTTTGGTGGTTTGAATTTGTGAATGAATGTTTCTTTCAGGACTTGCACCCGTTTGGATGAAATAATTCGCAATTCGAAGATCCTATGGAGGGTAATTGACGCCCGGCGTGCCCCCAACGACAACGCGAAAGTTGAGTATTGCACGGAGAGATGCAACAGCGAGACTCACACTTTTTTGATAAGGGGTGAAAATCAGTGTGAAACTCTAGTCCCTGAACTGTTTTATGCTAAACTGAATCAGTCTGTAAAAATGAGAAATATCGTTATTTTAGCCCTGGAGAACCAAACTATTCACGAGAATCAAGTAAGGGGGGGGCTAGAGTTGAGAAATTAATCAATATTGTGCTTTTAGTACTCAGTTATGCTTTTTCCCCCCCAATTGGAGGAGTTCAGTTTGAGGGGTTCAGTGGTGGCAAACTCCTTGGAATTTTTCAAATCTTCAAGTGACCATTTTAAAAAGTTGCGAGTCTTAATACTCGACGAGTGCACTTGGGTCACAAGCATTGTTTTAATGTCAATTTCAAAGTATCCCTCATTGGAAATTTTGTCACTCTACAAGTGCAAAAATGTCGACAATTCCATCCCTTATTTGAGTCTCTCAGGACACGGTTTCAAGCAATTGAGAATTTTTGATGCCCGATTGTCACGTAAAAAGCCATTTTTTCGCTTTAAATTTTCCTAAAAACTTATTTCCAGCATTGGGTAACACTTTAATTCGTTCAATTTACAAATCCCCTTGTTTACTCGCCATTTATCTACAAAACGACGACATTTCCTACACTCTAGACCACTACAAAAGAGAATTGGCGATACAAAAGGGGGCCCCGACTCGAACTTTCGCTCCCAAAATCGATTTAAACGAGTATTTAACCGCAGAAAATAGCTTTAATTACGAACAATCGACAACACTGGATGACAGGGGGCTCTTGGACTACTTAACAACAATCAGTGGACAAACCTCAATGCAACTCCCTGAAAGTGTCCTCTATTTAGACCCCTACAGTCCTTGTAATTGCCACAATGATGAAAAGAAAAACAATAATCGAAGTAAATCAAGCCGTTTGTGCCTCCAATCATTCATTTGTTTCTCGTAGAACCCTCCAATGACTCATCGGATGACGACGATCAAGACGGCGATGAACCCGATCTTCGGGAACTTTCGTTTAAAATCGTGCACTTGGCACGCTTGATTCGTCGAAATCGAAATAATATCTCATATGGTCAGAGATTGAATCAGGACCCACCGTGGCCCATTATTGGCCCCTATATTGATGACGTGTTAAGACAACGATATCTAGTATTGGGGTACCCTAATAGTGACGCCAGGGAGGACCTACAACCCATCATCGAGTAATACAGTGTTGTCTTTTACCATAGTTTAATTTTAATTTGTAGCATTCGTTTGAACCCCCGGCAGGTGAATGTGAGACAGTGTCGGCCTCAGGAGGTGCCCCGCGAAGTGCGCAAACGCTTCTCAGAGAATTCCGACGGGCCTGAGCAAAAGAAACAAAAGGGTGATGAGGCTTCACCGGGGCCCAGTGGACTCCAACCAATTCCAGAGGAAGTTAATGATGATAGGGCCCCCACACCACCGAGAGAACCCTATTATCGCAGGGTTTATTTCCGGGGCTGTCCTGTCATACAAATTGAGAATCTTGATGAAGTCAAGAAGGATTTTTCAGTACCGTTGAAACGACTGTCTTTGAGGGGGTACAAAAAGATAACCAACACTGCCCTTCACTATATCAAGGATTTGGAACTGGAATTGTTAGATGTGACGTATACTAATGTAACAAAGGATGCAATTGAGAGTTATTTAGTGGATCATCCTTCGTGTCGGGTGCTCCATGAACGGTTTTGTACGTGCCCCCCGAATTTGCATTTTTAGTATTTATTTTATGTAATAAAGGTATGGTATTATTTGTAATAAATTTATTACCACAGTCTTAATTGAATTTAAATCCTAACTTGGCCAAATCCGCCCTCGCTTCCACTATTTCCTGAAAGACAAATTGAATGAAACCAACAAAGTGGGCCCCCCTTTTACCTCTTGTAACTCGGCGGCGGCCTTTTCGCAATCATTGAACGTAAAAACGCGATACAAAACAACAATTATTGCATAAATCTACAAAAAAACATGAATATTTGACATAACCTCACTTTGACTCACCCCAAATAATCCGACAAAAATCACCGGGGAGTAGAAAATCAAACTGGGGTGGTGCTTCACAAGTCCTATTTCGACCGTATTGGTCACTAAAGACAGCCACAGGGCGGTTAAAGCCCCCAAAACGGTCACCCACTCGAGCAATTTGGTCATTTTAGGTTATGTTAGTGTAAAACGAAAAATTCCCAAGAGATAACTGTCATGTTTGGCTATTTTTGTCAAAATTTGAAAAGACTTTCCCAAAATTGAGGAAAAAATCACTCGTTGATGATAAGACTACGGGACGACTCGATTTCGCACGACTTGACAAACAATGGTTTTGACAACAAAGACTTGAGGAAACAATAGAAATTTTCAAATAATTACAATGGAATTGAGTACGGTGCGTTTTGTGCCCAAAGGTGAGCGTTCGAGGGCCCCATTGTCGATTTTGGGACAGTTTGGGTGTTGCAGATGGGGGCAAGAGGAGTGCCAGGGACTTGGACGCACTCAGGACCCACATCCAGAGGATCGACGGGACGACGGTGAAGATCCCCCCAGATCAATCATTCGTCGACGTTACGATCCCCGAAGGGAATTATTACTTGATCCGGTAAGAGAAGATTACATTTTTTAAGATTAGATATTGGGACAGTTGTTAAAAGTCGGGTCAAGTGGCGGCAACATGTTCAAGTCGCTCCTAGGGGCGAAGCCCCAGTACTCCAGGCTTGAATCGTGAGTCTAACCTTGAATCATTCGAGGTCACTTTTCACTTGAATGAGAGCAAAGAGCGGATTTACTTTCACCACAGCTCGACTCTCGTTCATTTTTCACAATAATGTTGTGACGGTGCTTGTGCATTTTGTGACATGTTTGGCTACAGGAAGTATGTGGTTCCACTTTTTTCCTGTTTGTTTCAATTTTCAAGTCAACAAGTCTCATTTTTGGCCATTTTCACTCAAGTCGTGCACGTGATTCGAGTTTTTTAGGAATAATAGAGCAAAGCCTTGAATTGTGTATTAGTTAGTTTAACTGATAAGTTATAAATAATTGTAGGTAAGCGACACAAGCATTAGCTGCTTATCTAATCGTTATTTTTGAATAGAAAAACTTGTGTTACTGTTAAAATTCTTGTTGCGACATTGATAATTTATTTGACGCATTTTTACACAATGCAATTTTTTTAACACACAAAAGTGAAAACTATAAGTTTTACGGTTGGTAAAGTTTACTCTCTCTTCAATGTCACTTATAATAACGCAAATGAGCAAAATCTAGTGGCCTCAATATTTCATGATATAGGTAAATTTGCGACTAAAAACCAAAGTTTTGTTGGTAGCACTGCTAAAAATTGTTAAAAAACTCACTGTCATGTTTTTATTGTCATGGATATCTGGTCTTGATAATTAATTTGTGTAAATTTTTTGAAATTTTTGAAATATTTTACTTTCATTCATTTTCGTCTATTTTGTTAATAACAGAAAATTTTTATTTATAACTTAAAAAAGACTGATTTTTGATAAGAATAGATATAAAATTAAAATATCAATATCACATAATTTCCGGTAGAAAAATCAGATAAAACTGTGGAAAGATCAAGTTCAAAGCTGAAAATTGAGCCTTGACAAAAATTAAGAAAATAGAATGACATTTTTTAGTTTAATTTTTTGGAAAAAAATGCCCTAAAATCTAATTTTTTACAATTCGATGTTTCCGATTGGTCACTTTAAATATTTCAAAATTGGCGCCACATTGGGTTTGATAATCGCTTCAAAAATACCCAGAATGACGTCAAATGTCAAATTTTTGTTTTTTTTACTAATATTTGTGTTGGTTGAGATCAAAAAATAAATGAAAACGCAATTCTTTTCAATTTTTTCTTGTTGTAGATATTATGTAAAAATATAATAAAGCAGTCTTTGTTCTTATTAGACATTAAACACTGTTATTTTCAAGTAGAAGCAACCGAGACCATTTTTTCTAACATTAAGGGAATTAAATTTGAAAAATAAAGCAATAAAAAGTTAAGAGCGGTTCACGTGACAATTGCTATGTTTCCGATTGGTCCATTTAAATATTTTAAAATTTCCACCAAATTGTGATTGGTGCTTCAAAAATATCAGGAGTATAATTTCGCATGTCAAAATATTGTTTTTGTTAAATTTTATTTTGATTTAGAGTATTTAGACCCAAAAATAAAGAATTGTTCTTACATTGAAAAATACACCAAACGTCAAACTTTTTAAAAACATTTCAAAATTGCGTTGTTTGCCTAATTATGTATTGTTTAATTATTTAAAGTGTGAATTCGTGATTTAAAATTCAAATAGAAGGAGGACAAAAGTCATGGCCTTCTCATATTGGGAGCAAAAACAGCAAAAAAAAAAGAAAAACAATAGTGACTTACGGGTGATAATTTTAATTTTAGTGCACTTACGGTTAAACCGGAAACGCGTATAAATTTGAATTAAATTTTCCGTCGATTCGAAAACAATGAGGAATTCCCGGAATGCATTTTCCAAGTTTAATAAAATCCCGTCCTTGTTTCAAGTACGTACGTTTGGTGTCGTCGCGTTATCAATTCCATCCACATAACATTATCCAGATATAAGTTTGGAACTCGTTTTATTATACGTCGATGTCTTATCAGTGGTGTTATCGCGACAGTCTACTTGATTCATCCTTTCTTTACCTACATGTCAATCGTCATGCTCGCCATTGTCCCATTTCATTGTGAATAACAATTAAAAAATCGTTGTTTTTCTTCTCTTCTCGCGTAAAATTTTAATTGTTTCCCGTTGTCGGTGCTAAAAGTGCAATTATGGACGATAAGGTATTACTATTATCGGCCGACAATGAATGGTGAGTTTATACTAATTGTCGCGAAACGGTTTAGATGTATTCAAGCGGCCGAATGCGACGTTTCGTTGTCGATTTTGCCTTCTTCGGAAAGTTTTTCGTTTATTTTACTATGTCGTTCCGGGTGTTGTTCGAAAAGATCACTCGGAGACGCTCCTGGTGCGAATTATCATTTTTTTATTATTTATACAGTGTGTTTTAGTAAATTAATAAAAGTGCTCGAACAGGTAACCGATTTAAAAGTGAAACAAACAATTTTTTTAAATACCATAGATAAGAATTTGTATTTGTTTCTCGGTCAGATACAATTCCTTTAACCTATTTTTAGCGATTATCAATTAATTATCGGTAATTAATTCAAAATTTTATTTTGAAACCCTTTTTTTCCGTCCTGCACGAGTCGACTGTGAAATAAATGCGTCTAAATCTGTTTAGTTGCCATAGAAACGCTATGAATTATATACGTAACTATGGTAACGAAAGGTATAAAAATTGAACCAGTGGCGGGGGTTTCGATAAAATTTTCATTGTAATAACAAATTTTATCGGTAATAGAGTTAGTTTCGTAACTCAATACGCTTGTTTGAGCACTTTACCAAAACAAAGAAATATTTTCTGAATCACCCGATTGCTAAACTTGGTAATTGTTACAGGGACGCCACCGAATCTCTCGGTTTTGAGCCCCTCATCAATGAGAAAAGCACCGAAAGCGAATCTGTTTCCCTACTTGCCCCCACTGGTGACTACACTTCCGATCAACCAACCATCATCACCGTTGCTGAAGATGATACCATTAAAATTACCGTTTTGGGTATGACGTGTCAAAGCTGTGTCAAATCCATTGAAGACAATCTCAGTCGCAAACACGGCATTTACAACATTAAAGTTAGTCTACAGGAAAAGGCGGCTCTTGTTCATTACGACACTCGTCAACTCAAACCGCAACAAATATGCGATTTTATCGACGATATGGGCTTCGAAGCGGGCATTCCAGGGGGGCAAAGTCGACAATGCCGTGTCCATATTGACGGCATGACGTGTAAATCATGCGTGGGGAGTATTGAAGGCATGATTTCGGCCAAACCGGGCATTAAAACAGCAATTGTTGACTTAGAGACAAAAGAAGGTCGATTTGAGTACGACCCTGGATTAGTCAAAGCTGAGGAAATTGTTGAACAAATTGAAGATATGGGCTTTGAGGCATTTATTAAGTCCATTGATGGCAAAAGTGTTACTAGTGTCACTTCTAAAACCCAGAAATACCAACCCCAATTAAGCGAACATAATCTTGAAAAATGTCAATTGCAAGTCAAAGGCATGACATGTGGGAGTTGTGTTGCAGCGATTGAAAAACACGTGAAAAAAATTCCTGGTTGTCACAAAATTTTAGTTTCATTGCTCGCCGCTAGAGCTGAAATCCATTACGATCCGTCGCTAGTGTCGCCGTTTGAACTAGCGACCTGTATTACCGACTTGGGATTTCCCGCGAATGTAGTTCAAGAATCAGGTGCTGGGGCTTCTGAAATTGATTTGGAAATCTCGGGGATGACTTGTGCGAGTTGTGTGCACAAAATCGAAACGAATGTCGTGAAATTACAAGGAGTTTTGAGTGCAAATGTCGCTCTCACGACCAAAAGGGGGAAATTTAAGTATGATCCTGAGGCGACAGGGGCTCGGGATATCATCGAAGCAATCAATAAATTAGGTTTCGAAGCGAGGCTATTTAATCGTGATCATGGTAATGATTATTTGGAACAGAAAGAGGAGATTCGAAGGTGGAAACATGCGTTTTTGTTTTCATTGGCTTTTGGGGGGCCCTCTATGATCGCAATGATGTATTTCATGACTTTGATGTCAAGTGGACATATGTCACACGAGGATATGTGTTGTGTGATTCCCGGACTTTCGCTCGAGAATTTGATAATGTGGATATTATCAACTCCTGTTTTACTACTAGGGGGGCGTCATTTTTTCGTTCAAGCTTACAAAGCACTAAAACATCGCACCACAAACATGGACGTCTTGATAGCAATGGCGACGTCAATTTCATACACTTATAGTGTGATTGTGGTAATAGCCGCCATGATTATGAGACAGAAGACTTCGCCCCAAACATTTTTTGATACGCCCCCAATGCTACTCGTTTTTATTAGTTTAGGCCGTTGGTTGGAACATGTCGCTAAAGGCAAAACATCCGAAGCTTTATCGAAATTACTCTCACTCAAAGCAACAGATGCGGTTTTGGTGAAATTGGGGCCCAATGGGGAGATCTCAAGCGAAACTTTGGTTCATGTGGATTTGGTGCAACGAGGGGATGTTTTAAAAGTAGTACCGGGAGCGAAAGTACCAGTCGACGGTAAAGTTTTACAGGTATAGTATAGTGGGTGTGGTTAAAAGGCGTGGCTAATTAAACTCCGCCCAACAGGGTCAATCAATGTGCGACGAGAGTCTCATAACGGGAGAAAGTATGCCAGTACCGAAAAAAATTTCAAGTAGTGTGATTGGTGGATCGATCAATCAGCACGGCCTACTAATAATCGAAGCCACACATACCGGAGAAGCAACAACCTTATCCCAAATTGTCAAATTAGTTGAAGAAGCACAAACGTCAAAAGCACCAATCCAACAATTGGCTGATAAAATTGCCGGTTATTTTGTACCAACTGTTGTCTTCCTGTCACTTTTGACACTTATTATCTGGTCTATTATTGGTTCCATCAATATAGATGCACTTCCGGTGACTGAAAGTGAGAAACGCGAGTTTAGTAAAACTGGAGTTATTCTTCAGTTTGTGTTTCGGTGTGCGTTGAGTGTTCTTGCAATTGCGTGTCCGTGTGCATTGGGTTTGGCCACACCAACAGCAGTAATGGTGGGGACTGGTATCGGTGCCGTGAATGGTATTTTAATCAAAGGGGCGGAGCCGTTAGAAAACGCCCACAAAGTCAAAGCAATTATGTTCGATAAAACCGGTACGATTACAAAAGGTGTACCTGAAGTAACCCGTCTATGGCTCAAAGGCAATTCGTTAAGCCCCGCCTTGATTTTAGCAGCGATTGGTTGTGCTGAAACGAATTCCGAACATCCAATCGCCTCTGCAATTATTAAATATGTAAGAGAGGCGATCGGGGCGGAGTTAACGGGCACTAGTAGTGGATTCCAGGCGGTACCAGGGTGTGGCTTAAAATGTACAGTATCGTCGTTGGGTCAACTGGTGAAGAATGCAAAGAATTACCAAGAAATGGGGAATTTTATGACGTTAGTACAGGCGGGGAGTGCAGGGGTGTTTACATTGAATGGTGTCGAAGTCGAGGTTAGTAACAATCAGAGCATGAAATTGGGACAGTTGATTGGTATGGAGGCGGGGTCTGGCGACGAGGAGGGGCGATATGAAGTTGTGATTGGTAATCGGGAGTGGATGAATCGGAATGGGTTAATCGTGACCGAGGAAATTGATAGGAAGATGGTCGGGGAGGAGGAGCAAGGGAGATCGGCCGTGTTGTGCGTCATTGATGGTAAATTTAATCATCTGTATTTCAGTGTTGCCAATCATTTTTTTTTTTCAGGTGAAATCATAGCTATGGTTAGTGTGGCCGATATGGTGAAGCCCGAGGCTCATTTGGCCGTCTATACTTTGAAAAAAATGGGTCTCGAGGTGATTCTTTTGACAGGTGATAATCGTCAAACCGCTGCTAGTATCGCAAGACAAGTTGGTATTAACAAAGTCTACGCTGAGGTGCTCCCATCGCACAAAGTCGCCCGTGTGCAAAGACTCCAATCTCGCGGTATTAAGGTGGCCATGGTGGGCGATGGGGTTAATGATAGCCCCGCATTGGCGCAAGCCGACGTCGGTATGGCCATAGCCGCCGGTACGGATGTCGCCGTCGAGGCCGCCCATGTCGTACTTATGAGGAACGATCTCTTGGATGTAGTCGCCTGTCTCGAACTGTCCCGAAAGACTGTCAATCGAATTCGATTGAATTTTCTCTTCGCATCCGTTTATAATCTTCTAGGGATTCCCCTAGCTGCTGGTGCTTTTAGTTTTATTGGATTTACGTTGGCACCATGGATGGCGAGTGCCGCGATGGCGTTAAGTAGTGTCTCGGTGGTTGGATCGAGTCTTTTATTGAAATTGTGGAAAAAACCGACAATTAGAGATTTGCAAACTGAGGAGTATTTAGCTGAGCGAAATTCGAGGGAACTCGATACGATTTCGATACATCGGGGGTTGGATGATATCGAACAGAATGGAGCGCCACCTATATCAAGGTATATAAGACAATGTAACGAATACCATTTATGAAAAAATAAAATAAAAATGTGCCATCTCGTTTCGTGACGCTCTGCAACCTCAAAAATTAACAATTGTTAAACAAGAGTTAATTTTTGTTGCAGTTGTTATCGAGCGTAGCGGAATTTGATCATAGTTCCAATTATTTCAAACTGATTACATAAATGTAAGTTTATATCAATGCATGATTCTGTGATTTTTTATACTTATTATTACTAATTATAACAAGTATTTTTTGGTCTTTTTTTATTTTGTTTGTTTGTTTTACCCTACATTACTAATCCTCATGCATGCTTATATTGTCAAACTTCTTATCAGAGTGACTTTATAGGTTCCTTGGACGTAATAAAACTGGACCTCAGTTGTTACTTTCCAGTGATATAGACGATGAAACGTCAGTGACGTTTGACAGAAGAAAAGAGGGCGTACGTGAACCACTTATGACTTAATAACTTACTTACAAATGTGATATAATGCATCATTTTATTGTAATTAAACCAAAATGACGTATATTTTAGTCGAGCGTTTAATATTTTTATATTGTATAATTTTTACGGTGCTCAACCGACTTGTAATCTCAATGTGTAAATAAAACTTTTACGACACACCCTGTACACACCTTTCGGACACACCCCGTATATTTCACATAAGCGACAAAAACGCGTAATTTGGGGTCGCATGCATGGAAAACAATTCCCCTTGAGCCGAATAATTTTTTGATAACAAGCAATCTCACAGATAAGATCTAGTAATTTAACTTTGACGTTTCAAGGTTGGTAATGCGAGTAAATTAGCGATTAAATTGTTTGCATTTTTTTTTTAAATAAAAGCCGCGATTTTTTTATATTTTTTAACCTCTCTCGAGTCGAATTAATTTTTCATAACACCCAAAGTATTTTTTTATTTGATAAGATTTAGTAATTTTCACTTTTGAGGTTTCAATGTTGGTAATGCGGCTGTCGAATTGTCAAAAATTCTTCGCGGGTAAATTTTTGCTCGTTTGCATCAAATGAACGTTAAATGTGATTTTTTTACGTAAAAATTGTAGTTTTGTCAATCCTAAACGCTAATACCAGTCAACTTTGAAATCACTGCCATTTGCGATAATTTTTTTGTGAAAATTCGCCTTAACCTCAATTTTTTTTGTTGATTGTAAAATGGCAAAAGTGCAGCTTTGTAACATAACAGTAATGGACAACCCGAGTCCTTTTTCGAACCCTTTCCAATTCGAAATCACTTTCGAGTGCATCGAGGAGCTCAAAGAAGGTAAAGCCCCCCATTGTGGTGTGACTCTTGAATAACCCCATTGCTCCCAGATTTAGAATGGAAGATGATTTACGTCGGCTCTGCTGAAAGCGAAGAATACGACCAAATCCTCGACTCGGTGATGGTGGGCCCCATTCCTGAGGGTAAACACATGTTCGTGTTCCAAGCGGACCCCCCAAACGTCGCCCGAATTCCCGAAAACGACGCTATTGGGGTCACTGTGGTGCTCCTGACTTGTTCCTACCGCTCCCAGGAGTTTATCCGCGTCGGTTATTTCATAAATAACGAATATACGGATCAGGAATTGAGGGAGAACCCCCCGAGCCCCCCACAATTTGACAAAGTCGTCCGAAACATACTAGCGTCAGAGCCTCGTGTGACCCGATTTAAAATCAATTGGGAGGAGCCCAATGCTCAAGAAAATGGGGCTCCAGCGGCCGAGCCTCAGACAGCCCTCGCCGAGCCGGAGCCCCGTGCCGAAATGCCCGCTTTCAACGAGAATTCCAACTCGTGGGCCGCAATGGAGTGCTCGTAGTATTTTTTTTTGTAAATATTAAGTCTAGGGTATTTTTGTATTTATTATTGAGAATAAATTTTGTATTTGGCACTTGTGTGATGGTTTTTTAATCGATTATTCGGGGTGGGGATGGGATAATTAGGGATTTTGGGGCGCCGGCATGGCCGAAGGTGGGGAAGAGGATTTTCGACGCAGCAGGCTATAAGAATAAAAGCACGCGATAATGGCCGCTGTAGGAGGGGCATTAAGGTCGATAGTCGCTTGTCACACGTGTGGTTGCTTGTAGATGTTGTTTTTTTTTGTGTATCAAATGACGCGACTCGTCGACCAATCACAAGCGAGTATTCCCTGCTAGCGTAGTAGTGGACCCCGTTTTTGCCAATGAAGTGAAAATTGTTTGAGGTACGTAGAAATTTTATTCATTTTATCACGGAAATCGTGCGAGCAGCACTATCGCGGCCTTAACCCGACATGAAACGGCCCGGAAAAAAGCCGGATTTTTTCTGGAAACGTCGGAAAAAAAGGCCGCCAGTGTGAAATCGTACCGCACATGTTTTTTGCCCTCGCTCCCTCATCTAACCTAACTTTCTTATCGATTTTTTTCCACGGCTGTTGCTTTGATGGATTTTTACAAGTTTTGCAAATGTTTACGGCCTTTTGTTGTTGTTTTCGTCTCCTTTTCCAGTTTTTGACATCCCCCACTACTGCGACTTTCGTTTGTTCCTAGTTCTCCACCCCCACCACCGCCAACTATAAACGGGTGATAAATGATTTTTTTATTGCATTAACGCCGGAATTAAGCGGCGTGGGGCAAAGGGGGCCGTTTCACGGCATCGATGGAAAAATCGACGATGGCAAAGCGAAAAATCCGTCGATTTTTCCACATGAAACAACCTTGAAATGTTGACGGACTGGTCCATTTTTCGCCGCTGGGGTGGGGGGAATGCGACAAGAAGAAGACGAAAAAAGGGGCATCATCGTAAAAGATGGCGGTAGAGTGATTAGTTATTTGTGGTTGCAAATTTGCAAATTTGTTTATAAACAAATCGAATTTGCGCGTAAAACGCACGAAAACACCGCCAAAATCGCACCAGAACTTTATTTGCAAGGAACGTGAGTGTCTAGTCGGCTGCGGTGCCATTGTTTCCGTGATATTTGACGTAAATGTAGAGGTTATGTTTGGATTGAAGTTTTTGTTTTACTGTTTTAGGTTTTGTGGCGATTTCTGACTAAAATCCGGCAAAAATTCGCTCGGGTTGAGTCGAAAGGATAAAATCAACGTTGTCTCCAACGAAAATTCGGCCGACATTGACCCAAAACCTGGCTCCATGGAAGAAACCCCCTCGAAATAATGCCTTGGCTTGCGGTGTTCCCTCTTGTTGTTTACAACGATAAAATGGCCCTATTCGAATTCGGCTAAAAGTGATAAGTGCTACCTACCGCGACTCGAAACTCGGACTGCAGAAACATTACAATGAGTTAGTTTTAAGCCCCGCGACATTCCGGTGTATAAATTTATTAACTTCAATCTCGAAAAATCCAACCAAAAATGTCGTCGTACTTAAAGATACTGTGACTTTTCCCGGGGGTTTAGTGTTCTCGTTTTTCGCAACGTGAAGAAAAATGTCTCAAACGCCCCAAAAACTCGGTCAAAAAATGTGCAAATCACCGAAAAATTCAACAAACAGCTACCAAATCAAGCCGGAAAAGATCGACTATGAAAATCTGAGTACCAACTGCACGGTCGTCGGCTCCAACAATCTCAATTTGGTGAAAAAACCCCAAATTGTAACCAACATGTCTCCAGCGTATTCCAATCCCAGTCCGGGGTATCCCCCGTCACCATACTCATCCCCAGCTAGTCTCAAATCACCCTCGCCGAACCTCAAACCTCCAACGCCCCAACCGAGCTTCCCTGTAATGCAAATCATCAATAGCCACTCCCTATTGGCACGCCCAATTCAAACCAACCAATCGCAGAACATCATCAAACTGAAGCCACACCTCAATATCTTGCCCAAACCGAGCGCCAGCCCGCAACCAAGTCCGAAACCGAGTGTTAGGTAAGACACGCCTTTAACCACGCCCTTATATTAACACAAGTACAGCCCACAGATTGTCATTCCGACCAATCAGCCAACGATTATGCCAACTGCTCAACCGGTGCTTCTCAACCAAATGCCTCTACTGACCACGCCAGGAGTACAGTTTATATTGCGCCCCCAGACGGCGAAGATTCCGGCTGCAGCCCCTCAAGGACTAATCCTCCAACCGAGCGGACAGCCCCTCCTACAAATACCTAGATCTCAGCCCATGGTTCGTGTTTTGACCAATGGCGTGCAGCTTGCCCCCTCTACCACTACAACAGCGTATGTCACGACACAAATGACCAATCCGCAACCGCCAACCACGCCCCAAAACGTCACCGTCAACAACCAAGTGAAGAAAAAACCGAAGAATAAAGTGAAGAAAAAATTGGATTTGGCGAATTTGATGAAGATATCGGGGATAGGTGATGAGGATGATATACAGTTTGAAAGTGACGCTTCGCAGAGTGAAAGTGAACCGAATTCGGTACCAAATACGCCTCAAGAGACGAAAAAAATCGGAAATATACAATTAAGTGCGATGCCTCAAACAGCGACACCTGTTGTCCAAGTTTTAAATCAGAATTTTCAAAGCGGAATGATCTCGAATAGTAACACTCAACCACAAGCTAGCATTCCATTCAATCCATTTCTAACTCCGAATTTTACCATCAATAACGGTTTGATGGTACAACGGAGCGGTGGTTTTAAATTGACGATGGGTGAAGATGGGAGATTGGTCCTTCAACATGACCCAACACTCAACCAGGACCTCCAATCCCAGTTGATTTTGCAAAGTATTTTCGGTTTGAATGGCGGTTTAGTTTTACAACCGTCCATGGATCAACAAACGGTTCAACAAACCGTACAAACTATACAACAACAATCTGTACAAACGATACAACAGCAAACCGTACAGTCACAAACCATACAAACCGTGCAACAACAACAACACACTTTGCAACCACAAATACAACAACAAACGGTACAACAAACTATACAACATCAAACCGTACAATCACAACCTTTGATGCAACAACCGATGCAAATTGTACAACCGCATTCATTACACAGTTTACAGTCACAAATCCAAGGCCAGTTGCAAAATCTCCTACAACAACAGCAACAACAACAAAATCAAGCCGTACAAACGCACCAAGTGCCGCCACAATCACCCACGTTTCAACAACAACAACAGCAGAATCAACCGGTACTTAAAGTACAACCGTTTCAAAAAGCCCAACCACCGGTACAAACAGTGCACCCACAACCACAGCCACAACAAGAAAATCAACAACAACAACAGCAACAACCACCACCAACTTCCTACGTTGTTAATCTAACACCGGAACAACTCGAACAGTTAAAACGAAACGGACAATTGACGGTCAATGGTCAAACTATATTTATGCAAAGGCCAAACAATTCGAAACAGGACGAATGTAAAAAATTATCACCGAAAATCAAGCCGGTCAAAAAAGTACAACAACCGCAACAACAACCAAAACAACAAATTGTGAAAAATTTTGAAGAACCGATCAAAGAAAAAGAGACCAAATCGAGTCTGATTAATGCTTTGCAATCGCCACCTAAACATATATCTCCTCCACAAAAACAAGCAATAGTACAACCCTCCATCAAGGAGAAAGGTCCCCCCAAATTACCACCACAACCCTCCCCCAAACCCAACGATTCAAACGGGACGAATCAAGACGTCGAGAAACTTTTAGGTCAATTGTTGGAAGAATCAGGAAATATTAATATAATAACATCGGGGGCCCCAAATGTTACATCAAAAAACCAAAGGATACATACAATCCAACTCACGCCCCAAAAACAGGAACATTTAAAAAATATCCAATTACAAATTCAGACTTTATCGGCTAGTTTAACACCCGGCAATTCAGAAATACAGGCGGCGTTGAAAATGTTGTTTGCTGAACAACAGAAAATTCTAGCAACAGGAAAATTGCTACCGCCTGATAAAGTCTACTATCATAATAATCATCTAACGATTATTAATCCGTCCAGTTTGAATTTGGGACAACAACAACAACAAAAGGAACAACAACCGGTGGGGACAAGATGCGAAGCAACAACGGTGAATCAGGTATTGTAATTTTTGGCAAGTTGGTAACCGTGACTAATTCAAATGTCACATTTTTATATACAAATGTCAAAGGTTTTTGACGGGCTGTCGCCCACGAAGCCGTTACGTGAAACAATCTCATATAACCAATAGTAGGCGATGCTTCAGGGTGCCAATCGATCGATATTACAAAAAACCCCATGATATCTTTGACATTTTTTGTCCATGTATTGCAAGAAAAAACAATATTGTTTATTTACATTTGATTTATTACTCATATTAATGTAATTTTTACAATTATTAAATCGTTTTATAGTAAAGTTTAATTTTAAAAAGTAGTATTCAATTTTTTAATTTTTTTGTTGTTACTGAATGATTTTATCAATTGTTTTGTGATTAGGTGATAACATCGCAAGCACATCGTTCAGAACACTCGGTACAACCGAACACGACTAGTCAAATGGCCGTAGGTCCACGTCTCGCTGTGCCTCAAGTACAACAACAACAACACAAACAACCTCAACAACAACAGCAGCAACCTCAACCGCCTCAACAACAGTCACAACCGGCGCCACCTCCGACGCCGCAACAGCACAGTCATTCAATTGCGAAAAAAGCCCATTTGTAAGTGATTTATTGTTTATTATTATCATTATTATGATTATTATTTTGTAGAATTGAAACACAATTGAATCTGGACCAATCAGGTGCCGTCAAACCGGATATTCATACACCGTTTCGTGATAAGAAAGATGCGTGTATACGATTGATAAGGTATCACTGTATGGATCAACCGGTGCTATCGCAGAAGGATCTGCACAAGGCCGATGAGATTTTCGAACTAACCGCCGAACATTTCATCGCCAAATATGCGAAAATGGTTGACAAGTACAAATATTTGCTGATGAAAGAGAGCATGGTAACACGAACGAGCGTAGCGAGTGTCTTAAACCACTAACATATACTGTTTTTTTTTTCTCTAGCGACCAGTACAAACGTCCGAACTAATGATGCTCGACCGTATGTTCCTAAGCGAGGAGCGCCAATCGTTGATGCGTTTGCGACAAGAGGCCGAAGAGGCGGCACAAATTCTCGATTTGCCGGTTTTAGCCGAACCGTCGTCGTCGCCTCACCAAACCGCCGAAGATTACGACGAATGGGCATGCATACAACGCGAACTTGGTTGTCTCCCGCATGATGAGCCACCGGCGCCGCCCCTACGGCCCCCACATTCAACAGCAGCGACGCCGGTCGTCGCCAATGCGCATGCTCATCTCCAGCCGCCTAAACGTACAGCGAGTAGCGATTCGCGTCTTGAAACATTGAAAAGGTTTCGCGTCGATAAACACAACAAGAAAACCAGTACAGAAAGTGTACATAACAATAGTGTTTTAAATAATAACAATAGTAGTGTACAAAGTGTCAGTAGTGGGATAAATACTCATCACGGTTACGAACAGCAAGGCCAGAATGACTCGTACGAAAACGAAGTCGAAAATAATAGCATCGATGAACAGGTCCAAAGTGCTATTGATTCGATTCTGAATCTACAACAGAATACGGCCCTGGATCTTGATAGTATTCTTTCATGACGATATGTCTAGTTACTTATGGCCAAGCTGCACTGTAATACACACACGTTTTCTCTCCATTGTGATCATTACTTTTTAAAAGTCTTTTATTTTTTCATATTTTAAAACGAAGCGATAAATTATATATTTACAGCTCAATACGGCATCTATGGTCCGCACGGACGTCACGTGGCCATGCTTGTGCATCACGTGACGTCCGTGGAGGCGATTTTTCACAGTGTACCACAATTGTGTCATATCACTGTTGCAATAAGATTGTTTTTTGTTAATTTGAGGCAGCTAAGGTACCGCGATGTCGAGCAATAAGAGTTTTTAGCTACGATTTTAATTTATTCTTCAAGTTTCCACATGATTGTAGCACACTGTAAAATTTTTATCATTTTTTTATTATATTGTAAATAATTTAATTTATGTGTACTTAGTTTATTTTTATTTTCTAAGGTTTTATTATTATTAAGACTGACTTTAAGAAATTTTGGTTCCTAAACGGAAGAAGTATTTCAAATAAAATTGAATTGTTTCATAAGCTTTGTCCGTTTTATTATTCCTGGTTTGTGTGGGGTTTGACCTCCGCTAATTGTTATTCCATCTCGAGGCTTGATTCATAAAAAGCCGATTTGCATAGTTATTGTTGAGAAAAATGTTTGTTGGTGCGATTTTAAAGGCCGTTTCACATTGTGGTCCATCCCTGAAGGAAAACAAAGCGAGGGTGGAGGATCGATCGGTCCACAGGGGAGCCTATTTTATTTTTCTATTGTGCCAATTATCAACAAATGAAAGCCAATAAAGTAAACAACGTCACGATAAACACCATCAATGTTTGTCGTTTTTCGCCGGATTTTATAATTTGGAAGTTGAGATAAGCCACCATCAAATAAATTGGATGCGATCGCTGCATTTCGATATGCAGCAGCTTCCAAACGTTTTCTTTTATAACACACGTCCAACTTTGATTAAATCGGGATGAGGCTTTGTTCCGATGATACACTTACAAACAAGGTCACAGGGGATTTTTTAAATTGAAAATTTTCGGGTAAAATCTTCAGCGAAATCGATTGACGTCGAGAAAATCCTTAGTTTAAAAGTTATAGTCGAGTATAGATTCGAAAACTTCAAAATTGCTTCAAAGCTACTACCAGAGGTCAAAGAGACTCAAAAAAATTTGAGTATCGGAATTGGATATTGGATTAAAGCAGAGACACACAGGTCGGGGGCGTTTTGGCGCAGCGACATAGAGTCACTGCTTCCGGCAGGTAGGTTTAGGGTTCAAACCTAGCTAAAGTCAACAATTTCTCAAATTCTAACAAGCATAATTGTTGTAAAATCGTTTTTTTCTTTAATTACACGTAATAATTATTTATTATGCTACAAGACGATAAAGAAATTGTTTATCCACAATCAATCTATAAAGAGACTTTATTCCAAACTTTAGATGCGTATCAACTACCAGTTTATCCACTAGTGGAATAAAGTAACTTTATTCCACTGTTAGTAACCAGCGCACCACGTAACAGCTTACTACGTTTAACCGAAAGCACATTTGCCGTGACGTTTAAATGTCAGTTTAATTTTTAATTAAGTTTAGAATAATTTGGGCCTGTGATTGTGGATAAAGCGTTATATTGCAGTCGTGTGTTAGTCGCGTTTTATCCACTTAAGAAAATTAACCGCTCGAACTGACGTTCTCGCGGTTAAACATTCTTGCGTGGATAAAATGCTACCTAACACACTCTTACAATAAATAACTATTATCTACGAGTGAAAAAGTCAAATTTACGAATGGCAAAGTCACGAGTGGACTTTTTTTGACGAGTAGATAAACAATGTTTATCGTCGTGTATAATATTTCGTTTTATTTTGTTCTCACCTATAAGAATTTCAGTAGATAAAGTAGTCTTTTATCGTCTAGTGAAATAAAGTAATTTTAATCTACTGTTTATATTTTATCAACTAATTTCAGTAGATAAAATAGTCTTTTATCGTCTTGTGAAATAAAATAATTTTAATCTACTGTTTATATTTTATCAACTATTTCAGTAGATAAAATAGTCTTTTATCTACTGCTTAAATTCAAGTAAACTTAACCTTTTCATTCGTAGATAAACAATTTCTTTATCGTCTTGTAAAATAAATAACTATTATTTCACTAGGCGATAAAAGACTACTTTATCTACTAAAATTAGTTGATAAAAACACTCTTTAACGTTGAATACAAAATAAATACAATTTTTCTCGAAAATCGAAAAAAATTGTGTTTATAGTTTTTGAGAAAATCGAATCGATTATTGGCAACACTGTCGAAATCACAACAATGTACACGGCTAGAAAAGGATAGAATTAGTTTTTCCCATTTGTAGGCATAACCTGTCTCTTTTTAGCAATGTATTTTTGTTAATAAACACCAAGTGACTTGAATTTCCACCCCATTGAATATTTTTTTCATATAAATAAAATTTTATTTAATGTAAAATGTTTCAGAAATTGTAATAAATGTAATAATTACTAGAAACTCAAATAAAAATTAACGTTTTTTTTTGTTTTTCTTTTATTGTTTTACTTGTTAGTATTTTGGTTTCTTTACTTTTCAGTAAAATATATTTTGATATTGTGATAGACGTACTTTTCGCACACTCATTAAAAATTTTCAAAGAAAAAATTAAGCAATCAAAATCACCACCAAAAATAACATATTTTCTCAGGTTTTTACCTAATTATGACACCCTGTATATTTTTTATATTTCTGATTTGACAATTTTTTAAAAAAAGTCTCACATCTGTTAAAAAATTTTTCAAACAAATTGTTGAAGTTTGTCGCCATTAAAACTTTTAAAAAACTAAATTAAAAAAAAACATGTCATTTTTAATGTCATTTTTCAAAGATAAAATTGACGTTTTCATAATTAAGAAAAAATAAATTGGTTACCATGGCAATCCTCACTTTTAATCCTAGTTTTAAAAACTTTTATTAATAAAACAATGTATTTTTTTTTCTAATTATGCGCATGTTCTAAAGAAAAGAAGCATGTTTTATTCGGCTCAAAAGTCAATTTTTTGTCTCGCAATTTTGCACTTGACCAAAAAGTGACACTTTTAATCCTAGTAAAGTAATATACTATGTAGATATGGTCACAAGTTTACAACAGTTTCATTATCACAAATTGTTTATTTGAAAAAATTTTAAAAAATCAATGACTAAATTTTAACAAAAATACTTTCTTATTATATATAACAAAATCTGATTCTTTTAAAAATTTGCTATAATGTTTATAATAAAGTCTTATTAACAAACAAAATAACATGTTTTCTAGGTTTAAAATTTTATTTTTTCAAGCTCTCTCATTTATTTTATTTAAAAATCAATGTCGGCTTTGGTTACTTATTTTTTTTTACATAATGGTCTGGTTGAAAAAATACATCCGTAGGAAGATATAGAATTACCTTTCCCTATTTATATGTATTAGGTAATAATTTGTCTTTTTCTACCGATGTTTTTCTGAGATTTGAAAAAATAAATGTCTGCGGAAATTTGAAAAATATCGTAATTGGGGCTCTCATATCCAATTAAATTTGAGTTAAATGTCTCAGTCGTTATTTCCAATTAACATTTTTAGTAATTTTGTGAAATTGGAATTGTTTAAAAAACAATAATGAATTTCAAAATTAAAAAATAATAGGTTTTGTATTCAAATAGTGCATGCTTTGGTATAATGTAACATTAAATTAAAATTTTATATAAAAACTATTGCAATATTGCATACATAGAGCAGCCAGATAAATTTTTGAAAATACCCAAATCAATCAAACTACCTTTGACGTCAAAGCCAACTTGCACATGCCTAAAATTTCTTGTTTAAACCACTTAAACTGGAAATAAATTGTCGGAAATCTTTAATTGAATTACTTTTATTATAACAAGAATACAATATACAGAGTGAGTCATCAATTTTTACTGCGTCACACTGATTTGAGTTCGAGCAACAGGTGGTAAACCCTTTGCTTGTTTGGTTGCCTAGATACTATCAATTTTCAACCCTTGACTTAATTTGATCACCCTGTATTGAAAAATGGTGTCAATTGATAAGTGATAAGACGTGTTGACGTCAGTGATTGCGCTCGTTAAAAATAGTATTTCGAGTCCGGCCCTGGGGCCGCCCCGGGCGCCCAATTGGCCACCCTGCACAATACCGCTTGATTACGTCTAATGAGTTAACATCTTAATTCCCTCAATTTCTTGGTATAAATACTCTACGTGAATGAATACACGCTTTGAGCGCGCTCGAACCAATCGGGCCCGGCCTTAGGGGGGGAGCGATAGGGTCTCGATATATAAAACTCAGGGTGGCTAAAGCCCTGCATTCGTGGTGTCTACGTCGACTACGAAAATGGTAAGTCTCAAAAAATTTTTTTTTTTATTATGTTGGCGGGAATAGAAGCTGATGCAATGTCGAGGCAGGTTGCCCTGTAGGACTGACCTGCATAACTCCGGCTTGACTCATAGTTTTCCGGACGGGTAATTTGGAAATTTTTCGATTGAACGGACGCTGAATTATCGCTAATTTACAGCCGCGGGACGAAAAAGCAACGAAACGGTACTTTGAGCACGAATTCCGGACTAATTCGATTGATAGAAAGGCGGCCCAAATATCTCATTTCTTAGTCAATTCACACAAAATTGCCATTTTTTGATCATTCTCACATTATTTTTATCAAAATTTACAAAACTCGAACAAAATGTGATTGTTTAGAGTCTAATTAATCCAAGAGATACAAAGAGGATGGAGTCAGTTTTTCCCATTTACTCACACAGTTTGTCTCTTTTAACGTACTTTTTCACTTAATTAAACCTTTTTTTGTTTTTTACGTATTTTATATTTTCACAGTATCTCAAAAGTCGATCATTTCTTTAAAGAAATATACAGAGTGTATTGATTTTATATTATTAAAAGTATTATTTTAGTTTATAAAACCCTTCAAATTTCATAACATTTTTTTTATTTTGAAGCAATTGTAACCCTTCTACAAAAGCAAAAAAATGCACAGTTTCAACATTTTTGAATAAGACATTTTTTTTAGAAACCATTTTGTCTCTTGCAAAACTTCGCTTAAATGCATAAATTTCAGTTAAAATTGAAAAAAAAACAATTTCATTAATTTGAAAACTATACCGGGTGAATTTATTGTTGAAGGTTCAAACGCAATTTGTGTGTTTTGTCTTTATCAAAACTGATTGTATCGTTTTTTAAATTTCGGTTGTGAATAATTATTTGACACCCTGTATATAATGAATAATTCTAAATTTTGAGAGTAACAAAAAAATTGTATAAAAAAGATTTATAAAGTTTCGGTAAATTCGGTAAATTGGCTTGTAATTGTTTTTTTTTTGTTTAAGTAGTTAAATTAAGAATTAATTTTGTCACCTATTTAAAAGCAGACAAACCGTTAAATTTTTTCATGCCCAAAATATGAAACATTTAATTTTTGGCACAGTAATAAAGAGCGCTCATTAATAATAAATATTATTTCATCTGTGCAGTTGGTAACTTACCAAATCATAAAGTGTAAGATTTAAAAAAAAAATGAAACAAATGCGTTTTGTGTCTGTGTTTTATTAAATTTTCAAACTGAAATCCATTCACAAAATTACTAATCAGTGGTTTTGAAATTATTTTCTTATCTACGATTTTACAAACTATTTACATTTTCATGGCCAACTATATTATCTATAATTTTTATTGAATGAACGAAAAAAAAATTAATGAAACAGATTTAACCAAATTTTTGTGCTCATTTTTCCACGTAAAACTTTTATCAAAATTTAAAAATGTTTGCTCAGACGATTAGATAAAATCTTTAGAAACTATTCACCTCTATACGTTTTCATGGCCATCTACTATCTGGAATACAATATTTACACTCATTAGCAATTTTTTATCTTAAAAATTAGTATTTTTATTAAATTTGATCAAATGTTCTTTCATGGCCAAGTGTTACAAGTAAGGTCAACAAATGATATCTCCTTACTATGTAGTAAATATATTTATATATCAAATTTTTCACAGAATTTTACTCTATTCGTTGCTCTAGAACATGTGATGTGATTAATCATCCCAATTCTGGAAATCTGAGTAGCGTAATTACTTAATTAGTAATTAATCACGTCTTGTGACTTGCGAAATTCACTAGAAATTTTAATTACTGAATTTTCCAAGTTGGTGGAAAATAAAATCCCCGAAAATGCAAAAATCGGTTTAGATTTTTTATAGATATTTTAGAAGAGTCAAAGTTTATCGACTTGTTTTTTGTGTCATTGTGATATTTTCACAATTTTTTATCATTCTAAGGTTGTGAAACGTGATAACTTTTGGCCGCAACTGTCATTCACCACCTCTGATTGTAAAAATTTGATGATTTTACGCTTTTTCCCTCCCCTATTTTAATCAAAACCGGCGTTTTCTTGGAAACTCTTTCATAAATACCGCTTCAAGACACGTGCCAACACGTTTAATTAATCGTGTACTTCCCGGAATCGCGCACGTTTACATAAAGACAATTCCCCGAATCGCACGTGACTCATTTCCAGCCAATCACAGTTCCCGATTCTGACTTGTCTGACAGTTCCAGGTGTTGTTATCAGTATTATTGGTCGCTTTTCAAGTGGCCAATTGTCGAAGACTGACGGATGATATGGATAACGAGATTTCGGTGGCGTCGGGATCTATGGCTTATCGGGACCAAGACGAGTGGATCAAGATAAGCGCTCCACCGAAACCGGTTATCAGCAAGACGGTGGGCGCGTATGTCGAACTGGAGTGCGAGGCGATGGGCTCGCCGCCCCCCACCTTGCAGTGGCTGAGGGGAAAAACACCACTGACCGAGGTAGGAAAAAAATCGCGTTAGCTTTGACCCACACTGTACCACAATACGAAAAAGTCGCGTTGATTTTGACGCAAACTGTACAAACATCAAAAACGCAAAAAATGATTTTTTATTCAGTTGGTATAGTCAAAAGACTTTTTTTAATCCTCGTATCAGTTTTGTGTTTAAATAATCAACAAACATTTCATAAAACGTCAATGTCACTATCAATAAACGTCATTAATTTATTTACTTATTAATAAAACCAAACATTGCAACACCAAACACACAATATTATTTATTATCTCCTAACGTGGGCGAATCATCGGATTATAGTTGTTTACTTTTCATGAATATCTGAAAACCACCCTCGCATGTGTATAATTGGTTGCCTACCTTGCAGCACCAAAGTTTCGAAAGCAACATGATTTCGGAAACTCCCTCTCAAGGCCTCGGCAAAATCAAGGCTCGCCTGGTCATCAACTACCTCCTGCCCGTCCATAGTGGTCGTTTCACTTGCGTGGCCGAAAGCGGCTCCAAGATAGCCACTGCAGACACCACCATCTATGTCATCAAAAAAGAAGGTTGAATAATAACAAAAAAAAAAACAATAAATTTGTAATGTTGGTTGCCTGTCTTTAGGTTTTGAGCGCAATTTCACTCAATTGCTTACGACGAAAATCCTGGGGGCGCACCACGTCCCCCGGATATCCCTATGGGCCCCCACTTACATGGACGTGATTGGGACAAACGTGATTTTGCCTTGTCGTACTTTTGGTAATCCGAAACCGAGCCAAATGTGGATTGACCCCCAAGGGCAGATAATCGGCGAGAATGACCTTCGTGTGACTGCCCTTCCGGACGGCTCGTTGAGCATCCGGTCGCTCAGTTGGGCCGATATGGGGGTATACACATGTGTGGCGCGTAATATGGTGGGGCAGGACTCCGTCGAGACGTTCCTCTACCCCATGAAGGTACAAATTTCTGAGTTTTAATAAGTCTGATTACGAATTTTGGGGTTGCAGGAGTCCCAATAACGAAACAAAGGGGGCGCAACGAACGCACTTTACGTCAATCTAGTCAATGTTCAATTTGAAAATACTCCTAGGATAGTGTGGCCGTTATTTATGGAAATTCCGTCTAGTATTTATGAGTTAGGTATTTATATGTGTAATAATTGCAAGACCTCTGTACTTATTTATATTATTGTAAGGTTTGTAAGTAAATAAAGAAAATATCAAGCATTAAACTCAAATGATTTGTTTACTTATTTCATCATTATATGCAACCAGTAATACGCCGTGTGTGTGCTCCCTTAAATCTAATGCCTTTCTGTGTGTGGTTGTCTTTAAAATTTTGACAAGTTTGAAATGTCAAGTGTCACAACTTTGACAGTTCGAATTGAAAATGAAATTGACGAAAAATTCTTGATATTCCGTGAAACGGCTCGATTGGGGCAATGAACACCTCATGAAGCAAATTGGAGGTGGGTAATTAGCATTTTTCGCGTCGTAATAACCTTTGATGTTGTAGCCCAATCGAAGAAAAAGTGAGGTTAGGTGAAAATGTACGAAAGTCCAAATTCTTTAGAAGACTTGTGTTTGGACACGATTTGTGACAATATCCTAATTTACGTGAAACTTGATCGTTCGAATCCGGGAGGAAAACGGTATAAATTCGCTGATCCCGACTTATTCCTCTTCAAGGAGTTGTCGGAGAAGCTTTTAGGGAAATTCCTCGAGAAGAATATCCTTTGTGACGCCTTAATGTTTATATTTAGTGACAAGAACACGAAATTGAGCACAGTTAAATTAAAAAATTGCAAAGTGACGCAGAACGGACTTGAGATACTCAAACAGCACAAGATTTTAGATTTAGAGTGTGTCAATTTAAAGAATGTTTGTATAGGAAATATTATTGATTGTCTCAACGAACACTCAGTTAGAAACATGACGAATGTGAATTTCGCTAAATGCTCGTTTATTGACGTCCAAAGGCACAGTTTGATGGTGAAAATCACACAATTAAAAAATTTACGCTCTCTCAATTTGGCGTACACTGAACTCAATCAACACTGTTTAAGTATGATTTGTGAGGACCTGAAATTGCTCGAAAAACTGGACATTTCCGGGACCGGGACGGGGATCAAGGACCTCAGCCCCCTTCGGCAGCTCCTCAATTTGACGAGTCTCGCAATCAGCGTGAGTATTTTCCACTTTTTAACCTTAATTTACAAGTTTTCGAGTTTGTTCTAGATAAATGTAAATTTTTTAGTGACAATAGACAGAACTACCAACATTACACAAACATTTTTCTAAAATCAAGAGTTGAATGTTAATTGTATCACTTTTTCGAAAAAGCTTGTTGTAAACCCACAATTTGAAAAGTGAAATCGCAGATGGCAGACAACAGGGCTGCCACACCTTATACATAAAATTCCCTTATATGAAATTTAGAAAAATCCCAAGTTTTAAGGTCAATAATTCCATAAATTACATTTAGAACGGATTCCCGAACTTTAATTTGTCATGTTTCTGCAATTTTTAAATGATTTTTTTGTTGAATTTAGAAATTGACAAGTTACCAATAGGTACCAGAAAGTTGTATTTTTTTTAGTACGAGTTTCTTGTGTAGTACAATTACTAATAAAGTAGTTTTTACCTTTAAAATGGTTTACACGAACGTTAATTAGTTCACATTTAGCCATTTTCACACAAAAATCTCACGTAAAAGACAAACTCACAATTTGCAAAATAAAATCGCAGGTGGCAATTAGCAGGGCTGCCACACATACACAAAATTCCTTAGAGTGAAAATTCGAAAAATCGCTAGTTTTTAATGAACTTAAATAAATAATTGCATCAATTACATTTAGAGCGGTTTTGCCAACTTTAATTTGTCAAATTTTAGCAATTTTTAAACGATTTTTGGATAAATTTGGAAATTGACAAGTTACCAATGCTCCTCAAAAAGTTGTAAAAATTGTTGAAAAAACGAGTTTCTGATTCAGTGGAATTACTAATAAAGTAGTAATTACCTTTAAAGTGGTTTTCTCCGACGCTAACTAATTTAAATTTTCCAATTTTCTCATAAAAAACACAATACAAACTCAAAATTTGCAAAATAAAAATCGCACTAATCGCAGGTGGCAGACAACAGGGCTGCCACGCATTATACACAAAATTTCTTAGAGTGAAATTTCGAAAAAACGCTAGTTTTTAATGTACTTAAGTAAATAATTGCATCAATTATATTTAGAACGGTGTTTCGAACTTCAATTTGTCAAATTTTAGCAATTTTTAAACGATTTTTGTGATAAATTTTGAAATTGACAAGTTACCAATGCTCTTCAAAAAGTTGTAAAAATTTTTAAGAAATACGAGTTTCTGATAGTAGAATTACTAATAAAGTATTAATTACCTTTAGTTGTTTTCCCTGACGATAACTAATTCACATATTCCAATTCTCTCACACAAACTCACAATTTGTAAAATCAAAATTGCACTAATCGCAGGTGGCAAACAGCAGGGCTGCCACACATTATACACAAAATTGCTTAGTGAAGTTTCAAAAAATCGAAAGTTTTTAATAATAAATTATAATAATAGCTTTTGGGGCAGTTTTCAGAACTTTAATAATTTGTAATTTCTAAACCATTTTTCGGTTAAATTTAATGACATTAAAGAAATATTTGATGATGTTGACAATTTGTGCAGTGCTACCAATCCACTTTCGCGCTTGTTTTAGTTTAAATTAATTAAATCTTAAATAATTTTCAGGACTTGTCCCAATCGACCAACTACGTCTCGACGCTCATCCACCTGTCCACTTTACGCCATCTAGACGTGAGCGTCTTCAACGAAAAACTCGACAATTTGACCACCTCCAATGTTGTTAAACTCCTCGAAGACGTCACAACGCTCCCCCATTTGATCTCCCTCGACGTGAGCGGTTGGCGCGATTTCATCCCCACTGAAATCCTCCTCAAATACGTTCAAACTCATCCGAAATTAGAATTTCTAGGTATCGTTCTTACCGACTGTACGTTCGATTCGTTATTCAGTACTACCAACAGTTGGCCGAATTTAACAATTGCCGGTTTAGGGAACGAAAATCAAATAAAAGTCACGTTGAAGAAATACAAAGAACGGTCGAATTATGTCCAAAAGGCGCTGTATCATCTGTTCCAATTAACGAATTTATCGCCGGATGCGCGTCCTGATATGTTTAACCTCGTACTTCCTGTAATGGCGGCACATTCGAATAAGTTTGGCGTGCAAATGGCCGCCACGGCGTGTCTTTATAATCTCACACGAGGCGATTTAAGTAAGAAAATTCATCCGAAATCGTTGAGTCGAGGAGTTAATCTTACTCTCTATGCTATGGAGTGTTTCCCCGAGGAGTTTCAGTTACAGAAAAACTCCCTTTTGACACTTTGTAGCGACACCATTTTACAGGAGATTAATTTTGATCGTTTCCGATGTGCGAAATTAGTTTTAGATGCTTTGTGTACGTTTGAAGATGTCAATATGAATCGAATGGCTGTTGCAATTTGTAGTATTTTGGCGGCGAAAGTTAGTACCGAAGAAACATCCGAATTGGGGGCTCGTCCTGTCTACATGCGTAAATTACTTGCGATGGTACAGAATCGGGTCGAGTCGGGCGTTTCCGACATTACATTAAAATTCACACTCAGCGCCCTCTGGAATCTCACCGATGAAAGTGCCGCCACCTGTACGGTTTTTTTGGAACAAGGGGGTGCCTATTTGTTTTTGAAAGTTCTAAAAACGTTTAAAGATGATAGTGCGATTGAGACTAAAGTTTTAGGTTTGTTGAATAATATAGCCGAAGTTGTGAAATTGAGGCATAGTTTGATGATGGATCCGTTAATGAATGAATTGTTTGTGTTGTTAAAATCGGAGAATATTGATGTTAGTTATTTTGCGGCCGGGATTGTGGCACATTTAGCGTCAGATGGGGCTGAGCAATGGACAGTTGTGAGTCACTCGAGGGAGGAGATGTTGGGGGAGTTGAAGAGTGCTGTCTCGCAATGGAAGGTACCAGATAGTGAGATGGTGGCGTATAGGAGTTTTAGGCCCTTTTTTTCACTGTTGAGGATCGAAATGGATTATCAGGTGCAGTTGTGGGCGGTATGGGCTATACATCATGTCTGTACCAAGAATCGTAAGTGTACTTATTTCAAGCACACACGGTATAATAATATTTAGTTGTCAAATTTTGACCGACAACGTTGCCCAATGGAGAGAAATTTCCAAGCATACCAACCGTTGATGTTAAATCCACCAGATTCAACCACTAAGTCAATTTGGAGAATCTAGGGCATTTAGCATCAAAAGTTGGTGGCTTGATTTCTACGAGTGTTGTCAGTTGTATGTTTTTTTTAATTTTTAATTTTTTTACAATAATAAATACAACCTATTATTTCTTATGTCAGTGGGATTGAAACCTGATCAAAATCTGTCACTCAGACCGAAATATTGTAAAAAGTTATGTAACTGACAGAAAGATCAATACTTGAGATTTTTTTTTATAATTTAAATGCAATTATTTGGAACATATTATCTTGTAGTATACAGAGTGGCTATTTTATTTACAAAATTATTTAGAATTCCAAAAAATTTTGGAAAATTCCTTATAATTATGTTGCTCTTACTTTACTAACTTTTTCTATTACAAAAATACGTCTTTTAATAGATTTTCTGAATTTCTAAAATTAATCTCAAAAACCCTTTTTTTTTTAACCTCTGCGAGTCGCCCATGTGGACAAGTTTGTATAGTTGCTATAGAAACCCACTAAATACGTGTGTAACTATGGAAACAAGAAACTAGAAAAATGTATGTTGTCATGGTAACCATAGAAAATTCAGTGGCGGGCAATTTTTTCGTTAAAACTCTCTTTCACTTTACTCAAAAAATAAATAATTTTTTATAATAATAGAAAATAAACACAAATTGGAGTAAATAAGAGAGGAAAAACGAGCAAATGACGTTTTTTCATATTTTTGCTACGTTTTTAGCTCAAAATTTGCGAATTTTTGTTTTGTTTGGCGAAATTTTTCCATATTAGTGATTTTCGGAGTTCTTTTTGCATTGTTTTTTACAAAATTATTTAGTTTGCTTCTGTATGTGTTATTTTCAAAATTTAACGTTTTTTTTCAGCAAAGCGGTATTGTATCATGCTACAAGAAGAAAACGGCCATTTACTCCTCAACGACTTGATCAACTACACCGACTCTCATCCCGATATTAAATCAATTTCGTCTCAGATCCTCGAAACGGTGGCTGGCCACGTTTGAGCACCAACATTATTGTGATTTACCTATCATTTTCATTAAACTTAATTTTTTATCACTTTTATTAGGATTGTTACCACTACAATATTTGTGTAATGTAATTAAGTTTCAAGTCTGATTTGCCCCCCACTGTTGTATATTTTCTATTACGTACTCGTTTGGTTGTGTTTTACGACGTGCCAATGTATAATGTCCTGTACAAAAGATGTATAAATGTTTAACTAGTCAAATATATCACGCGTTAAGAAAAACACACCTTTTGATTTGTTTGAATTTCGCGCCGCGGCATTGCCAACCTTGGTGCAGCAAATCACGTGATGGCGTCAGGTGTTTGTGGGGTGAATCCCAGTTTTGGGGCTGTTTTTGCGCCAAGTATGGATGCGGGGCTTCAAAGGTGAGTCAGTCGAGTCGTGGGAGTCACGGGCGGGGTTGGGAGTGCCGTTCCAAGTTTGATTTTTTGGTGTTGCTTTTGGGGGAATTTGTCGGTGTGAGGTTTGCGGTTGGCGGACACGCGCAATGATCGTTTTTATTCGCCGTTCCGATCCCCTCTCAGTATGTTCGGGTGCACCATGTTCCGTGTTTCACAGTGCGGACCGAGGACTGCACAAAGCGCAATGTACCTGCGCCATTACTGTGGAGAGGAACTACGAACAGTTCTGTCAAAGTATACCCGTTTTTCCCGCTACAGGACCACTTTAAATGCAGAATAACGTAACGGAATTGACGCAGAGATTACTACGAGCCCTCGACACTAATTACAATGTAAGAATTTGCCTGTTTTTACCCAAACCACACCGACACTCGCCCGAAAAGCGTACACCATTGCGGGCCGTCGACCATGCACCCACCCCGCGAAAAATCACCGAAAATCGGCAAAAAACCCCCAAAATCCGCTGTCAAAACGTCAAAAACGCGATCGCCTTTTGTCAATTTGGCCAAATCGCAGATGGCCACTTTTGCAAAACAAATGAACGATTTTGACAGTTTAGGGCGAAATCCACTAATTGCGCCCCTTTTTCAGGTCATTGACATGCCTGCAGTCATCGAAATCGTCTCGCTCCTCGAAAAAGTCACAATTACCAAAGAACTGCTCGAGGTGAGTATTTCACTAGTTTTGCGCCCCCTTATTGTTGATTGCAGACCACCCGATTGGGGAAACATGTGAACGAGCTGCGCCGTAAGACCGACAACGACTCGCTCTCGAAACGGGCCAAGGAGTTGGTGAAGAAATGGCGCAATATGGTGCTCCCTGCCGACTCCAATGGCCAGTTAAAAGTCCTCGAGAAGCGCCCCCTTAACCGGTCACCGTCACCCAAACGGCCGAAATTAAACGGTCAAACGGCCGAACTCGAACTGTCTGATAACTCGAATTCGAGTTTCAAAGATGTGATAAGTACGAAATTGAAGCGTGATGTGATTCTGATTAATTCCGATTCGAATTCGAGTCAACAAGAGCCCCAATTGGAACAGCAATTGCCCAAGAAACGGGGGCGAAAAAAAGGCTCCAAAAACCACAAGAATCTCCTCGACGAAGCTGAGACTTCCTTCACCAATAAACTAGCAGTGTCGAGGGGCAACTCGAAGGTGAAAACCACGCAGGAGTTGATAGCAGGACTCCAGAATAAGAATAACACAGCCTTGGGGGCTTCACCAGTCAAACCGAAGGAAGATCTGAGTCTACGAGCAGCTAAACTCACCGAAAGGGTGTCAATAATTGACCAAAAACTCAACACAAATGCCAATCGTTACAAAAACTCTCGGAAAATTAATCTCGGGGGCAAGAATGTGATCGAGTCGGGCTCGGTGATTAACGACAAGTCGCTCATACCCCCTGAAGAGGAGGTTATTGTTGTTGATGACGTCGAGCCGCCTGTTGAGGATGATAAAGTGGCGACGCCGCCTCCACCACAGCCCCCCGAAGAAGCCAAAATCACCTCGTTAAGTGTCGAGGATGCTTTAGCCCAATTGCCCCCACTTGAGGTAGTTGAAGAGGAGCCCCAGCCGGTGTGCACTTGTGTGCTGAAGGAGCACAAGGATTTTGCTGTTGATGACACGGAGGAGTTGGGGCAACCATTTGAGTTTGTCGAGGATGAGGAGTGTGCCGCCCGATTGCACTTTGAGGAGGTGCGAAAGACGGCCCAGGTTAGTCCTGAGGAGCTCCACGACAAGTTTATCGAGAATGTGAATGGGAATTGGGGGGTTGGGGCGCCCAAAAAGGGGCCCGAAATTGACGATCGGGGTCTATTTGTGAACGTAGTGCCTAATGTAAATACGGAGAGTATACCGAAGGATGTCAAAGCGGACTTTTCTTGTGAGAATTATAAAAAGTACAGCATTTCAGAGAGTGACAGGACAGGTGATAGAGTGTTTCGGGAGTGGCACGAGGTCGTCGAGACACCTTCCTACAACGGCGAAATTTTCAAAATTTTGCCTTACGTTATTATAGATTAAAATACTAGTCTTGTATTAATTACACCTAAGAATTTAATTTTTTTTTTCATTCACTGATGAAAGACAGTTGGTTTATTACGAGGTGTCATATTATTTCATTGAGACCTGGAAACTGAACGTTGGGGTCGCTTTTTTAATTATTATTGCACACCGCTTTTATAATTGTGTATATTTTATTAGCTAGGCAATGTTTTCAAAGTGTTACGAGCTATGGTTATATATTTAAAAAAAAATGTCAATTCCTACATTGGCTATTGTTAATTTATTAATTTGTTGTTTCATTCGCATTAATTATAGTTATTTTATGAGTTTTGGCCAAACACAATTTCTTCCGTTGTTGTCAGGTCATTTTCAGTTTATTGTAAATAAATTTAGGTTCCCCCATTTTTATCAAAATAGTTATTGTACAAACGGTTAATTTCTCTAGTTGGAAAATATCAGTACTTGATATTAATTGCCTTTTACGAAAATAAACATATTTTCTATAAATTTGACATGTCTTTGACTACACACCCACTCACGTTGCCATGGCCACGACCAATGAGACAACAGAGGGCTGGTCACGTGACTGAATTTGACTTCTCTTGTCCAAACTCATTTTAAAAGATAAGTAATTTTTACAAAAATCAGTCAAATTTTTAAGTTTCTGCACAAACAAAAACATTTTTTGCACAATTTTGATAGCAGTAAATTTGACTTCAAATTCATGACCAACTTGATCAAATTTCAGTCAAGCCAATAAATTAGTTTTTGATATTTTAAACACCTAAGTCAGCTGATATCTAAATTTATTTTGTGTCTCCGGGTGGAAAATTAAAATTACAATCGAAAAAAATAATTTTTATGGCGATAAAAAAGATTCCTTTAACGCTTACAATGGCGACATCTTACAAATCAAGCTAAGATGGAGACAAAAAAAATATTAATAATAATAAAAAATGGGAAGTAACTTTGCCTTATAACAACTAGAACGTAGGTTGCAAAAATTCAAAAACTCCCATGTTTGGTGGTAAAACATTTAATAAAATATATGTACAAAAAATTAGACTTGCTCTAAAAGCGGAAAACCGTCTTCGCCTTGCGCAATCACGGCGTCGATATTGTAGAAAGAGGCATGTAGAGTTATTAGGAAAAATGACGCCCCGAGGACCCAAAACATGGCCCCGTGGGCCCCCACCATGTAATAAATTGGCATGGAACACACTGCCACCAGTCCATAAACCTGTGCCAAAGTTAGTTCTTTCTTAAAAAGCACGATTTTCTTCTCTTGATGTCTTTTATTGAGTTTATATCCTGCGTAAAATGTTCCAGCAAGGGCGAATAAAATCAACGGAGAGGTTATCCTAAAAGTGACAATTTTGGGATTGCGTTTGCGAATTTGGGGCTCCTTACAAGCAATAAACCACCAGTCCGAGAAAAACAAACAAATAATTGCTTTGAAAGTACTCAATGTTTCTCATAATTCGTTTGCTGAGTCTCGGGATTGAAGGGGGCGTTTTGAAATTGGAAGTCTGTATAAATAATAGCCAGGGGCGCACATTTTGCCTCTGTTTACTGAACCATTCTTTGGGGTCGGGTATTTGGGTGGGAACTTGCAGAAAACTAAAAATGAAATAATCAATGATTGAGGTTAGGTCACTTTAGTTGTGTGTACCTTGAAAACGGGGCTCGTGGTGAGTCAACAGGGGGCGACATCACCCCCGACACGTCCACAGACACGTCTGCCATAGCAAGGGGGCTGCTCTACAAAATTAGGTCAATGATTTTGACACTTGAAACTCGTGTGTGGCTCACTTGACAATAAAATTTCTCGTTTTCTTGTGTCACTAAATCACACTTTGAAACCCTGGAATGTTTTTTTCACGACAAGCCCAAATTGTGGTGTTTACGACCAGCACTACGTGTCACTTTTCAAACCTCCCGCTCGTGTCATAACAACGACAAGATGGCTCTCGACTCGACCAATCACAAACAGGCTTGGCGCATCGTGATTGGTCGACTCAAACCCCAGATGCGTCGATTTTCGTAACCGTTTCAGTGTCGAAAGTGGAGCGTGTGTTTGTTTTTTTGCGAATTTTGGGCGTTTTTTGTATGTGAAAGATGTCTGAAGTGCGCCGGAAGACCCCCGAGTTGACGTTCGACTTGGAGCCCCCCAATGACCTGGACTCGTCATCGGGCTGTGAGCTGTCTTTCGAACTATCTAGTGACTACATCCGAAGTCCCTCACCGAGACGCACCACCAACCCGTCGTACAGCCCCCCGTATAAGCGAGTCCGTGCCTTGCGGTTGTTCGACAGCCCCCTCACCCCCAAGACAATCATCCAGAAGTCGGCCACGACGCCGGCCCCCAGGTGTCGACTCTTCACGGAGAAGCCCCGCAGTGTCACCAACACGAAACAGAAACCGGTGGCCAATGTTAACCCATTCACCCCAAATGGTAAGCCTCTTTTTTTCACCTCTGATTTTTTGTTGACAAACACTGATTACAGGTTTTTACCAGAATAAGAAACGCATGAGATCGACGAGTTCGTTACAAATCCCCAAATTTGATTTAAACGAATCGGATGTGTCAGATATTGAGAATGAGCCCCCCGCAAAACGGGTGCCTCTACAAGAAAACAACATCTCACGGTACCACCAGGAGTTCCTCGAGCTGGAATTGATCGGTTCTGGTCAATTCGGTTCGGTTTACAAGTGTGTAAACCGGTTAGATGGTTGCATTTACGCGATTAAAAAGTCGACGAAACCGGTCGCGGGGAGTGTCTTTGAGAAAACGGCCTTGAATGAGGTCTACGCCCATGCTGTCTTAGGCAAACACCAGCATGTGGTGAGGTACTACTCGGCTTGGGCTGAAGACAACCACATGGTGATCCAGAACGAGTATTGCAATGGGGGCTCCTTGGCCGATCGGATCCAAGAGGGCCCCCTAAGTCCCGTCGAACTCCGCCAAATGTTGATGCACGTCGCTGAGGGGCTGCGCTACATACATTCCGAAGGTCTGGTTCATCTTGACATCAAACCGGGCAATATTTTCATATCAAGAGAGAAGAAAATCCAATTCACTAATTACGACTCCGCCGATGATGGTTTCGAAGACTTGGAGGAGAGTCACTACGAGGAGGAGCTGACATACAAAATCGGCGATTTGGGCCATGTGACCAGTCTGAGTAACCCCCAGGTGGAAGAAGGGGATTGTCGTTACCTCCCCAAGGAGATACTCCACGAGGATTATAGTCATTTGACCAAAGCTGATATTTTTGCCCTAGGTTTGACGGTGCTTGAGTGTGCGGGGGCGGGGCCACTACCGAAAAACGGCGACGATTGGCACAAATTGCGCGAAGGGGAGGTGCCAAAATTGTCTCAGAATTTGAGTAGGGATATGACCAGTTTGATCACGTTGATGATACATCCGGATCCGACGATGAGGCCTGGGGCTTCTCAGATTTTGCATCATCCGGCCCTGTGCCCCGTAGGGAAGAAAACAAGGGCCCAATTGCACCGAGAATTAAATGCGGAAAAATTGAAAAACGAAATTCTGGCGAAACAGTTGAAAGAAGCGGCGATTTGTATCAAGTCGATAGCCCCCGATAGTAAACAGTTGAAGAGCGTGACGAGGATTAGTAATCGGTTGATTGGAAAAAAGGTGAATAGGAGCAGCAGCACTACCACGTTCTAGGGATTTTGGTTTTAATTTATTTACCAGGTGATGAGCTGTTTTCGTTTCATTTGGGAAACGGAATTTAGGCTTTAGACGTGTAGACTGATATTGATAGCAAGGCTGTAACCGTTTTTAATTAAATTGTTAATTTTGAGAGCTTGTTTGTACACTAATCAAAATTTTTTCAGGTTCAACGTTTCAAACTTTTTTTCTATTTTACATATTTTATACTTATAGCTTAGATTTATTTAAAGGTATTTGTTATTTTATGTGATAATTATTTTTAAAAGATTAGGGTAGGTATAGAAGAACACTGTAACTTTACATTCCTTATAACTTGTGCCTTTGTCGCATCAATTTATTGTAGCGAATTGTTTGCGTACTCTCTTGATTTCTAATAAATTATACCAAATAAACCATTAGTCGCATCCAGAACTGTGTTCCTTTTAAAATGTCCCAATTTTCGCAGCTGGTACAGTTTCCTGTAACGTTTGAGGTTATGTGTCAAATTATTTTGTTAAAAATTGCAATCCTCGCGTGTCGTAGTGTTGATTTGCCTCAAAAGCGTGCCTCACTCACGAGTGTGCCCACGCCCCTTTTCTTTTCAATAATTTTGGTAGCCGGTACAGTTAACAGTTCCCTGTAATGTTTTAGGTTATGTGTCAAATTTCTGGGAGGTGTAGTGATTATTGTTTTTGTTTTTGTGTCGCTTGGCCCCTATGATTTAGGCACCAGTCATGGGTGAGGGCCCCCCTAATGTCATTTTCGCCCTTTTAATGTTTTTATCTAGCCGAGGTGAAGAAATTACAACAGCACTTGGCCCTCCTCAAAGAGGAGTACTCGAAGCTCCAGAGCAAATACCACGAGATTGAGAACAAATACAACGCGATTTCGGCCACTAGTGACACCACTGAGGGCACTTTCGCCTCACGTCTCTTGCAAACTGTTGCCAATTTGTACAATTCGGAGGTTTATAGTGATATCAAGATTCGGCTCAGCGACCGCAACATCAACGCGCATAAAATCGTCCTGGACGCCAGATCGAATCTCTGGGACGAGACGAGTCTCGTGGGGAAGTCGGAGCTGGATTGGAGCGAGTTGGAGGCCGATGTGGCCGAGGCCATTCTCCTGTGGTTGTACACCAACAAAATCGAGTTGAAATCGGAAGAGTTGACTCTGAAATTGATCAGGAAGGCGCACGAATTCAAGCTTGACGATTTGGTGGAGAGTTGCGAGCAGTTTCTGATTTATGCTGTGACGATTCGGACGTGTGTGAGGTTTTATTCAGTCGCGGAGGAGATTGGGGCTGAGAATTTGAGGGAGTATTGTTCGGGGCTCATTTCCACACATTGGGATGATTTGAATGCGTCCGATTTTGAGCACATGTCGGGGCCTCTGCTCTATCAGATGTTGAAGAGCAAGACGCAGTTGGCGTTGCATTCGGCTGTGAGGCTGCAGAGAGAAGATGTGGTGTTTTTGTGTCTGGTCGAGAATTCGTCAAAGGTAGGAGAATTTTGGCACTTTTACGACGCAAAAATCGAGTTTAAAACTAGATTTTTAATTTTGGGAAAATAAACAAAGTGGTCTGTGACTTTGAAGTTAGGTTGGCAACAATGAAAAACACAGAAGCTGTCAGTTTTTATGTCTTCTGTCTTTGTCTTAATTAACTTAATTCTATATAAATTGCAAGATTATTGCAACAAACATTTTTGTTTGTTGTTATTGTCTATTTTTGTTTGTTTTCTTTAAATTTAATTTCGTCCTGTTTGGAGTTTGAAAATTTGCCAAGTCTTGGAATAAATCAAGGATTGTGTACAAACTAATAAAGTTTTTAAAATTTGTGAAAATTCAAATACATACTTGGGTGAAAACGATCGAAACGTGACATTTTTGCTATTTACGTTAGTACAAATTTTATTTTAAGAATTTAGTCACTTACAGGGTTATTCATAAATATGAAGCAATATTTGAACCTCAAAAATGAGCTATAAAATGATGTTCGATAGAGTAATCAATTTCGAATAAAAAACGCATAACCTTTAATACCCCTAAAATGGACCGTTTCAAAGATATTTTAATTTAAACTGAGGACTGCACAACGCTGAAATAAAAAAATAGGGATTTTGAATAAGTGGTATCCACGGCAACCAATGACCATGGTCACATAAATCCCTGCCAGGCATCTGTTAACTTGGACGATAAATTTTTGTGAATTTTTTATGAATTAAATGCTACGTGATCCATTTGGATTTATTTTAAATTATGTTTGGAATCTGAGGTAAACTCTTTTATTAAATATTTTCGATTAATTATCTAATAATCGTCCAATGTCAAAGTTGACAGATGCCTGACAGCGATTAGTGAGACCATGGTCATTTGTTACCGTGGATATCATCCATTCAAAATCCCTACTTTTTGGTTTCAGCGTTGTGCAGTCCTCAGTTTAAATTAAAATATCTTTGAAACGGTCCATTTTAGGGGTATTAAAGTTTATGCGTTTTTTATTCGGAATTGATTACTCTATCTATTTGGGCTATAAAAAATTAGTGTTAAGAGAGCAAAAAAATGGAAAAACACAGAAAATGTGACCTGCAACTGCTGGAACCGGAAATTGAGTGGATGGATCCGGTTTTCGTAATTACCAGTTTAAAGGGTATGTTGTCACAAGGAAATGTTCCAAATTTTATAATATTTGGTCAAATAGTTCCAAAGTTATTACAAAAAAATCAAATTTCTATACCCACATTCCGAGGGCTGTAAAATTCTTATCAGTAGAGATAGGACACGATTTATTATTTAAATTAACATCATTTTATAAGTCATTTTTGAGGTTCAAATATTGCTTCATATTTATGAATAACCCTGTATATTCAACACTCTATATATTAAGAGCATTAAAAATTATACCAAAGAGCAACACCTATTTTACCAACGTACAAAATTTTGTTTTTCTATTATCAATAATAAAGATGCTAAAATAATTTACGTACCTATATGTGTATTGTAAAATAGTATATTACATACCGAGTAAGGAAGAGCGCGTGAAGCTCTTTAATGAAGCTGAAATGAAACCTGTCTTCGAAGTTTGTATACTATTTTATTCACAATCAATGTTGAAAATAACAATTTACTATAAATTCTGAATAATAAATATCCTGATGTAACAAATACAAGGTGTTTCAAAATGATTGTCATCTAGTCGTCTATGGAATTTCTTTACACGTAAATTTGTCTGTGCCGCTCTACTTTTTTGAACCAGATAGTTCTGTCAACAGTGACAGCTGTCAATCAAAATAAATTAACATTTGAGATTAATTAGGTATAGATTTGTCAACAAGAAATTACCAGTTAGGATTTGAACTTTTAATAAAATTAGTATACTTTTCAGAAGTAATTTTGAATGCTTAGAGTTGGTTACCCCTTGTTGACGGTTGACGTTTCTGTCAACCTGCTGTCAACTATCTATTGAATTATTCATACAAGCTGACAGGTGACTTAACGTAAATTTTAACGATATCTTTTGTTTGTCACCAAAAACCAACCTAACAACATTTATGACAATCTATTCTCAAATATCCCTAAATCCTAGGCAGTAATTTCTTGTTGATACGACAATACAATATTTTTAAAAACGGAATTTTTTATTTTACATGGAAATTCCATAGGCAACTAGATGGAAATATAAGTAAGCGGGGCATGACAATAAAAAAATTATAACTGTCAAAATGACAATTCCAAAAAATTACCGTTGATCCTTTTTTAAGGATATTGTAAATGTTATATGGTCGTTGTTAAATAAAAAAAAGATATTTTTTTGTAAAAAGACAGATAAGAGTGTAGTAAAAAAATGTGTAGGTTGTCATTTGAAAAAAAAAAAATGAGTACGCTCCTGGAATAAGGCAACTTCTGCGTGACTTGGAAATAGTTTTAGTCATTACAGTTTTGACAACTGTATAATTGAGCAAAAAATTACGTTTGTACCTTTAATGATAATGTGAGTATTCAGCGATGCTTTATTATTAATTCACCCGGTATAATTTTTCAAATTAATGAACAATTATTAAAAGTAATGAAAAATAGTATATTACATAACGAGCACAGGAAGTAACAAATAACGCACAAGTGGGGAGTTTTATGCACAAGGCGGCAGCCGAGTGCGTTGGACACTTTCCAGCGAGTTTTCTACACTATTTTTCCTACAATTACTGAAAAAAGTCATTTATTGCAAACATATTTATTTTTTGAATCAATAAAATTAATGGTCAGATTATTAATTTGCTAGTTATTGTAATAATATAACATAAAAACTCATGGAAAGTGTTCTGAAACTTACCAAATTTTGTTTGTAGCTCACAATTTGCCCGAAAATTTTTGACATTTCTGAGCCCTAGTTTCAGATATACAAAATACTTCATAAATTATTACGTTATAACCGTTATAATAACGTACGAATTTTTGACAGATGGATGAAGTTGCCAGCTTTCATGCCTACTCAGTTGTTTGAAATTAACAATTATTGACACTACAAAAGCAAAAGATGTTTTTAGTAGTAAGACAAATAAGTGTGTTATAAAAAACATGAAGGTTTTCATTTAGAAATTTTTTGAATACGGTCCTGGAATAAGGGAACTCCGGACAGACTTCAAAATAATTGTAGTCATTACAGTTTTGCCAACTGTGTAAATGAAGAAAAAATCACTTTCGTACATTTAGTAATAACGTCAGTATCCTGCATTGCCTCATTATTGACTCACTCGGTATAGTCAAATTAATGAAATTGTTTTTATTTTAAGAAAAAACCATTCCTTTAATCGCAATTTTACAAGAGACAAAAACGTTTGTTTCCAAATAAAATTTCCTATTCAGATACCAAAAATTTGGTAACAATCGAGTCTTTTTTAGAGCACCTGTATTTTTTTATTTATAAATAAAAATAAAAAACTAGTTAAGGTTTTTCATTATCTTTTATTGGAATAGAGTGAGGTAACATTTTTGCACCACTTACATAAATTTACATAAACATCCCAATTTGCAAAAATAATAATAATTAAAAAGCGTCATAAAAAATAGGTCATAACTGATATTATCACAGCCGGTAGAGCCTTGAAATGGTAAATGTCAGCACCGTTGCACAAATAACTCTTACAATAACACTCGACGGTCGTCGACGTCCTCACACCCTTATCGTCCACCACCGAACACCCCTCCGTGTAAGGCTCCTCAACCACAACTTCCGGTTGCCAGAAACCGTTTTTGAAATTTTGCGTCATCAATTTCTGATGGGCACAATCACGTTCTGTTGCATTTATCGGTACTGGAATTTTCGCCGAAAAATCCCTCTTCATACAAAATGTGGAATAAGGACAATCGACGATGAATTTCTCCGAATAGTCGAATTCGGAACAGAGACGTACTGTTTCGTTGCTGTAAAGGGACGGTTTGGTCGTCGTGCATTTGTAGCATTTGGTGGCGGCTTCGGTGCAGGAAATCACTAAATCAGAAATTAAAAAGTTGATAAGAGAGGTTATTGCACTTGGGGGATTTTTTATTTGAAGTTTGAGGGACATCAGGGGCGCCCACTTGACGTTTCCGGTCGGAGTGATAGTGGAATTAAAGAATTAAATCCAATTATGATGAATTAAGTTACGAGATTTGTACAGTGACTGAGCTTATAATTTTTTTTTTTTTGAAAAAATTGAGTACGGCCCTGGAGAAACTTTAAAATAATTCGGTCATTACAGTTTTGCAAACTGTATAATTGAGCAAAAAATTACGCTCGTACCTTCAATAATAATGTTAATATCCTGCAATGCCTTATTAATGATTCACCCGGTATATTATTTTATATGGGGTGTTTTCTTAATATTGCAAAAGAATGCAACTACATCGAAAAATAACACTTGTTTGTCAAAAAACAATAATCCTACAAAGATTCGTTACAGATACACAGGGTGATAAAGTTTTATGATAAAAATTAAAATCCCTTAAAACGCTTGAGTTATTTTTCATAAAATTGTACAGGTTTTGTGAGCCACTAAAAGTGCTTATTTTCCTGTAATTACTTTTTTTTCACTTTTTTTTTTTAATTTGCAAACTTTGAAACAAAGTAGTCGCGGTTTGTATTCAGTCAAAATTCAAGACATGTGTTTAGGTTTCCGCAAATTTGAACTTTTTTTGATATAATAAAAATCATTTTTAAAAATGTAGAAAAAATATTGTAAGTTTTCATTAAAATAAAAAATGAGTACGGCCCTGGAATTAGGAAACCTCGGAGGAACTTTAAAATAATTCGGTCAGTACAGTTTTGCCAACTGTATAATTGAGCAAAAAATTACGTTCGCACCTCCAATAACAATGTTAATATCGTGCAATGCCTTTTTTTAATTTGCAAACTGTGAAACAAAGTACAGTCCCGGTTTGTATTGAGTCAAAATTCAACAAATGTTTAGGTTTCCGCAAATTTGAACTTTTTTTGATGTAATAGAAATCATTTTTAAAAATGTAGAAAAAATATTGTAAGTTTTCATTAAAATAAAAAATGAGTACGGCCCTGGAATTAGRAAACCTCGGAGGAACTTTAAAATAATTCGGTCAGTACAGTTTTGCCAACTGTATAATTGAGCAAAAAATTACGTTCGCACCTCCAATAACAATGTTAATATCCTGCAATGCCTTATTAATGATTCACTCGGTGTATTATTTTATACAGGGTGTTTTCTTAATATTGCAAGAGAATGCAACCACATATTTTACATAAAAAAAAATAATAATTTGTCAAATAAACGATAGTCGTATATAGCTTCGTTACGGATATACAGGGTGATAAAGTTTCATGATAAAAATTTAAATCACTTCAAACGCTTGAGTTTTTTTTCATAAAATTTTTCAGCTTTGTGAACCACTAAAAGCGCTTATTTTTCGGTAATTTCTTTATTTTTCTTTTTTTTTAAATTTGCAAACTGTGAAACAAAGTACAGTCCCCCGGTTTGTATTCAGTCAAAATGCAACAAATGTTTAGGTTTCGGTAAATTTGAATTTTTTTTGATGTAATAGAAATCATTTTTAAAAATGTAGAAAAAATATTGTAAGTTTTCATTAAAATAAAAAATGAGTACGGCCCCGGAATTAGGAAACCTCGGAGGAACTTTAAAATAAGTCGGTCAGTACAGTTTTGCCAACTGTATAATTGAGCAAAAAATTACGTTCGCACCTCCAATAACAATGTTAATATCCTGCAATGCCTTTTTAATGATTCACTCGGTGTATTATTTTATACAGGGTGTTTTCTTAATACTGCATGAGAATGCAACCACATATTTTACATAAAAAAATAATAATAATTTGACAAATAAACGATAGTCATATAAAGCTTCGTTACGGATATACAGGGTGATAAAGTTTCATGATAAAAATTTAAATCCCTTAAAACGCTTGAGTTGTTTTTCATAAAATTTTACAAGCTTTGTGAGCCACTAAAAGCGCTTATTTTTCGGTAATTACTTTATTTTTACTTTTTTTTTAATTTGCAAACTGTGAAACAAAGTACAGTCGCGGTTTGTGTTCAATCAAAATTCAGGACGTGTGTTTACGTTTCGGAAAATTTGAACTTTTTTTTTGATATAATAGAAATCATTTTTAAAAATGTAGAAAAAATATAGTAAGTTTTCATTAAAATAAAAATTGAGTACGGCCCTGGAATAAGGAAACCCCGGAGGAACTTTAAAATAATTCGGCCAGTACAGTTTTGCCAACTGTATAATTGAGCAAAAAATTACGTTCGTACCTCCAATAATAAAGTCAATTTCCTGAAATGCCTTGTTAAAGATTTACCCGGTATAGTTTTTTTATATTATTTTATACAGGGTGTTTTCTTAATATTTCGAAAAATTGCAACCACAAATTCTACATCGAAAAATAACACTAGTTTGTCAAATAAACGATAGTCGTTACAGATATACAGGGTGATAAAGTTTCATGATAAAAAATAAAATCCCTTAAAGGGATTGAGATGTTTTTCTTAAAATTTTTATAGGCTTTGTGAGCCATTTTGAAAGCGCTTATTTTTGATAGTTGCTTTATTCTTTTCTTACCAGTGGCGTGCGTACGGGCACGATATTTTTTTTAATTTGTTTGTTTTTAATCTGCAAACTGTGAAACAAAGTACAGTCGCGGTTTGTATTCAGTCAAAATTCAAGACATGTGTTTAAGTTTCGGCGAATTTGAACGGAAATGCTTTATTTATCATCACGCTGGAATTTCTAAAGATACCAAAATAGGTCACAGCCAAAAAATCGCTACTTTGAAAACGCTGATATTTAACGCCCTTTTAAACAAACTAATTACCCGTGACTGTTACTATTTTATAAATTATTTATAAGTCGAAGCGAGATTCCCGAGAACGTGATTAGCAGAGTCGATAATTGCTCTTAATTAATAATAAATGAAACAGTTGCAATCACCGGTATAACGCAATAGTTGGCTGTGACCGACATTACCGCACACTCGACAAGGTTAAAAAAATTATTTTCGGCGAAGTTAACACAATATTTTTTCTAAATAAGTGATAAGACGGGTCGTAAAAGTTCAACTCGAGTCATGTGATCGATCCATTCAAAACGTAATTTTTCAATTAATTCATTTATTTAAATGTTGTTTATTATACTCTGGGACTTTTTAAACACACGTGTCTATTGTGGTCAGATAAAGTAAGCTGATAAGTGGGTCGTTTAATAAAATCGTTTAATTGTTTAAAAGTTTGTTAATTAGTTTCAGTAGCTCATAATCGTAAAATGGCCCATTGTTTGACATTTTTAGTGTTGGTATAATTGCATTTGTAATGTTTTTTGCAATGTGTAGCGACACGACTTATTTTTACGCAACTTTTTTCCTCTTATATAAAACCTGTTGGACTGGAATGTGGCAAATTTAAACGAAAATATTTCAAGTTATAAATAGCAAAGAAATTTGCAAATAGAATTTTATAAGTTTTGGGTTCATAAATGGCAGAAAAAATGGCCTAAATGGATTATTGAAAAAAAAAATAGCACTTTATATTATAAGTATACAGAATGATTTAAGAATGGCGACTCTCACCAATTGTTTTTTTAATTTTTTCATCTTGATATTTCTTTCAGAATAATAAAATATAAAAACGAATTTTTTATTCGTGTATTTGGATTAGATATAGGGAAATACTGATTTGTATAAAAAAAATATTTTATGTACAGGATGAGTCACTGGTAATTACTTCTTGATTACTACTCGGAAAAAAAAACAATTAATGAGATTTAATTTTTAATCCAAGTGGTCTATACAATTTCAGATTCAGTTAAAATAAAAAAAATAGAAATTTTTTACTTGGAAAAATAAATCGTTCTAATAATATCTTGAGAACCTTGAGACACACATAACAGCACTGCAAAAATCGAGTTTCATAATTTGTAATTAAGTAATTAAACAAAAGTAAAAGTAAAACGGAGGAAAAGACATTTGATAAAAATAAAACTTGACCAAATAAATTCAAGTTTTATCCTTAAAACACCTAATTTAACTATTATTATTTTACTTGAAATTATGCATTTCATGAAACTGAAAAAAAACTATTTTATTGAAAATTAATTTGTATTACCATTTTACGATTCTGTCATAATTTACATGAGAATAAGTGCTTCAATATCAGATATTAATGAGAAAAAAATGACTTATTTCCTAATAAATAAGAAAAAAGAAAGTGGAAAAATTGCTTTTTAATTGAAAAAATCCCCTATGATTTTTTTTACAATTTTATTGTAATTAGAAAGTGTGTTTTGAGGGGTGGGCATCAAACTTGACTCACCCGGTATAAGCAAATTTTCAGTCACGCATGCCAAATTAAATTTCATCTAATTTTTTTCTCATAATTTTGTGAAATTATTTAATTAAAGGTCATTAGAGTCAGATTTCTAAGTAATTCCGAAGACTGATATGACTTATCGGTAACTCCGGATTTGAGTCTTTTTCTAGTAATAACAAAAATAAAATTGTTGGAAAAATAATAAAGTATTGGATGCACATGATTGGTCATTGAAAAGAATTAAATAATAACGAAACCAATCTCGCACTTTCCTCGTTTTCATGGTAATTAATTTTTTTTCGTGTTTTTGCAATGTAATTATTTCAAGAGACGCTCCCAATTCCACTTTCAGTATTTTTAATTAATTAAAACGGAATTGATGCAATATAAGGGGCGACAATAGCAAGGTCGTAGAAAAAATTCGCATTTATTAATAATTAGATTATGTATTTTGAAGGACGCCAAAAAATTCTTACATGTAAACACCACTAGTAAATCCTTGAAAGCCATACCGACCCAAAAATGGCACGTTTTAATTCATAAAATCGTTGTCATCGTGTCATAGTCGGCACTGGAAACAAAACACCAACACAGCGTACGTCGACTGTTTTTCGAATGACAGTCGACGATCCAAACTCGCCTTTTCTGTCTCTCTCTTAAACGTGAATTAAACAGAGATGGCGATAACTGTGAGTGGGGTTTGAGTCACACCAGCGCGATTCGATTTTGTTTCGGTCTTTGACATTTTGCCAATTATTTTTTTTTCTTCTTCCATAGTTGTCAGATATCGTCAATGTTTGGAGTCCCAATGGGGAATTACCGCTTGATTTGGCATTGAGGAGTCATAATGGTAGCATTGCGGCAACACTGGTTCAACACAATGCTGATATTAATATAAGGGATGTCCAAGGGGATACTTTACTACACAGGGCGATCAAACAGGAAGATTCCTTTTCGGCACTATTTTTACTCGAAAATAATTGTAATGTTACATTATCGACAAGGACGGAAAATGATTCGGCATTGCATCTAGTGGCCGGTGCTCCAAATATTGAAGATGGATCGAAGATAGCCGAGAAATTGATCAACAAAAATGTGAACGTCAACGCGCAAAACCGGCTAGGATAGTGAGTAATTGAGAGAATATATAGGGCGTTGACATTTAAAATTACCTTTTTATGAAACATCCTGTATATTCTGAGTAATCAACTTAATGTCCTCAAAGAAATAATATATTTTTTAAATACAAATCGAAGAGGTAAGAGCAGTGACACACCCTGTATAGTATAATTGTAAAAAATTACTTATTAATTGGATACAGAGTGATTAAAATAAATATGTATATAGCAAGAAAAGTGTGTTTATTATTGTAGTTAGTAAATATACAGGTGATTTAAAAGTGACAACTCTTCAAATGTCATTCAAAAATATTTCAATACTATACATATACCTATTTCAAGTTAAAAATAACAGCAAATATTTATTGATTTTTGAAAATTTTGATCCTCTTAAACATACATCCATAAAAATAAAACTTCATAATAAATAGTTTTTAATTAATTACAAAAAGCATTATAAGAATTTTTAGAATTTTTTACATTTATTAAAAAAAAAACTATACAGGGTGAGTCACTATCGCATGCTCCCTTGATTGTTTTTACCAAAAATTTTCAAGTAGGAGAGTTTAAATTTTTCAAATATTTGTTAATTTGCCATTTTTAATCACCCTGTATATTTCTTGACAGTTAAAAAAATTAAAAATTGTTAAAGAATTTTATCTAGATTTTTCAAACTTATTTTCGGAGAACATGATTTTGAGGGTAACTATTTTTTAAACACTGTGTATATTTTCAATTATCAAAGTTTTTTTAGTTTGATCAGGGGTGACTTTGTTTCAGTACGGCGTTGCACATCGCCATCCAAGCCGACAACCGGCCCCTCTTCGATCTTCTTTTGTCTCAACCCACTCTCGATCTTAACCTCAAAACAATCGACGAACACGTCCCCCTCTACTACGCCCTCCTCAAATACGAATCGGGTGACAACTCCTCCGACTCGTACGCCTCAAATCTTATCGCGAAAAATGCCCAAACTGGCGTCCTCTACTCCTCAAATTGCGACAGTTTGCTTCAAAAACTCATCGAAGAGGGCGCTGCAAACGCTGCTGTATTTCTCACCAATCACGTCTCGAATTTAAATCACGTGAACAGCGAGGGCGAATCAGCGTTACATATCGCTTGTTTGAAAAATTTGTCACTGGTTGTGGATAAATTATTAGAGATGGGTGCGAATGCGAATTTGTTAACTAATGAATTGAGACAGTTGGCTTTGCATTATGCTGTCAAAAATAACGCACTGGATTGTGTTGAAGTTTTTATTAAAAGGGATTGTGGGGCGAATTTTAACGCTCGCGATATCAATGGCGAAACACCGATTAGTTTGGCCCTAAATGAAGGGTTCAATGGGCTAGTGCCGGTCCTGATAAAGGGCAATGCTGACGTTAACGTACGAAATGGTAAAGATTTCACACTTTTGCATCAAGCAATCTTGAAAGAGGACGCAAAAACGGCTCTTTTCCTCCTCGATAACGGCGCTGATATCAACGCAAAGTAAGTATAAGTAATAGTGTGTCCCTATTGGTTGATTTGCTCAAGGACGGCCGACTCGGAAACGCCCCTCCAACTCGCCATCCATTGCCGATTGGGCGAAGTCGTCGACGCTCTATGCATAAGAGGCGTGGATATGTCAGCACCTGACCGATTGGGTAATTGTCCATTGTGGGCGGCGCTTGATTCCGGTCAAGACGATATTGCAAGTATTTTGGTACGACATGGGGCGGATACGGATTGTTGGGGGCCGGGACCGGATGGATGTCGTCAGACGTTATTACACAGGTAGAGGTGATTTCTGATTGGTTGAGTGTAGTAAAAGGCGTGGTTTAGGGCCATTGATGAGAATAAGGAGGCGGCTGCGATTTTTTTAATCCAATCAGGGTGCGATTTAGATTCGCCTAGAATGCCAGGGCCTAATGGAGAAGGCGGGGACGAGGCGAGGGACAAGGCGGCGCCTTTGCATCTGTGCTGTCAGTGGGGGCTGGAAACCGTGGTCAGGGTGAGTTTTAAGAATTAAAAAATCTACTCAAACTGTGGAATTTTATTTAGTTTTAAAATATTTTATAAATGTAGCTTTTTTGGAACATGTTTTTTTTTTTTTATTTTGGATCAAATAAATTCTTCTAGAAAACCTATCGTTGGGATTATTGGCACAGTTTTAGCATTTTTGGATGGAACTTTTTGGTCTCTTGCAAAATTTCGATTAAATGGATAGTTTTTTGTTAAAATTGAAAAAACCTTGAAAAACTATACCGGGTGGGTCAACAATTAGAGATTGTGTGATACTGAGTTTATTATTAAAGGTACAAACGTGATTTTTGGCTCAATTATACAACTGGCAAAACTGTAGTGACTGGATTTTTTTTTGATTTTATTGGGGTTCCTTTATTCCAGAACCGGACTTATTTTTTTTTAATGACAACTTATATTTTTTTAGACTCTCATTGAGCATCGAGCAAACGTGAATAGCCGCGACGCTGATAACAAAACCCCACTTCACATCGCTATAGAAAACCAACACCCGGAAATAATTTCGTTGCTTTTAAGCGTGCCTGAAATTGATTTGAGTCTCAGAGACAAGTCCGGTTTGAGTCCTTTCGCCACTGCTTTGACTTTCAGGAATAACAAAGCTGCTCAAGCGATTTTAGATAAGTTACCATCGGCTGCTGAACAAGTGAGTATCATTGTAAAAAAGCGCGGTTTATTTGAATTTATTTTCAGTTTGACGCCAAAGGACAGAATTTCTTGCACATTGCAATCAAAAAAGGCGACATAGAAAGTGCCCTTTTTCTTTTAACAGTCCACGTGGACGTTAATTCACGTGTCCAAGACCCGATGTTGACTCCACCGCTCCATCTAGCGGCCCGTCACGGTAATGAAACCCTCGTCCGGAGTTTAATCCTCGCTGGGGCCCGAGTCGACGATCGTGACGCCCAGAAGTGAGTAAGCACCAATCGTGAAGCGGTATTTAAAAATGGGCGTGGTTTGTAGACGCACCGCCCTTCATATAGCCGCTGAAGCAGGCAATGCACCTGCTGTCTCCGCCCTTTTACAAAACAACTCAGATTACGACGCCCTCGACATTGAGAGTAACAACGCCCTTCATGTGGCCGTCAGAGAGGGGCACTTGAACGTGGTGCGTGTCTTGCTAACCGAGTCGAGTATAGACGCCGAAGCTGTCAATTTAAAGGGGCGGAATCCCATGCATGAGTTGTGTAAGTATGGGAAAGACAACGCGGCCGCCATCTGCGAACTGTTTCTTGAGTGTATGCCTGAGTATCCGATCAATAAGACTGATATTATGGTGAGTGTGGGGGCTAGTCAAGGGGTGATGATTGAAGGGTGATTTAGGGCAACTCGCCGCTGCTTTTGGCCTACATGAAGGGGAATGGGCCCTTGTGTCGGGTTTTGGTCAAGGCGAAGGCGTGTCTCGCCACAGAGAATAACGAAAGAGTCACGATTTTCAATTATCAGGTGCCGAGTAAACAGCTTTTGAACCGGTTGTTGGACCAATTGGGGCAACCCGCTGTTTGGACTAATACGGATCTGTGTCAGGAGTGCGGGAAGGGGTTTTCGATAACGGTGAGGACGCACCATTGCAGGCACTGTGGGAGGGCCCTCTGCAGCAAATGCTCGGATCAGGAGGTACCCATTATCAAGTTTGGGGAGAATAAACCGGTCAGGGTTTGCAATATCTGCTTCGACGTGTTGAAAACCGGAGGATAATGCAATAACATTCCGCTTGTTGTTTATGTTGTTTATCAAATTTTATTAAAAGGCTTGTATTTATCAATCAATAAACGATTATAGTCACTAGAGTTTATTGAGGTAACATTAAATAACAAAACTTTCTACAATTTCGACCAATTCACTTCAATTTGCTGAACAAGTCTTTGGTGACGCAATGGTCCACAGCATGGAGCCAATCGAACAACTCCTCGGAGCAATTCTCCGTGGTTTTAGACCGGGAATTGACTCTGTCATTGCACGCTTGGTATTTCTCGTAATATTTTTGGCAGTGTTCCGTCTCATTGCATTTCTCCTGCAAGACTGGGTCGTGAACCCAATTGAGGTTATGTCAACTCACCCTCAAGACTTGTTGCGGATCGACCAATTCCTCTTCTTCCTCCTCTTGTGCCTTGACTTTGGGAAGCTTCGGGATGAATTTCTCGAACCACATTATAGGAAATTGCGTTCTTTTCCTCGTAATCCGCTTCGACTTGCGTAACAACTGTCACTTTGCCCGTGTCAGGGATGCCAACCAAACCCGGTCACTAGACTGTTTGAGAGTCGGTTCACTTTGGAGATTTGCGTTTGGTAGCAGTGGGAACTAGTTTTTGACGTGAGGGTAGGTTAGAAGGTTGAGTGTCTTTCGTTGTGTGTTATTTACGTTAAATCGCGCCTTTTGCTCGAAAATAATAAATTAGTGAATGACATTTCGTTAATTAATAAACTCGGCGACTTTTCATCATTACAATTGCGGTTTACCATGCACGCATTTTTCGTATTTGACCCAAGCTGATTTGTGATTGTTTGTTATTATTTACTTCCATAGCAAAGGTGAGTGAGCCCCCTTGACTCGACTAGAATTAATTCGTTTCTTCGAAAGAATGAACGGCACAATGGAGCCACGAAAGAGCGACACGCACGGAGCCAAGGGGCCTAAGAATTACAAATTGCTGGTGGACCCTTTCTTGGTTAAGGGGGCTGCCAAGTTGTACAGGTACGACGGGGTGGTCCCCAACGACGCCTCGTACCGACCGCCGGTTCCGAGGGACCCCAGGTCGCACCTCACCAGGATTTGGACGAGACTGGAGACGCTCGACCTGCCAGTACCAAGGTCTGAAACAGCCCCAAAACTTGCTTTTTCCATTTATGAGAGGCGACATAACCTCACTTTTTATTTATGTTTAATGCCCAACCAAGGACGCATATTTTTAGGTGGAAAGTTTCACTCCATGTTATTAATTGGGCCGGTTTGTGTATTTACACAGTGTTTTATTGATGGCTCAACACAATATGTTTGGAATTTGTGATTTTTTTCAATTTGTGAGCAGCAATTGGTTATGTCAAGTTGGGAAATGTCAAATTACACAATTTGAAAGCTTGTGACTAGATTTTCAGCAAATTATTTGCCAATAAAACTAATGACATAACCTCACTTTTTGTTATTAAAGAAATGGGATAAGTAGATTATACTTTAATTGTGGTTATTAACGCATTTTGGGAGGTCATCACAAGATTAGTTAGTGACATGTCGACATTTATTTGGAATATGAATTAAATGAAAAAAACTGATTTTTTACATAACCTCACTTTTTTGTTGGTATTTTCAGAACAATGGAATTGTGGGCATATTTGTATTTTTTCATTTTAATTTTTAATTTCGTAATCAGAAAAGTGTTCATTTATTATTAGTTTTGGCATCAGAATGAGATTATTTGGATTTTTGTCTCATAACCTCACTTTTTTAACGATCTTTCTTAGATTTTTTGGGTGAAACTGCAAATATTGTTGTCAAAAGTAAATTTAAATTACTTAATGAGGGGCTTTTGATCATTTCTTTAACCATTTTTGACAAATTTTTCCATATAATAACTGAAATAATAAATAATTAAATTTTGTACCTAGTTTTTATTTTATTTTTTTTTGCAAATTTGGTGTTAAGGTAGTGGAACTTATAATTGTTTTAATAAAAATTGTAGATTGGTAGTTTTATTTAGTGAAAAAAATTAAAATTTGAAAAAAAGTTGGACTTAAGATGGGATTTAATTTTGGCTTAAATGCTTCATTGCTAGTTTATTACCTCTGATTGAGCCATTTTTATTACTAATTTTATTAAAGAAATAACAATTACGTTGCTGTTTGCGTTAAAACGACAAAAATTTGGAACAAAGTTGACATAACCTCACTTTCTTTTTTTGTAAATTCAATGATCGTTTTTCAAGAAACTGAATAAATTACTTGGAAAATAAGACTGTTAATACTAATAGTTTTAATTAATGTTTACACTTTAATGATTAATTAGTAGAAGAGCAGCAAAAATGTAGAAAGCTTGAACTTTGAGAAGACGAAATTTGGACAAAAAGGCCTAATTTTCGGGCTAGTGGTCTATAATTGCGTAATTTTTGTTACTAATTTTATTAAATGCATCAATTACGTTGCTTATTTCATTAAAACGACGAAATTAAAAAAAAAATAGTGACATAACCTCACTTTTTTCCACTCGTGGACGATGAATGTTTTTGTTTTTCATGAAAATCTGAATAAATCATTTTCAAAAAAACTGTTTTAAGTATTTTTTCCTAACTTTTATATTAAAAAAATATATTTTTAGCCCATTTTGATATGATTCCGGGGCCGGTTCAAGGTGACTTTGTAAAGTTTTTCACCAACTGTGTAAGCCCGACTCACACTGGAGAAATTTACTTTAAAAAGCTTAATTTTTGTTTTATTTCTAAAAACTTACCATTGAAAGCGTGAAATTTACAGGTTCAAGATCGACTCAAACTACGTGGGGGAGCCCCCTTCGATCGAAGTAACAATTTTCCACTTGAACGACAACATTGACAAGCAGTTCCTCAAAGACATGGTGCAAAAATACGGCGTAATTGAGGAACTCTTCATCTACTACCACCCTCAAACCAACAAACACCTCGGTATTGGTCGTGTTGTCTTTGAAACAGTTGTCGGTGCGAAAACCTGCGTCGAAAAATTGAACGACACCAGTGTTATGGGTCAAATTCTCGAAGTCTTCCTCGATCCATTCGGCGAAAAATGTAAAAAGAAATTCGAAGACTGTACTGTAGAAAAACGCCCCCCACCACCCATCATCGAAAACACGCCGAAAACCGAACCTGAGAAACTCAAAATCGACGAAGAGAAAAAGAAAGATGAAAAAGAACCGAAAGAGAGCATCGATGAAGTTAAAAAGAAAGACAGAGATAGGGATAGGGAGAGAGATAGGTATAGGTATCGGGAGTTTGCCACGCCCAGTAGCTCAGATATGGGTTACGGAACCGCCTCTAGTGAATTTTCAGCCAGTTACGGATCGGCAGGTACCACGCCATTGGCTTACGATTATTCACACATGGCACATCAGTATCCGTACGCCACGCCCACTTATCACTGCCCGCCCACTGTATGGCCAATGGCCACACCTCAATGGCCATCAGACATGTGGGATCGCACTCCAATACCCCCCAAATGGCCCGAAAAAGAACACCCAGTTAAAGAATACAAAGAAGAGAAAAAACGAAATAATGTAGCCCCTATTAAAACTAAAAAAGAGAAAGAGAAGGAGGAGGAAGAGAGCAAAACGCTTGATTTAGACACAAGGATTGCTCTTTTACTTAAAGGGCGGGGCACGGGTGATAAAGCACCGCCCTTTCTACTACTGGGCGGGGATTCGGACGACGAATCAAAGTCTTCCTTTGATAGAATGCCCAAATCGGTACCAATCCCAACATCAATTGACAGCGATGACGGTATATGGTGTGTCTAGTGTTTTTCAATTTTGTAAAGTTGGTATTTCAGACCGGTCAAGTATCTCACTAAGTGACATGCCCATTAATCCCCCTGCCCCCGAATTTGACACAAATTCGGTCAAGTGTGACGACACCGCCCCTCTCTCTACCCCACCGTCGCCATTTTTGTCCAAAGACGTCTATTTGGAGTGTCACAAGTTGGCGTTGGAACAGGTGAGTTTGAAAATTGGCGCGAAAAATTGCTTTTACACTGCGAAATTTTTTTAGGAGGTGGTGGCGCGTCAGAAGGAGGCTTTGGAGACCAGCGCCCTCTTGAAACAAATCGATGTGACGAAAATCGGTAGCGACATCTCGTCGAGTGAGGATGAACTTTTGACAGGTGACAATTATAGCCCCCTTGAGCGTAAATGTGATAAGGATGACGACCGAATGAGTTTATCGCCGTTGAGTGATAACGAACAGAAAATTGAAGAATCAAAGTTGGTCATGCCGACGTATCCTTATCAACAATATCCAGGATACCCAGGTCTCCCCTACTCGTATCCATACAATCAATACGATTGGAGACAGTCGTATCCATATACACATCCAATGTATTTGACTTCGTCTTACCCCTCAATGCACCCCTCCGTACAGTCATATATGAATTATCAAATGGCACCGAAACGGTCAGAAAACTCCAAAGATGACCCACACTCCCCTACTATAAACGCAGTGATTCAACAAATCACACAAGAATTGAAAGCGATTCTCAAGAAGGATTTTAATAAGAAAATGGTCGAAATGACAGCATTTAAAAAATTCGAAGCTTGGTGGGAGGAGGAGAGTAGTAAAGAGAATAAAAATAAAGAGGAAGTGGTGGAAAAACCGACACGTGACAATATTAATGTTTTATTGGAGGCAAATCGTGAGAATCTTTATTCGAATGTGAGTCTTGGTCTTAAAGCTTCACTTCCGAAAATGCCCAGTTTTCGCCGTAAGAAAATCCCCTCGCCTGAGGAGCGAAAATTGAGCGATTGTGAGGAAATCGTTCACGATTCGGATCCGGAAGTCACACGACCGTTGCGCCGTATTCGGATCAGTTCGTCGAGTAGTTCGGAAAGTTCGAGTTTGAGTTCGGAAAGTGAGGACAGTTCGGATGAGAGTTGTTCCGATTCGAAGGAGAAAACACCAGAACCGGAAAAAGCCCCAAAACCGGTCAATCGATACTCGAAAATCTACGTTAGTGATAGTGACGATGGCGAATTGGAGTTTTTGGAACGGCGAAGGCGGAACACCGAATGGATGGAGCAAATCGAGAGGGAGAAGAAACAAGCAAATAAGGTGGTGGTGGTGGAGGAGGAGGTAAAAGTAGTCGAAGATGTGGAAATGGAGAGTTTGGAGGAGAAAAGTTTGGAGAAGTTGGAGAGTGAAAGGGAGGAGTTGTTGCGTCAAGTGAGGAATCCAGAGCCTCCAGAGGAGCCCCCAGTGAGTAGCAGCGACGATGAGAATCTCGAAGCGAGAGTAAGGAAGAAAGAGGAGGTGAAAGAGGAGCATAATGGGGCATTGGAGCCCCCGAAACGTGTCTCAGAGTCATCAATCGAAAGCAGTCCTTCGTCACAAGTCACCATGGAACACTCCTATTGTATGCAACCAATTGAAATTTCCGCTGAAGCAACTCAAGAAAATCTCGTTCATGATCATGGTTACACTACTAAGGAGACGAAACCGGTCAAGGAGAAGCCCCCAAGGCCCCGCAAACGCAAAGAACACAAAAAACTCCAAGAATTACAAAACTACGACAGTTACAAGTACAATTCTTCTGTTCCCTACACCATCCACAATGTTAAACACAAAGAACGCGATGTGATGAATCAAATGAGTATTCTTTACGAGTTTTTAACGAAAGGAATCGACTTCGAGGATATTCAATACATGAAACAGAGTTACGAGTTTATGTTGGCTGATGATTCGATGGGTTATTGGTTGAATGACACCCATTGGGTGGACCATTGCGTTACGGATCTGTACTCGAGTCCGGCGAAAAGACGGAAACGGGACGATGTGAGACTCCATTCGACCGGATGTGCCCGAACTGAGGGCTATTACAAGATAGCAGCACACGAAAAGGCCAAATATAAGTACCATCACGCAAAATCGCATGCAATTGTTTCGGAAAACGCCCCCGTGAGTAAAATGCAAGGTTTGTCACGGGAAGCACGCTCGAATCAGCGACGTCTATTGGCGGCTTTTGGTGGCGACACCGACTCCGATCTCCTGAAGTTTAATCAGCTGAAATTCAGGAAAAAACATCTGAAATTCGCCAAATCGGCCATCCACGATTGGGGCTTGTTCGCAATGGAGCCAATCGCGGCCGATGAAATGGTGATCGAGTACGTGGGGCAGATGGTGAGACATAGTGTTGCCGATTTGAGGGAGCGCAAGTATGAAGCGACGGGGATTGGGAGCTCGTATTTGTTCCGAATCGATCTTGAGAATATCATTGATGCGACTAAATGTGGCAACCTTGCAAGGTTTATCAATCACAGTTGTAATGTAAGTGTGCGAACTGAAATTGTTGTCCGTTTTGTATTAATTGTGTTTTGTAGCCTAATTGTTACGCCAAAGTGATTACAATCGAGTCCCAGAAGAAGATTGTGATATATTCGAAGCAGAGCATCGGTGTAAACGAGGAAATCACCTACGATTACAAATTCCCGATCGAGGATGAGAAAATCCCGTGTCTGTGTGGGGCGGCCACGTGTCGCGGGACACTTAATTAAACCGAGTTAGTTACTATATGAAATTTTAAATTATCTTTTTTATTTGTATATATGTTTCTGTAAATAGTACATGGTTATTTGTGTTTGTTTTTCAACCGCAAATAAAATTCATCAACAGCTCACTAGTCTTTGTTCCCGACTTTTGTCAAATGTTGCATGTCGAGTTGTGATTGGGCGATGTCGCTCAACGCCGCTTGGATTTGCTCGAGGAGATCCTGGCCTTTGCGCACTATAGCCTCCAGTCGCTCGGCTGACTCTTGATTCTCCGATTCGAGAATTCGGAGACTTTGCAACTGGAATAGGTGTTTAGTCTGCGGTCCGGTTCGCGACTCGCCTACCTGCACGTCCGTTGAGCTTTCCTCGCTTGGCAACGACTCGATCAAAGTGTCGATATCTTTGGCGCATCGGGCAATCAACGTCGTGAATAACTGGACGTAGTCTTCTTGGTTTTGCTGCTGGGGGGTTTGGGAACCGCTCCTGTCGAAATTCGGGAACTTGCTAGGGGGCGCAAACTGTTGCAAAATTCCTATACTGTTACAGAAGTGTTCGGCTTGCTACAATAACACAAAGTGTGAAGGGGTTTGAATTTAGAGGGGGTTACCTGATTTATGCAATCCTGGAGCTGGGTCAAGCGATCGGCCATGAGAAATTGAGGTTATGTTACTACAGTCACACAAAAAACAACTCTAACTTGACTAAAATGACGTACTAACGCTTATTTATCACCTCAAACGGTTCAAATGCCACAAAAATCATTAATTATCACAAAATTCACCGCAAGGTTAATGACATTTCGCAAAAACAAACATGCAAGATTGCCAACACAAATCTAGTGCGGTCAAGTTTAAATAACTTAATTAAAAAACATACCGAAATATTATTTTAACTGTGACGCACAAAAAATAAACACGAGAAACGACAATATTCAAATTGTTTGATTTTATTAAATGATAATTATTAAAAAATATTAGTTGTATATAGCCAATCATCGAACGAAAAATCCCCATGTCATGTTTTAACAAATGTCAAATTATTATTAATTAATCAAAAATATCAATTAATTCTACTTTCTAGACTTGCACAACGGCGTGGACATGTCCACTAGCAAGCCCTGGGACCGTCCGTGGTCCATGGAGGAGATAATCGAAAATTCGGATAATTGGAACTTGGCCGGTGATGTGGCCCTTTTAAACACACTTAAAGCTTTCGCAGACGTATTTCAAGCCTCTCCTTTATGTTTCCACTCTCAATTGTTGATTTTTAGAATCTTCTAACTCGTACCACTGAAATTAACAATAATTTGCAAAATTTGACAAGCACCCTGTCTGAGACAAGTCTCCAGTTGGATATAGCCCAAAACGAGTTCCAGAGTTTGCGCAATAGTCAGTTTATTGAAAGTCGAGTGTATGAAGACGATGAGACTCTGGAGGCGACGGGCGAGGCGAAAGCTGAGGAGGAGAAAGAGGTTGATAAGACTGAGGAGGTTAGATTGGCGGCTTTGAAGGGGTTAGAGGTCTTGGAGAAGTACTTTGATCGAGTTGAGGTGTCGGTTAGTGACAGTGAAGACGATGACATCGATTTGCCCAAGTGATTTTTCACGACAAATTGTTAAAACTCTAATGAAATTTTTTTTTTAGTTATGTTCTCAGACCCAAAGATTTGTACATTGATCGCCCCCTTCCGTACGTGATCGGGTCCGAAGAGTGGCACAGGACGTGGCACGTGGGCCTGGAGGACTCCTCCAGCGGTAGCGAAACTGAGAAAGTTTCGGATAATTTCAGTGAAAGCGACTCGGAATCAGACTTGCCAATTATCCCCGATAGAACACAGGTTTTTAACACATGTTTTTCCATTGGTTGGCTCGGACTTGATCCATGAATTACCATAATTTTATTGGTCTATTAACCAGCCAACCGAATTTTAGTTTAGTCGCGATCTAGTCACAATGGGAAATATTTGGTTCTATTTCCAGATTAAAGACACTTCGGAGACCAGTTCCGAGCTGGATTTGCGAACTGAACCGAAAAATTTCATCAATTCGAGTGACAGTGAAAATTCGGTGGCGGTGCAAGCCGTTGGTAACTTTGCCGAAGAGTTGGCGGCGAAATTGGGTCACGTGATCGATCAGGAGTACGCTGAACCGGAAGTGAACCGACGGCCGATCCAGACAAAGCCACAATACGGTAGTGAGTTTTTCGAACCGGACGGCAGACTAAACACTCATTTCAGATAACTTGTTTTTCGATGAACCGCCGCCTTTGGACGAGCCGAAAGGGCTGTTTTCGGGGGGTAAGGGCTTGTTTGATGATGATGATGAGGCCACGCCTCCAACCCCCAAACCCGAATTGAGACAACCCCCGAAAAAAGACCTTTTCGATGGAGATGAAAGCGACGATGAAATTTTTACGAAAAAAAATCCGTATTTGCAAAAACCGGCCAAAATACCTCTCTTCAGTGACGAACCTCCGGCCTTAGACGATAAAAAGGTTGGTATGATTGATTTGTCTATAGCTAAATTTGATTGGTTTAGAAACCGGTGGGCGGAGTTTCGATTTTCGGAGGCGGTGATTTGTTCGATAAGAAGTTGTTGAGGCGACAGCCAAGCTCCGATGAGGAGCAGGAACCTGAAACGAAAGGGCGGAGCGTCAATTTGTTTGGGTCTGACGAGGAGGAGTCAAGTGAGAGTGGCTTATTCAACAAAATTGAGCCAAAAGTCGAGGAAACACCGAAAAAAATGTCTTTGTTTGACGACAACGATGACTTGTTCAAAGACGATCTCTTTTCGTCAACAGCCCCGAAAAAATTCACTTCCGGTCTTTTCGACGACGATTTGTTCGCTACACAACCGGAAACGAAAAATTCCGCTGACTTATTTGCCGATTTGATGGCAATTCCCGATGATAAAAATTCGATAAACGTCGACAGTCGTGAAACGCAAAAAGAGGCGGAGCCTCCGAAACCCAAACCACGCCCATCCCTGTTCGAACCTGACGATTTGTTCGCGTCTGAAGCTCCACCCACGCAAACATCAACACCGCAAAAGGCATCAATCCCTGATGTGCGACTTTTTGATCCCAACCCGCCCCCTGACGACAATTGGGACACAACGACGGATGAGTTTGAGACAACCAATCAGATTCAAGAGGAGGAAAGCAACAAAAGTGATTTGTTTAGCGAAGAACCGCCCCCACTTGTCATGTTAGTAGAGAAAATTAACCACGATTTTCAATTTTTTGTTTTTTTTTTTTTAGAAATAAACCTGGGAAACTCAAACATGATTTAAAGATCAACGTTGGGGCCTTAAGACCGGGCGCATTTCCGCCAAAACAGACAGATGGCGCTACTAAATCACCACCGTCATTTGATGAGGCTGACAATGTTACAGTGTTGCCAAGTGTTACTAAAGTAATTATTTTCACCGTTTTTTGTATTTTTTTTTAATTGTTAATTTAGGATAGGGCCCGACGACCCTTAAATAGGCGTCCGTCGACGAGAAAAGGCCGAAAAGAAGCTTTAAAAAAATCAGAAAGTGATTTTCAACTAGAACAAGAAAATGACCCAACGTCACGTGACCCCATATTTGAGGTTAAGTCAAGCAGAAACGATTCAAATTTGCCTCAAGGAAATTTGAATCAGTTCGAGGAGCCCCCTGATGATGATTTATTTGATACAAAGTCACAAAAGACTGATATTCACCCGAATTTAGAGTCACGTGACACTTTCGTCCAAATCAAACCGAATTTGGGTTTATTTGACGAGCCTCCCGATGACGATTTGTTTGCAAACAGTGATACCAACATTATGAAAGAAAGTACGGGTCTATTTGATGAGCCCCGTGACGACATTCTTGACATAAGACGTGACTCGCCCAAACAAGATTCTCATCGAAGTTTTGGCTTGTTTGATGAGCCCCCCGATGACTTATTTGAGGTTAAGAGTGAAACTAAACCAAAGTCAGATTTGTTTGAAGAGGAATTTGGCGACTCACGTGACATTTTTGAAGGAAATAAGACTAAATCGGGTTTAGGGTTGTTTGGTGAGCGCTCAGACGATGATTTGTTCGGTAGTAGAGGCGAAAGTGAGGTTAAATCGGACGAGTCACGTGACATTCCAAAGTCAAGTCAAGTCAAAACCGACATTTTCGGTGATGAAGACGATGATGATTTATTTAACGCAAAAAAAACGCCAATTCAGGGGAATAAAGCCAAAAAGTCGTTATTTGATGATGATGAGGATGATGATGATATTTTTAAAAGTTTCACTAGCGCTAGTGTGAAAAGTAGGTACCTGTTTTAATTTTTCTTTGTAGTTTAATTAATTAAATTTTCTATTGTAGAATCTGAAACTAAGGTGGCGACGGAGAAAAAAGTTCCTAAAGTGAGTAGCATAAAAAAATTAGAGAATACGAAACCGGACGATGACCCCTTGTCAGCGCTCTTAAAATAGTTAAAATTATGTCAAACATTTATTTTTTGTAATTAAATCACACATGAAAGTCGTAATCACGCTAAAAATTGACTAAAAAGTGAATAAACCGTAAATAATACTTGTATACAAATCGGAATGGTTCAACAAAAAACAACCTCCCATAAAAACAACAACAAACTAAATTGAATAACCCTGACCTAATCCTTTGCTACTTTACTACTTTTCTTCTTGTGTATCCTCTTATAGTAACTCTGAGCAAACGAATTAACTATCGACACGATAAAATATAAAATCATGGCAACAACGAATTTTTCAAAAACCGAACTTAAAATATTCCCACTTTCGACTTTCCCACCCCCACCGCCATGCAACTTTGATTTTTGGCCATCCAAGAAGGCCTTGAAAGGTACTTGTAGCTTCTCGCCGACGACTGGGAGGTACTTAAGCCATTGCAGGGCCGTAACGATCAAAGTTTCATTAAACGCAATTATGACAAATAATTTCTGGATATGCATCTTAATGATGGCTTTGCCGATTAAAGTAGCCCCGAAGAATGTCCAAAACGGGACCAAAAAGTGGCCACAAGTAATCCCCGCCAAGTCAAACAAAGGATTCGGGATCTGGAATCACAAATCGAGTAATTACCCCCAAAAATAACAGCAATACCAACACTAGCACACGCCAATATCCCTAAAAATCCCACCCTTTGGACCAGCTCCTCGACGAAAAGCTTCCCTTTTTCGATAAGGGTGAGCTCATTCCTGTTGTTCTGCTTCCGTTTCAACTCCTCAAACTCCTTTAAATCGTCGTCTTCGTCATCAGGATCGATGCTGGAATAACAAATTTTAGGCACTCGCTACGTTTGTTTTGTGTTTAAATTACCCAGAAAGTCTCGCCGCTCGGGCCATGAAATACGGGGGCAACTCCCCTAAGGCAGTCCCCGCCCCCCAACACATCGCTTCCAATCTAACTTTCGACATGATACTTAAAATAGACACAGCCAATGGATTTCGTTCATCTGGACATATTATTTCGTCCGGATAAGGCGGCTCTGGGAAATTTAACGACTCGCATTCGTACGCAGCGAGTGTCACGGCCGCTATATGGGGCCCCAAATACAGTATAAAAGTGTGCAAACCGGTCCCCAACCCCACCGATGATAAAATTCCTACGTAAAAAAACCGAAAACATACAAAAGGCGTGGCTAGAGGCGTGGCTCACCTAAACCTATCCAATATGAACACCAGAGGAGTTTCTTATAAACGATTTGGATGTAGGATTGGTGAGGACCGGCCGTTTTCACCAATAAATAAGAAGATAGAAGAGTTAATGTGATAAGTAAGACGATTTTCTTATGTTCTAGGATCCTGAAACAGGTGTGCCAACTACAAAAAAAATTTCATGGCAAACTTACTTTCTACCATATGTTGTTAATAAAGTGGTGACTTCTTTTGTCGCATATTCGAGTGTGGTTAGTGGTCGTTTCCATAGTACTAGACTTTCTCTCTCTTTCCGTTCTTTTTCTTTCCTTGTTTTTTCGCTCAAGTCGCCACCCCCGGTTGTGGGGGCCTCATCGGGGGTCATCGCCGTTCCATTGGTGGAATTCTCCTTACGTTTCGTCATTTTGAAGCCCAGTCTTTGGAGCTATAAAAAAAAATAAATGACAATCATGCAAGGTCAAAAATCACACAAAAACGCAACGAAATCATAAGAAGCAAACGGTGGTGGCAAACAAAACGATAAAGCGGCTGTGCTGGGGGCCCCCCCGCCTACATCACTCACACTCAAGCCCTACCAGCTCTGTCTTATTGCCGGTAGTCTTTTGGCCCTTTTTCCTGCACTCGTTCTTGAGCTGTTCCTTGGTCATGGCAAGGAGTTCGTCGACGGGTTTGCCGCCCCCTTTCACTGGAGTGCTACCAGTGGCCACATTCAGTGTCCTATTACTGAGAGAACTGACAGAAATCGAATTTTGTGACGTTCTCGAACGGATTTTCTTCCCTGCCATGCAGCCCCCGGCTGAAAATCCCCCCAATGTATTAAATTAGGACACTAGAGTGCCAGGAGGAAGTTGGACCTAACCTCAAATTGCATCGGAAAAAAACGGAATTAGAAGCACGAAAGCAAATTAAAATCAAGACGGGGTAAAGGGGGCTCACTTACTTGGTTAATTAAGAAGAAAATTGGAAGGAAAAGCACACATCACACAAACTCAAGTAGAAAAGTTGATTAGTGGTTCGGTGGAGTGACGTTTGAGAGGGGGCGCTGCGGGGAGTGTGAAATTTAATTAATCGGACACGTGGAAAGGACACAATTGAAAGATTTTGTGATTCCTTATCAGTTCCAGGACGCGATTTTGATAACAATGTCTAATAAAATAAAAAATTTATTTCTTATAATTGACTTTGTTTTTGTCACATTGGTATTACTGATTAAGGTTTGAATTTAAAAATCAATTAAAAAAATAAATTATGTTTAATGAACCGTGAAACATACTTTAAGGTGCAAAGTCGCTCTTGAAGCATTAATTAAATCTTTTTTTTAATTTTATCTCTCGCAGGTAAATATTTTTGGCTTTGGCACCACCTTGACGATGTTAAAATAACCAAATTTTGAAAATCTAGTGCGCGAGCCGCCATTTTGTCAAAATCGCAAAAATGACAACACGGTCAATTTTGCAAATCTTCGACCAGTACCAAAAAGCCCGTCTCAATTTTGTCAAATCGATCGCAGAACTGGCCCTCCGCCCCGCCAACATCCCTGTCCTCGACGAGCAAAACATTTTAGGTAACCCACCCCCCAATAACTCATCCCCAAAGCCCCAATTCTAGACCTCCTCAAGCCCCTCCTTAGCGATGTTTGCAAGCAAATCCAGAACTGCGCCACCATCGCCTTGGGCCGCATCATCCAGAACGACCACACCATGGCGAAAAAATTCTCCCAAACCGAGTTAATCAATCTTCTGTTGGCAACCCTACCCAAGGAAAATGTCGGTAAATCCCCCCAAACCACTTTTACTCGAACCAAAGCTTGTAGAAACACCAGAAAAACTCAATTCTGTTTGTCTTGCGCGCGGTTTGTAAGTACGACCCACAATTGGCGGAGTTCGTCGTCGAGACCGGCGCCCTCAAAACGGTTATAACCTGTATGGAGGATTTCGAACCGTCGGTTCAGGAGTCGGCCGCTTGGGTGATCGGTTACATAGCGCGTCATAATCAAAACTTGGCGAAAAAATGCGTGGAAGCGGGGGCTGTGCCCTTGCTCATCATGTGTTTGCAGGGGCCCCATTTGACCTTGAAACAAATCTCAGCGAGTGCACTGTGTGACATTGCTAAACACTCGATTGAACTGGCGCAGAATATAGTCGATGCGGGGGCTATACCCTACTTGGCGAAAAATCTCAATAATTTAGATGAGAAACTGAAACGACAGGTTTTAGCCGCATTGAGTGAGTAGCACGAACGAGCGAAGCGAGTGCCTTAAAATTATAGAATTGTAGGTTCCTGTGCCAAACACTCGGCCGAGCTGGCCGAAGTAGTAATCGAAGCGGAAGTCTTCCCGTGTGTTTTCCTCCATATGGCACATGCGTGCCCCCATGTTCGCAAAAACGCCGCTGGTTTGACCCGTGACGTTGTCAAACACACTCTCGAACTCACACAACTTATTGTCAATACGGGCGGGATTGGGGCCTTGATGGAACTCCTCACTGAGGATCCGGGCGAAGCCCGAATACCCTGTATAACCGCTTTGGGGTACATTGCCGGGCACTCTGATCAATTAGCAATGTCGGTGCTCGGTTGTAAAGCTATAGTTTTGCTTGGGGCGATTTTAAACGATTCGAAAGATGAAAATGTGTTAGCAGTGACGGCGTGGACTATTGGACAGATTGGGAAACACAGTCCTGAACATGCAAAAGCAGTGGCGGCGGCGAATTTATTCCCCAGATTGGTGCAATTGTATGTGAGCGAGGAGACGTCCGAAGACCTCAAGTTCAAGTGCAAGTTGGCGTTGAAATTGTGTCTGCAGAAGTGTCTTCTGGTGGCGGCGCTTGAACCCCTGCTCTACGATGCGCCCCCCAATATACTCAAGTACGTGCTGGGGCAGTACAGCAAGGTAATTATTTGTATTAAGAGCCTTAAATCCACTTTCAAAAAAATTGTTGCTTGTGGTAGGCAACTAGTTATACACCTCGATAAACGAAATTGGGAAAATTAACAAATTTTACTACAATTGAGAAGACTTTTTTAATGAAAAGTTGTTAATTCTAACAAGTCAAATAATTTCTGACTGTAATTATTGTTTATTTTGACATTTTAATTTTGTATGTGTATAACTGGTTGCCTACCACTGCTAATTGCCAATTTGTCATAGATGAAATATTTCCTCTATGCCTTTGTGTGGTTTTTTTCCAATTACGATTAAACCTTTGTTTATGAGCCCAAATACACTTTCAAAAAAATATCTTATTAGTGGTAGGCAACTAGTTATACACCTACATAATCAAAATTCGAAAAATTTACAAATTTTACTGCAGTTTTGCAATTAAGAAGACTTTTTTTAATGAAAAATTGTTATTTCTAACAACCGAAATAATTTTTTTCACTTTCAAAAAAAAATATTCTTAGTGGTTGGCTATCAGTTATACACCTACATATAAGAAATTGTAAAAATTAACAAATTTTACTGCAATTTTGTAATTAAGGTGACTTTTTAGTGAAAAACTATTAATTTTAACTGACAAAACAGTTTTTTTCCATTAAAAAAAATTGATTGCATTTAGTAGATTGCATTTTGATAAACGAAATTGGAAAAATTAACACATTTTACTGCAATCTTACAATTGAGGTGACTGTTTATGTCCAATTACAATTAAAACTTTGTTCATCATCTTAAACACACTTTCAAAAGGAAATTAGTTATTAATGGTAAGCAACCAGTTATACAACTACGTAATCAAAATTGAGAAAATTATCAAATTTTACCCCAATTTTACAATTAAGGAGATTTTCAAATGAAAAAGCGAAACAATTTTTTTCTCTTTGAAAAGAAACTTGGTAGACAACCAGTTATACATCCACGTAAACGAAATTAGGAAAATTTTACTAGACTTTTACAATTAAGAAGACATTTTTAATGAAAATTTTTTAATTCCAACAAG